ACTAGTCCTTCAGATAAGTTGTTTACTAAAGATTCATAAAACGTGACATACAGTAAGGTGCATTTTAACACCATCCTGAAAATGAATTTTCTAACTTTAAGATGAAATGGAACTAAATAAGGTGAATGCCCCCTTACTAAGGAAGTGCTATGTGTCTTGTAGTTTTAGGTACAGAAGATAAGCTACATCTGTGAGAAATTCAATACATACGACACCGACTGTAAAGGAAGAAGCAGAAATTGACATAGTGTAAGACAAAGTGTTTATAAGCCATAGTGTTTTTGGAAAATTAATGTTGTAAAACAAATTTACAAGCAATAACTTTAATTTTGATTTTATTAGAAATCTGTTACATGAAATGCATGAAATACATTATTCATAAAATGTATGATGTTGTACCATACATTAAGAGAAAATTTGCAATCACTTTTTTCCAAAACACATAATGAAAATCATTAAATAAATTATTTTGCCTCAGATAATATTTCACAGTGCTTTGAAATGTCAGCTCATGGCAAGTATTCACAGGATTAAAGCAGGCAGGAAACCTACTGTATGAATTAAAGATTCAGAACACAAAACCAGTAACTTTTTCAGTTCTTATTCAGTGATTTCTTCCTCTGACAAAAGCCATAAGGTTTGCTTGGCCATGAAATTTCAGTTGTTAACTGAACTTTATTTTTTTTCTCCTCTCATCTTGTGCTTTAAGGCATCTTTTGGAAAAATGAAGAAGGATCACAGCTTATTATAGCTGCCTTCCTTCAATGCTATATGTTTCAAGGCAACCCTTATGGTAAGAAATTTAGTACAGTGTGTAGATCATTACCCACATTAATGCTGGACTCCCAAACTATCTGAATATATTTGGCGTATTGAGTATATGCTAATAAACCCATCATTATAATTTTCTGGGCATGTCTGTAAACAAAGCTTAAAGAAGCATCTCATCCTGATTGATGGATTACTTAAATATGATGCTCAAACTGACATCATAAGGGCTAAGATAAGTTACAGTAGATGTCACTGTATGTAACAATGTAACAGAAAATATTCTGTTAAGAGAAAAATACATTGATGGCATAGGTTTTCAGATCTGTGAATCTAATATTTGGTGGAAGCACCTTTGACAGAAATTATAAACACACGTCTTTTGGGGGAAGTCTCTATCTTATCTCTAACTTTGCACACTGCCTTCGTGCAATTTCTTTTCATTCTTCTTGGCACAGTTTCTTAAGCTCTGTCAAGTTTCTTGGGGATTGCTTTCAGACAGTAGTTAAAGTCTCTCAATAGGATTTAAGTCAGGACTTTGACTGGGCCATTCAAGGACAAGGATTCTTATTTTTAAGCCACTCCAGTGTAGCTTTGACCTTGTGCATTGGATCATTTACCTGATGAAAGGTGAATATTTGTCCAAGTTTTTGGTCTGAAACAAATTTCCCATTAAGTTTTGGCAGGACTTTGTTCAATCTATATTCCCATCAGTCTGAAAAAGTTTCCTAGCCCCTGCTGATTTAGAGGCAGACTCATAACTAGGGATAGTGTTGACTGAGTGATGCGCTATGTTGGGTTTGCATCAGATGTAGTACTTTGCATTTACCACAAAGTTTCAATTTTTTCTTTGACCACAAAACCTTTTGTCACTTATTTGTTGTATAATTATGGTGCTTTGTTGGAGATATTTCATTCAGTTCCATACAAGTTTTCTTTCTGGAGTGACCAGGATATTGTTGTCCCATGGACACTTTTTCTAATCTCAGCCATTGAACTCTTTAATATTCAAAGTCCTCTTTGGCTTCACTGTGTAATCCTTAACCATCATGCTTAGTTACGAGAGACTAATATAGACCGCATTTGGATGCTTTCCACTTCTTAATCAACTACACCATGCGCAATGAGATACTAAGAGTCTCTGAATACTTTTGCAATCACGACTTTCCCATTTTTTGTTCATTACATATTAACATCTTTTTTGTGTTTTGCTTTGGATGTGTGGAGAATAATTTGTATATAACAAATACTATTTCAAACTGTAATGACTGATGATTGCAGGTTTTAAAGCAACTCTGCAACTGTTTGAACACTTATGCAAGACACTGTACCGTATATTAAGAAAGAATTATTAATTAAGAAGGAAAAGGATGAAACAGTCTTCTCTGGGAGATGACTACCTCGTAGATCTAGAATCCAGAAGCAAAAAACAAGTGACATGGTGGCACTGTTCGGATTATGGTGAGGTGTGTACCAGCATCATCACATTTCGTCACCCTTCATATGAGTGGTCATGACATTTTTTCAGGTATTACCCCTGTCTTGAGTCTCTACTGGAAGAGTTTTGTTCATAGTCTATGAATAAGAGATGTGGTTCCTTTAAGTACGATTGGTATATTCACATCAGGCCCTGGCGATTCACCTTATAAAAGGTAAGCTTTTATTTGTCCTAGGATATGAAGGCACAATGTAACCTGAACACATTTACAACATTTAATTGTTCATTTTTTAAATTGTTAGGAGAAATTCAAGAGGAGGAAGACACATTGTATTGTATTGAAAATTTAGCTTTGCTTGATGCATTTAATAAAAAGTCCAACACTATATCCAGTAATTTATGAAAGTGAATCAAATTTCTTTCAACTTCATTAAAAGAAAACATACTTTAGCAGTATCTCTAAACAACGATACTGTTTGTTTCATCTAACTTGTATAGATCAAGTCCCAGAGATGTCTTAGTTCTGATGTTCTGACACAAACATTTTCTTTAAAAATCGTACAGATTTTTCCTAGTACTGCAGAACTCTTAACTATCGCAAGAAGGTGGCAGAAAGGTGCAAAATCTCACACATAGCAGTAAGGTAGCTGCTGTTAATGCTTCAGCCCAAGACTTTTCAACTTTTGCTTTGGAATTTGACTTGTACCTTATTTTCTAAAAATGGTAAAAATTCTGCTTTCACATCTAGTTTTTTTAATTTTTGCAATTTACTACTATGAATTAATGCTGTGTCCTTGAGATTGTACACCTTACCTTTGGACTATATATAAGCTTGCTTTCCAATATTTTTTAAAGAAATGTTTCCCCTCTGTCAGCTCTTGGAAGTGCTACAGCATATTTACAATATTTAATTTATAGTAAGAAAGTAGACATCATCATTAAGTCAGATATTATATACAGAGGCATTAAAAATGCAGCAAATTAATATTAGCATCAGTAGCATTTGCTGAGTTTTAATGCCTTTACTGTATGATTTAATGTTGTGTACAGAAATGTACCTTTTTTCCATATTGATCTAAATATAGATTCTTATAGATTTCCTTTCAAATTTTTGTGCACGTCTATGCAAGTAGTAAGTGATTTAAAGAAGCACAGTTTGTTTTTTGGAGATATAACAAGAAAAACAGTAAACATTTACAATTAATTGGGTATTTAAACATTGCATTATATTCTAAGTTTCAAAGCTACATGTGGGTTTCAAAACCCTTTTGAAACATTGGACTATTTTTTACACTCACATATATAAAGAAAACCTACTGTATCTACACAGGAACATGACAAGATTATCAAATTAGTCAACAATTCTAATGTGTTTTTTATTAAATGTAAAAATGTCAAATGTTTATTGATTGCAGTACTTGTGTATCATGTTTTTATGATTATTTTTAACTACCTTCTAACCAATAGATTTGCTTTTTCCACCAAACATAGCGGCATTCAGTCAGGTAATTTAATTTGGATATTTTCTGTGTAATATTTTGAAGACCATAGGCTTTCATCTTGTATCGCTTGATAATTTGTTTAGTCCTATTTTTCTATATTCTTCTAACCAAGACTGGTAGCAAAATTAAAATTTAAAAATACGTTAATCAGAAAATCCCCTTGAAATCCTCCTGAACTGTATGATTTGTAGTAGCCAATCACCCCTGCATGTGTTTGGTAGAAGGAAGAAAACCAAAGGTCCCAGCAAAACACTACACAAACCCAGGAAGGACATGCAAACTCCACACACACAAGTATCCTAAACAAGAATTGAACCCAGAATCGTGGAGCTGTGCCACAAATACACTGTGCTACTCAACTCTCCAATTGTTTTTAAACAAACAAACCCCTAAATTATTGAGACAACATTCTCAGCCACGCTGATTTGCCTTTCACAGTGAAAGAAGATTTTCCTGCCTAAAACCAGAGTAATCAGAGTAGGACAAGGAAAATTTGTACTGACTGCTGGATTCAGTAACATAAGAAATTAATATCACCAGTTTTATATTCTGAAAAATATATGAAAAGTGTCTTCTGGGGAATGTGATGACAGCTCTTGTCTGAACCTAAAAAATTCTCATGGCTACTAAAAACCAAATGAGCAAGCTTCTTCAAAAGGTCTGTTCACCATCATGATTGTAATTCCTCCTGTTAGTTGTGCACCTGCCTCCTATCCAGCCCCTCCTTTATAAGCCAGATGCTCACACTATTCCTGCATTGCATTGGAAGACAGATTCCCAGAGGCCCACATACCACCAAGTCGCCCTACGCCCGCGGCTTGTGGACATAGACCCCCTAGCGTCTGGCCTCGTGATCCTGTTTCCTGTTTAATTCCCTGTTCCTGAACCGGATCCCATTCCGGTTTTTAACTTTGTCTTGTTTTGTCTTGAATGGATCACCCTGTACTGGACCTTTGGACTTCACCCTGAATTTCCCTTTGGACCCTCCTGGACTTGTTGGCCCTGGCCACGCCCCCCCAGCACCAGTACACAGTCGTCATGTCCCCCTTATCATCAACCTGCCCAGTTCCTCGTCATCTCCTCCCCTTGTCTGTTTCACTCCCTTCTGGATTCTGCCATCTGCATAGGGACCTGATCAACGCATCGTAACAGTTCACGTTACTAGCCTCTTTATTTTATATGCAAATTGGCTAAGAAGAGAGATTTGAGAGGTGTACCGACAAATTGGCCAAACACTTGTCATGCAGGTAAACACATTAAAGAGCATTTTAAAAATGAATCTAATAGTTTTATTGATTTTTCAATATGCATATCACAAAAATACCTTATCTGACCTGTTAAAAAGGTTGGACATCTTCTCATAAGTATAAGTATTTTGAAATCTATGATCTTCAGGATACTCTCTAAGAATGAGTCTAAGAAGATATTTCATTTAACCTACACTAAATGATTAAATTTTATTTTACCTACCAAAATAGTACACCACTAATGTATTTTCACTAAACAGTGATATTGTTCTCATTTCAGATGCATGAAGAAATCAGGTTGCAGTAAAACCCTGCGAATAAGAGGTTCCAATGTTTGTAATGAAAGAATGTTCAGTCATTAGCATTAGCATTGATTTTACAGAAGTGTCAAATCATATGCAGCATGTTTTTTAAGAAACACTTATGGTACAGTACAGAGGTCACTTCCCAGCTTCTCAAATATTGTCTGGTATGATATCTGTGTTGGAATTGGACCTGACCTGAAAAAAGGCATACTGTAATTAAATGTATATGTTTATTAATATCATTTATTTTGGAGTAATGTTCTAATTTTAAAGGATAAATTCAACCAGTATGTATTGATCTCACTCTTGGTATATCATTTGGTTTCATTTTGATTAAATTCAGTGTTATCATTCACCTTTTCTTCTTGAAAGAATCAGAAATATATAGGACCAATTATTTCTTGACAATCAAAACCCTTTTTTGTTGGACCGAGTGACTACTCATCTCCTCTTTGAGTTTTGATAATTGAATAGCAGTGTTCATTTTGTATTATTATCCCAGCAACCTATTCTGATCCCTTTTTGTGCAACAGTGGAACCAGAACAGAAACAGAAGCATTGTTTCGCATAAGAAACGAGCTGAGGTCACCAATCTACGTGTACATCCGGTATTCATGACATAGCTTAACTATTGCAAAATCAAAAATAAATAACAGAGCATAATAACTTCAAAAATGAATCAGGAATTTGGGTACTACTTTATTCTGGTTCTATAGCTTTGGGTTAAAGCCTTAAAGAAATGCTTTGTGTGTGGGTAGATAATAACATACTGTAGAGCTAAAAAGGTCAAGAAAAACAGCTAATAACAAAAATGTCATACCCATATTATACACACTAAAACTGATATTTTGGTCCACATTTACCATATGTAGTACTAAAGAAAATGTTTTACAGATTGACTAACCAAAATTCTTTTCAGTGAATGTTATGTTAATTAACATAAATTAAATTATATCTAAATATTTAAAAATATGTCAGTGTCTGGGCTAAAGTACAGCATCTCATTTTGTCTGCACCATGTTCCTCAGGCAAATTTAAGTCCTCATTGGTTTTTGTTTTTTCTCTTCTCTTCATTCTGTCCCTTTTCATGTCTAGGCTGCATCTTCTGACTTGACTTCCTCTTGCTGCCAGAGTGAGCTTTGATTAGGAACTCACTCGGGCCCTTGCCAGTCTTTGAACCCTTCTGTTTCCTTAGAGTGCCCGCAGGCCTGGATGTAGCAGGTGCCCTTGAAGGAATGTTATGCAAACCAACAGTACCTGGCTTTTGTGTTGCCCGTGGATTCAGTTTGACCTTTGGCTTAGTTACACCTGCCCCTGGAGAAACCTTTTTCCTACTTGGCTTTCCTGCTTTTGATTTAGAACCTTTCTGGTGGTCAAAAGCTGCAGGCTTACGTTTTGGAGGCCTATCAGGACTCTTCACTTTCAAGCCTTTTCTAGGTGTGGCTGGTTTGCAAACTGGCTTTTTAGTTGTGACGGGCTGGTGAACTGGTTTTTTAGTTGTGACGGGCTGGTGAACTGGTTTTTTAGTTGTGACGGGCTGGTGAACTGGTTTTTTAGTTGTGACGGGCTGGTAAACTGGCTTTTTAGTTGAGGTTGTTTGTGGGGTTGTCGATCTTTGCACAGCTGTCGTAGGCCTGGTTGTTGTGGGTAGTACATTTGTGACAGGTGGTTGTGTGGTGAGTTTAAGCCTTTTTGGAGGTGCTCTCGTTGGTGGTTGTGCGTTTGAGTCCAGTACTGTCACTGCAAAGTAGAGGAGAAGAAAAGAACAGATTTCATCGAATATAACAAATATCACTAAATACATTCTGGGAGCCATGTAAGTCAAAATATTTATTAGAAAGGTTGTTAATATGAGGAGCCAGCTTTGATCATACATGGCTTAGAGTTAATGTAGCATTTTGTCCAGCTGCGCAGAGTTTGGGCCCTTCTAGTTTCATTTGTGAAACCCCATGCCTATTGCTTAAGATATAAATGAATAAGTGGTGAGCTTTGCCTAATATTTCACGTTCCTGAATTTCACATTGCCTAATATTTTACTAATATTTTTCATGGAACTGGTAGAGTATAATTCTTTACCTTGTAAAGTATATGGAATATTAAGAGACACATTAGTTTGTGAAAGCAAAACACACACGCAATGTAAATGCATTATATACAAAAGATGTAAAAAAATATACAAATCAAGACAGATTCTATCACTTGTCTCACTACATTCATTGTTTATGCTACAATACTGTGGCTATATAAACAACAGGAAAACTACAACTGTTAAACTTAAAAGTCTGTATTAAACTACTATGTTCATTTTTGTCGGCTCTCATGATTATTTCATGACATACTTATGAAATTTAAGCACAAGTTCAAAAGTTAAATGGCCCTTTTAAAATAGAAAAAATGTTTTAAATTACTGAAATGTGTGTAAATCTGATCATTGTTATTAAAAAGTCCAAGACTGTTTTTAAAATCTGCCACCTCCAAGTATAGTTGCTCACCTTGAAAACTCTTTCTTCAGGCAATTGTGCAAATAAAAGTTTTTAAAGTTATTAGCTGACCGTATTCCAGTGATGTTTATGTGTAGGTCATTTTACAAAAAGTGTTTTTTTAATTAGTGAAGTTTGTAGATTTTGTTTAGAATATTTTAACATGCATTGACTTCTGCTTGTTGTATGAGCCTTTGTATTGCAAGTACAGTATGGCACAGCAGTTCTATGCTGGCAGCAATAGTTATATCATTCTAAACTCCATGCAATTGCCAAAAACTGTTTTAAAAATCCTCTCAGTCACTAAATCTACAGAACTACAGAACCACTGAATATAATAAGAGCCATTTTCAAAAATGATAAGTCGATCTTCAATTAAGTGATTGCTTTTACTTCTTTTTTGGTTTTCATTTCTATATTAATTCAAGTTTTGAGAACAGTTTAAAAATAATTTTATTATTTGAAAGCAAATATCTAAATATTTCTTAAAACCTTTGTGTATTAGAACTAATATTTCAGCAATGTGTCCTTCTTACTGTATATTTTCTCGGTGTATTGCAAATATTGTCCTGTTAGATTTCTGTTAATTCTCTGAACCATGTTGATTGATGTACTTTACTGTAAAATAAGTGTGACAGTGCAGTTCTGTGATATAAGAGGTGTGTGACATTTTCATTAATAGATAAATGTCAAGTGTTTTACATTTTATGATATCCCTCATTTTTTCTGACTTAAATTAATAAAAATGGAAATTATTTTAAACTTTAACACACAAATCCCAGTCCCAGTGGTTAATGCATTTCAGCATGTAGTAGGATATCTGCTTCTAGCCTGACACACAACTTGCCAAAACAGGTCTGATTACCTTGTGCAAAGGGATTGTCATTCATTTAAATTTCCTGTAGAATTAATGGATTTTGTCTTTTATTCAAGGTCATAAATAATCAAACATTTTTGTTTGTTTTATTTTTTAAGCAACTGATATTTTGCTATAACAAAATACTATTAACATGTTGTTTTGAATTTGAAAAATGTAAATTTGGAATCATCCATGTATTTTGATCACATTGTGTTAGAGGAAAGGTCTCGCCATTTGGAGGATCTAAAATCCTGCTGGAGCCCAGAAAGTCATAGGATTTGCTGTTTTGAGAAGAGCCTGGACAACTAACACGCTTTTGGCAGCCTATCAAACAACACCAGTTGGTAAATTCCAGCACACTCAGCCAGTAACATTACTAAGGGACAAATTAGCAATCTCTAGTCCCTACAGCCTAATCTGCAATTAATGTTTGAGCCCCTCAGAAAATATTGATCTGTATTCTAGTAGGTTCAGTTCCTAAAATATAGAATCCTTTTACTCATACCAGTGGAGTCAGGGTGTCATAGTGTCAGTGAAGGATGTTAATCCACATGGTCATTTACCAGACGTATTTTCTTTTCCTAGAAATACAGTATTTCATACAGAAGATAAAATGATAAATAAGGCTCAATGCAAATCCATATTGGACAGTTCGGAACATTAAACAGCCACAGAGAGAAAAGCCAAGAAAAACCGAAGTGACTTACATGCTTGGGCCACAAATGGTATTCGTTTCCCTTTCACTTTGATAGGAAGTGGCTTGTGTTTACATTTCCCTGGTGAAGCTCTCCTGTAAAAACAAAAATGAAAGGAAAGAGTTTTACAAGTGTTTAGACCAGCTGTGGCATTTATTTTCTTTTCAGCTGAGAGCAACACTTGGTTTGGCTAGTTATTCATTCAGTCGTTCCTAAACTCCAGCCACAAACGTGGACAGCCCAGAATCTCTGAGGCCGAATAAGACAAGGTATTGAGAATCTCCCACATTATCTAAACAGAATGGTCAGAACAGTTCAACCAGAGCCAGTAGATGTCTGCAAGGACAATTTGTGTCTTTTAGTCTCGGGCTTAATTTCTTTCCACTCGTCAGTGAAGGTTTATGTATAATATATGTAGAGATCCTTATCAAAAGCCAAATAAATTACCATATTGTGTTTGAGTTCAGGTCTTTTATGTTTTCACATATGATAGGTAAACCTTTTATTACATCACTTTAAAAATCTTTTTTCTATCTTGAGCTGTAGCACAAATAGACTTATTCTCAGATGTATTTATTAAAATCTTTAACACTTTCTAATTCATTTAACATAAATTTCCATTGATGCTAGATGCATTTGTTCAACATTATAGCACATAATTCACACCTGCTTACCAATGTGTGTTTTGAGAGTGTATGTATACCGCATGCATATAGTGGTCATACACTTAAGTGAAGAGCAAGAGAGATTAAGACATCACACAGAACCAAGTTATAAACTGTGGTTTAAAAGTAAGAAATTTGAATGTAAATACAAATCTCTCTGGATTCCTGCAGTGGTTATTAGTTTTCTGTCTTGAGTACATTAGTTCATATGTGGTATAACGTTTAACTCATTTCAAGAGTCATATCCATGTATAAAAATAATTTGATGTTGTTTAATGAAAAAAAACAATCTACTGTCGTTTGTAGATATTGCTTTTAGTAAAAATAATACAATTAAACACATTTCCATAAATCAATGAATCATGTACAACACAAGACTTTTAACACAAATTTAAAAAAATACCAGTAGTTGAAGCAATTTAAACAATTTGGCAATCCAACATGTTGAAAGTTGTTAGCAGGTATTTAGTATTTATTAGGTGTTTTGTATTTAAAAATTAGGGCTTTTATGGTGTTTTGCAGGAAAAAATGTAATGTTATAATGTAGCATTTATAACCAGTTTGGAAAGACCATACACACCAGGTCAGTTACTGTACATAGAATCACCATTCTCAATTACTGATCAAAAATACTATTCACAGGAGAATTCTACCAAATGTCCATTATTAATTTCATGTGGGAGTTACACAATCTGTTGGAAAAATGCAAGATTGAACTGTACACCTTTTCCATTCAAATTTAAAAGAGCTTTTCAAACACCTTCAATCTTCTATTTCTGTGTGTAAACATACTGTACATGCTCTACACACAAGTAGAAAGATAAACGTGATCACGAATGCATTATCTATGTCTTATTGAAAATGATCATGCTTTGTCTTTCAGTATCTAAATGGGCCAGATACAGTATATCAGTAAAGTAAAACTGAAACTTATTTTCATTTTTGCATGTAAATGCATCCAGTGTTGCCAAGAAAGTAACTGGGGTCCAAATGTCTCTGCATGTCATTAATGAACCCTAAAGAAACCCTGCTGCTATGTCTCTGGCATATTTCCACCTTTATACCCACAAGGGTGAAACCAAACTTATGAATGAACATTCTGCTGTCTGTCCTAATGCACAAGGGGGATTTCCATCTCACATCTGAAAGTCTATTATTGTCTGCATCTTTTTTTTCCAAGTGAGAAAGAGCTTTTGCCTGGTGTTTTTTATATACAATTTTTTGCTCATACATTTCTTATGTTTCTGTGTGTGAGATTTTGGACCATTTCTCAAAAGACCATGTAAATGAGGATTCTCTGAACTGCCTATAAACTGTCAATGGTTTTGCTGCAGTTAAAAAAATGGGATTTCAGGTGAATAAAACCTCTGTTTAGCTGACATGAGGTAAATTGAAAGTTTTGGGTTTTGAAATGTGAAGATCTGATGCATACTTGAAAATAAAAGGTAACATTGTTAGGAACTACTGATTTGTGCCATAAATAAATAAAAACTTATTCAAAAGAGACAAATAAGATTCAAGGATTCAAGGTGAATGTATGAAATTCTATTACGCCAAAAGATAATATCCCAGAAATAAACTGACAGGCTTTTGCAATAATCCTGGTTTATTGTGCAAACTCACAATCATGTACATCACTGATCAGATCAGTCCTGGCCCACCACATTACAAGGTGAATTAATAGCTTTTTTATTTACTGGATATAAACATTTACAGTCTACTGCTAAAGGATCCAGGAAGGGTTAGTCACCACAAAACTGATGGTTAATCAACTACAGTAAGATGTATTTAAAGCTGTTAAAAAGCTTTATTAACACAGTATAAAAAGTGTCTGGAGAGAACATTTATACTATGACTAAACTACATACCTGGAAGGGTCCATAAATTTGTAAATAGTTCCAAAAGGAGAATGTGCACTTGGATATGAAGTAGCCATGAAGTACAGTTCTCCTGACAAGACAAAACAAATGTTAAATGTGTTTTTTTTTATTTTAAAGTTACTCTATTGTTAAAACCCTTTTTTAAAGATTATATGCAATACCATGACCTTTTGTGCAAGCACATTTTTTGTAAATTACAGAAATAAATGGCATACCATAACCATTATACTTATGAACAGTGTACCTGGTTATAAATGACTGAATATATGGGCATTCTAGTTACACTGAGTTACTGTACTTCTCAGAGTGTGAGTTACGGAGTTGTTGTGTGCTTAGTGTGGAGCTCCACACCAGCTACTTCAGTAGGATCATCCTCAGCTGCTTCCTCAATTGCAATGATACAATCTGCTGTACAAAGATGGACGCAAACTCGCCCCATTAATAACATGGTAACCTGGATTAAGAATATAAGAAAGGGTACAAACAAGGAGGCCATTTGACCCATTTAGTCCTGGCCTGTAGTAGTTAATTAATCTAAAGATCAAATATAGCCATTTCCTTAGGGAAACCAGAACAACAGCTTGCTGGAATCTGCTCCAGGTGCCCCACACTCTAAACTGGAAGAAGCAGTCAGAATATGGATGGATGACCCTGGAATGATCAATTTCTACGTGAATATCAAGTATATGTCCTGGTAACATATGATTAAAATGATTATGTAGTGACTGTTATTTCAGGAATAAGCCACCTGTATACCCTGAAAGGTTCCTGTACTCTAGTATCCTCTAGCGGACAGGAACCTTTTCTTCACATTCATTTCAAAGGATGGAGGTTTTAGTACTGAGCTAGAAACTAATTTGCTGCAATGGGTATTAATTTAGTGTTCTATTTTAAGACAGTATTGTCTACTAACTAAATAATAATTTTCAGTTAATCCTCTACTTTTTGGTCATTGCAATTGAACCAGGGAGGCTGCTGGAGAAATTACCACTTCTGTAGTCTGTGTTTATGAGATAATTCACCAATATTTTGTTTATTTTACATTATTGTCTCAACCAAAGCATTTTGGACTCCTGGCCTGCATCTATTCTGATGTCCCAAAAGCCTGACCAAGGCCTAATCCTGTCACACACTGCTCTGACAATCCTGTGTGACATAACACTAAAGATATTTCACCTGCTTCATCTTCAGCAAAAGAGATAATAAATTTGTGGTGGTGGTTGATGAGCCCAGGAAAGGAGCAAGTCTGAGTTTCACCCATGCAGATGCTCTTCTCCTTCCAGGTCCCTGTCCTCTTATCTTCCTGCAATGCCATAAGTCGACTGGATGAAAAACAAGATCTCATATTTTATCAGCTTGTAATTATATTACAACTTTCAATGTAAAAGGTTCATATAATCCTATTAGAAATATATTCACTGTGATTTATTGTTGTATATAGCACACTGTCATTGAAAATAGCCTTTTTTATTACCAATGATTAGCTGAAAGTTTTTGTGTACCCTGTTTATACAGTAAATATAAGAACAGTGGTGGTTTTTGAAGTGTCTTCAAAGACAGACAGAGAAAGCAAAGGAATACTGAGGCAATTTTTACAATCAAAGCAGTTATCTCCTAAAGACAGAAACATGATTTTTTTTTTATTCTTTAAGGGGAATATCAGCTTTGGGTATTATCCAGGATCATTTAAAAATATTAACCCATAACATTCTTATACAGTATATATGTATAGACATTTAAAATTGCAACTTTAAAAGGATTGAAATAAAATAACAAATAGATATTCCTACACATCTTTAGTTATCTGTAAACAATTTCATGATTGTCAATATTACATTTTAATTTTGAGTAAGAAAACTGTTAAATGCTTTATATTAGTCCATTTCTTTATAATACATGTAATAAATTTAACTGATTGAGAGACTTTCTGGGAAATTGCACAATTCAAATAGAAAGGACATAACTGTGAATGTAGAAATTCTTTTAAAATGTGCTTCAATTAATGTAGGAATTGTTTACTTTTGAGGATATTGTGTCTGTTGTCAATGGTATTTATACTGTTACAGTATATGATACCCAGCTCCCTTCATAAAATTACTCTTTGCAAAGGGGATAAATATGCATAGATATTTCAGACAACTTAACATTAGTTGCATTCAACACTAGTGAGTCACATCAAAGAATCAAATCCTACTGATACAAAATTAAAATCATAAATCCCTTCATCTTACCCACTCATGAAGTCTCCAAAAATGTACAAGCCATTTAGATTAGGTGACTCGCATCCTCTGTACACGTACCCCCCAGTTACTGATTTCCCTTTGTGGTGACTGTATGCAAAAATTGGAGGGATATCATCTAAAAAAGAAAACAGTGTAAAAAAGTGTATGGTATACAAAAGAAACTTAATGCATTTGTGAAGTTGATTACAAGTTTGTTACAGAGCAGAGTTTTGTTTATTTTACATAAATTCACATTTAATGTTGAAACTATTTATGTACTGAACTTTATACAAACAGTCCTCTCTCTGAAGGGGTCTCCTTACCCAATGAGGAGTTGTGACACATCTTCACATCATAGCATTCAAATCCCTCTTTTGCTCTCCATCCATAGTTGCCTCCTTTAACAATGATGTCAATCTCTTCAAATCTGTTCTGGCCTACATCACCACAGAATATCCTCCCTCTCCCCCTGTGCGTGACCGGGTCTCCGCGGTCAACAGAGCAGCGCCATATGTTTCTCACTCCGTAGGCATAGACTTCTGGCAGAGCACTCTTGTCAGAAATGAATGGGTTGTCAGGTGGAATCCTGTAGGGTTTTCCATCTTTGCTGCTCCCATCCACATCAATGCGTAAGACTTTGCCTAATAGAGTACTCCTGGCCATAGAAGGAGAAGATACACACTTATAGGCAAAAGCATGCTGGAACTTTTACAAACAGTGATAACATGTTAGTTAATAACAATGTTTACAAATCTCCATCCATCCATTTTCTAATCGTTATATCCAATACAGGGTGGCTGAGAAGCCAGACCTTATCCCAGCAAGCCACAGGAGTAATGCAGTCCATCATAGAGCACACACACACCAGGGCCAATTCTGCCAGAAGTCAATTATCCTACAAGTATGTCTTTGGACTGTGAGAGGAAACCAGACAACCCAGAGGAAACCCACACTAACACGGGGAGAGCATACAAACTCCATGCTGATAACACCCCGAGAATTGAACTCAGTGCCCCAGCACTGTGAGGCAGCCATTCTACCCATTGCACCACTGTACTACCGTGGTTCCAAATCTCATAGAATAGTGTTCGACAAAGTACTGTACATTTGACACAATCTCTTACTTGTTTTGGGCATTGCCAAACTTCCCAAAAGGGTCCCCAGCTTTCCCCCCATCTCCAGTGAAGATGTACATGTAGCCGTCAAGACCAAACAAGAGCTGCCCCCCATTGTGATTGGCTGCAGGCTCTTCGATCTCAAAAATGACCCTGTTAAAGTAAAATACAAGGTGGCAAGTTCATTTCTGGCAAATCTTACTGATTTAGATTCCGTTTTGTGTGACTGAAACAGCAACAAAGTTCAGCTTGCAAAGATGAGGATAGGAATGCCGGTGGTTGCCATTACAAGGTTCCAATTGACTATTAATAGCCCTGCAGACAGATATGGTAGCTGTATGTTTGACTTAAATTGAGTTTCCAATGAGTTTGGGATGGATAACAGCAGCCAAGTTCATTCAGACACAACTGCCATAATCATTCTTGACGTCATTTCCTTATGTTAAGAAAACTACAAATACTCTTCTTTCCTTTCCATTCTTCTTTTGCATTCCTGCTCCAGCCAATCTCCTCCTTTGCAGTCACCCCTTGGTCACTACTCACTCTGCAGAGGGGTCTGAGAGGTCCCCTCCTCGTCCTGTGGCCAGGGGACTGGCTCTCAGCCATGTGAGTTTAGCAAACTCTTACTATTACTCAACATTCAATAAACATTATTAGTACATCTATTTCCTGGGTGTTGTTATTCCTTGTGAAGGCCTCCAACCTGAACTCTACATGGCAAGAATTGACCAATTGGTGTAGTAGGTTTCATGCTTGGTGGATGAGTGGGGGTGCAAAGTCCTGTTGAGTACTGTATGTTCTACATTTGAAATGTATTTAATATACTGCACTAATAAGAAAAGGACAAGAAAAAACATTGTGTAGACAAGTCCCTTTTAACATTATGAAGTGTTAAATATGAAAATATTGAATATTGCACGCTTACTATACTGGATGCTTGTCAGATACAAAAGTATTGCAAAGGACCATGAAGTGGAAATCAATAATGTCTTCAGTATTAGCTGTTACAAGACAATAGAAACTAATTACATTTCAGTCATGTGAAATATGCTGTAAATTCAAAAATCATCATGAGTAAGGTGGTTCTAATGAGACATTCTACATTGTAAGGAAGTACCTGTATATAAAATCAACAATTTTAACTTTCATTTTAAGAGATATAGCCCCCTCTGCTGTTTGAATTTAGCATAGTTTGTCTTTGCTCTTTCTTCAATAAAACTAAGATATTCCTGACAATTCTGCAGATAATTATCCCTTCCCTCAAAATGTTTAAATATCATTCTGTCTTACAGAGAAAACTTTAATTTTAATTTTATAGTTTTATAAATTAGCCCATATCTAACCTCCAAATTGTTTCCACTGGATCTGTTAACCGGTAACAGGTATCAAAGGTGTGCAAAGAAAAAAAGATGCCTAAAAAGATACATCTGAAATCTCATATTCATGGCAAATGTGGTATATACCTTTTTGTTCATACTTAATTTCTGTATGCTGATCTTTGTTTTTAATAGATTGATAAATATCTAAAGTCAGATGGAGTTCATTAAAAAGTTTCTCACCTCTAAACACAGGCAGTTCTGTTTAAATAAATAGGATTATTTATTGCCAATATAAAATTGTGTACTTCTTTCAAGTTAGATTTATAATATGTTTTGTTTTGATATGTGGGAGTAAGAAAAATGGAGCAATTATTTTTAAAAAACATATTGCAGTAGCTGTCTTTTTAAAATGTTATAATCATCTTAATTTATTTCCTGGTAATACCCTTCAGTTTGGGTTTGTGAGTTCTTGTCTAATATGACTTAACTGCTGCCAGACCATGCTAGCCTGGAAAAACAGCATAAGGAATATTCTGTATGGCTCCTTTCTATGAGGATTAGACTATGTCTATGTCTCCAACTGTAGGGGGTTTTGAATAGCTTTTCGATAATAACAATGCAGAACAGAAAATAGTAATTCGTTTTTTTAGTAATGAATATGTAAATTATGCATAACATAAAAGTTATATCCACATGGCTGAAATGCACCAAATGCTTTTTTTTTAGACCCTGGGGATTTTTTGATTAATTAACTGAATACTTTAACCAAGATACTTTAGCCATTTTATTTCAAAGTCATCCAAAGCCTGTCGATGCCTTAAGCACAGGCTAAAATATTATTCATTTTTCATAAATTAATTACAGAATTGTGGACTACTGTAAAGTTGGTCTAAAACAATCACACATCTCTATCCTTTAGGTGCTTTCACTCATACATCCTATAGTTCATACTTTAAGTCAAGAAGTTAACAGAATTGTCCATCATTGTGCTAATATAAAAAATGTGTTGTTTGCACTGTTTCTCTGTTGTTGACTGGTGTACAGCAAATACAAAATGGATACAACTTCATGGCATGAAACACTAATTTCCCAATTAAAATACTTTTTTTTTAAATGAACATCTTAAATGGCATATGACATCTTTTCAGCCCTTACCATAATATGTGACAAAATGTGTAAAAAATCATTCAATACTAATTCTAGTCCATCGCACTGATGAGGTCTGACCATAAATTAATACAAATAATTGAGTTATAGCTTGCTGTACAATAATAACAGTTTTTGAACTACAATCCTAAATTGTATTCTAATACAAAAAAATGATTGATTAATCTCTCAGCACAATTTAATGGATTATTCTGTCATTCAGAACAACAAGAAACTAACAGCGTCTTACCTTTCTGAATGGGGATCAGCTGTGTTCATATCATGGGCTGACACCTTCAACTCACTGATCCTGATCTTATCCACTTTGTCCCAGACTGTGATGGAGTAATAGATGAAAAAACGGCCATTGTGTCTGTACTGCGGGTGAAAAGCAAGTCCAAGAAATCCCCGTTCATCCCCTAGCCAGGGAGTGGTCAGCACTGTACCACTGAGGTCCAAGAATGGCTCTTCCAAACGGCTGCCATCCTGCAGGTAGATCCACACAAAGCCCAGCTGCTCTCCTACAAACATGCGGTGGGTATCGTCATTGCTGTGCAACATCAGTACTGGGTTTCTCAACCCATTAGCAACCTCAATCAGACACAGCTGAAGGCAACCACTCCTGTCCTGAACCATACTACCTAAGTTGCGGTTGAGGATGGTGTTCTGAAGCACATTTGGATAGCAGTAGTCTTGGTCTGGTAGATTAAGCAAACTGCAAAACATGAACCTGTCCTTCTCACAGGTCTCCTGGATATGCTTGTCATCAGTAAGGAGCTTTACAACTGAGTGGCACTTGACATGGAACTCTGAACAGTAATTGAAGCAAAGACCTGGCAGGTTCCTCAAGGGAGTGTATGGGTTTTCAGCATCATACAGGTGGGCAGCATAAGGAGAGCACTCCTGAAAAACAAACTCAGTATTATTTTGCGAAACGAATGTGTCTCTTTCTTTAGTGGTTCAAGCTTTAATCATACAAAACCTATAAGTCAACAACAGGTGAGTTAGGATATGTAGGAAATATATGTGTATTTTGTTTCAGCCAGGAGCAGAATATACTGTGCAAATGAAGTTAACAGCCATTGGGCCTTCTTCTTATTGTTTCTAATCATACTGTATGTTTTCCCATTTTAAAATGCCATATATGAATGTCCACATTTCCATTTAAAATCAAATGCAAATACTATTCTCCAACACCAAATGTCAGTTCCATTATTTCTTAACAGAGCAAGTCAAAGGTGAAAGAGCTAAACTTGCATGCCAGCTGGAAGATAGATGAGGGTTGTCCCATGTCAAATGCATTTAATCTAGACCTGGGGTAGGAGACTGGGGTCTGCCACAAACAGCACATAGACTAGATGAAACCTCCTGTTTGTTGATTAAAAATGAATTGAAATTCCACAAGCTGAATTGATTTTACAAAAACAATAGTCCCTATTTTGTAACAGCAACCCCACTATATAACAGATGTGATGGAGAAAGAATTACAGTACTGAGAAAGGTTTGTGAATCACCAACCAAATTATGTGATTATGTTTTACCATGATACCCTTGTCTGCCAAAATAACCAAAACTGTTTATATTTACTAGTTTAAAGTTTTTTGAGATTCAGATCACTTTATTGGCTATATACAATTTCTGGTATTAGGAATTTGTCTTTTCGCTTACCCCAACTTGCTCTCCATGAGACACACAGACAGGGAGAGAAGCATACGGCGCTCCTGGAGCAGTTGGGGTTAAGGGCCTTGCTCAGGGACCCAACGGATTAGGATTCCTCTGCCGGCTGTAGAATACAAACCAGCAACCTTCCAGCCATAGGCGCAGATCCTTAGCCACAGAGCCATAGCACCACCCGCGAAAGGAGAAAAGGCTTTACCCCATGTGAGGATCGAACTCACTAACTTCAGATTTTGAGACTGACAAGTTACCTATTGTGCTAATAAGCTGCTCATTATATAAAATGAACGCTGATATATGAAACAGAAAAAAACTAGCAGTGTCAGTGAAATAATAAGTGAACTGCTAGTTTACTCAGTACAATAAAGTGAATAATTCGAAGGAGCTGTTTGAATAATTGGGATACAAGTAATCAAGAATTGAGTTTGGGCGTCCTTTCTGATGAAAAACAAAGACCAATAATATGCATTTTGGTCCTTATAATGTGCAAACAGTAATATATCTACAATATTCCTAAACCTGTCTTAACCCAACAAGGTGATGGAAACACCCAATCGTGGTCCTGATGACCCACACACCTGTTTTTATTCAATCCCACCTTAATCAGATAATTGAAGCCTTAATTGATCTAAGGAGTTGCTTCATTTGAATATTTGTATTTTGTTTCAATGTCAATGAAGGGTTTGTGTACCTGAGGACTTGGCTGGAGCAAAAAACAACACAACTGTGGGTCACATGGACCAGGACTGGGAACCACCACAATAAGACAATGATTATAAACAAAACAGCAGAATTACAACAGCTTCGCGGAAGAATAAATTTCACTATCTGGATTGGCCAGGTCAAAGTCCAAAGCTATACCCAACTGAAATGTTAATAAAGGACTCTAAAAGATCTGTCCATGCGAGGAAACTCTCAAACATCACCAACTTGCCTTTTTTCTGTAATGCCTAAAAACCAATGCAACAGTTCCAGTTGAAGTTATTTCTACTCTGGGAGGTGCCACTCAGACCAGCTTTATCTATGGGTTTCCATAATTCTTTACACATTGAAATGTTCTTTTGTGAATTTTCTTAATTAAATAATCCAAATATATTTTATGTCTTTGCGTTTTACATTTAATCAAGTTATTGCCATCTTTGACAAAGACTGTAATGAAGATATAATTACTTTTTACTCATGAAATCATGAATTATAATTACACATCTAAAATATGAAAATACAAGACAAGATTTTCTAAGGGCAAAGTGCATATTAGTCAGGACACCGGGGCAACAGTATTGGAATAACTCCATTGTGATCATTGTGACCAAATAACCAGAACCTTCATTTAACATCTCATCTGGCATCTGAAACACTGAATTGAAATAGTGCCACCTACTGGTCCACCACCACCACTTATGGTAACATTGATTTTCCTTAGAAATCTCCAATCACAGTACTAAACAGACCCAACTCTGACAGTTCTACAACCAAATGTATTCTGTCACAAAAATAAAAAAGTGAATTAACTGATCTGATTAAATAAGTTCCAGACAAGGAATTGAAATAATCTTTTCTTTGGAAGAATGCAACACATAGATTCAATTCACCTGCTGAATAAAAGTGAACAAAAATAGAAAAATCACTACAAAACAAATGTAAATAGTACTTTTCTCATATAAAACTAACCTTTCTTGTGTAATTCTTGGATTCTTAGTCATATCTAACAATTTGTGAATATTGGTTTTCAAATGGTTTCTAATTTACATTTCTTTCTATAATTTTAAAGCAGTATAACTGTTACAGAAATTGTGGAGATACAGTACTTTTTGGCAAAGCTATTATTCAGGATATACAATATTTCAGGCAATGGAAAGTTTTATTTTTATTTTTGAATTATCTTGCACACATTTAGTGGATCTTCCAAGCTCATACATAACAGAATTTTGAGTTATTTTGTTCTTCCAATACCAATATACATGTTTTACAATGCACAACAATTAATGTCCATGTCCTGAAATCTTGAATCATTTAAATATCAGTTTATAGACTTCTGCTTCAGGGGAATTTCCATTGATCTTTATAACAGATTATTATAAAAATAGAGTTCATCTGTAACAAATTAGGACATTTAAATATTCTATATGCAACATGTTACACATCTGAAATTTAATTTTTGCAATCTCTGTCAAAACCAAGGTGATTGTAAAATGAAAAAACTACATACCATCAACAAAGTGTTGTTGGGGTAACTGATTAATCATAACTGTCCTGATCAAAGTTGCATTTGCATTTAAATCATAATGCAGGATAATGCAGGATACAATAATATGACCAATGAAGATCACGGTAGCTCATTTATTAAATTAAATATATAGCACAATTTCTAAAGTTCAAAATTTCAATGAGCAGAATCCATTATTTCAGAAAGTATGTGGTAAAGGTTTAATAGTAGAAACAATTTTGTTTTTTAAGCAAGATAAATTAGATTTTTGTTCACTTAAAAGTAGGGGTTTTGTATTTTAGATGCGTTATACTTGGGGATGTAAAAGCAAAATATTTTCAAGTCATTATGAGTAATAATAAAGTCACAAGTAAAATATTTCACACGACAAAGTTTCAAAACGTAAAAAATGGTTAAGATATTTTTTCGAAACACGGTGCTCTCTAAAAAACTAAGCAAACGATTTTTTTTAAAAGTGGGGTTTCCTCTGCTGACACTAAGATGTTTTTCCTAAAGTGCCAAGTACAGTATTTCCAGTTGCTCTTAGCAAGCGAAACAGTTGTTCTGACACCGAAATGTACAGAGATCTCTATAGCCGATGCTGGGGGAAAAATAAAGAGATACTGAGTAATATCGCGTTCTGTAGTAATACAACACATATTTGTGAATTCTATACCATAATTGTCATTATCTTAGCAAATATTATGAATTTTTTTCACGTCCTCGACTCCAGACAGCCTGCCAACTACGAGGACCAATGCTTAAAGACAGTTCTCCAACCGTATTTCTCACATTACGTTTTGTCGTCTCCGGTGAACTTCAAGAATTCAATCAATATTGCCTAACAAGTGCCGGACAGAGGATGACTTGGTTTTCCCCAGTATGTTTATTAGGATGCAACATGCTCACCAATGTGTATTTTTAGCAAGTATATACAGTAGGTTGACTGTGGCAGACGTAGTAAAGACATGCAGACTAGCACAGCAGCAGAATACTTGCAACTGGTTGTACTTCTATGAGCTTTTGTATTGATATTGATTTTTTTTATCTTCAGTGAAGCTACGACAAAAATGTAATACTACGTGCAACTCGTAGTGGGTCCAAAACATGAAATTATAGCTAACAACGTCCTCATAAATGGAACTTCATATTTTTCCATAAATTATAGACTAAAATTCTGTTGTTGAATACTTTATTAAACATTGTGAATGTTTTTGTACATACACTAATATATCTTCTACAGCAGTTTATGAAGAAAAGCACTAATGTATCACAACGCATACATTTAAACGTGTTTCTCATCTTTCATTTTATTAAACCGAACGTGCATTCACATAATTGTATTAATAAAACTAGACTAATACCTATATTTTCCATTATTTTTTGCTTAAGTGACTAGATCTCAAATGTACGCAAATTAGTGCTTAAATTATCACTATGTAATCACTGGTGTATGAACTTTCCTTATTAATATTTATTGTGGCAGGAAAAAAGTCCAGTAAATTATTGAATTCATGGCAGAGCATGGAATAGGTTTTATCTCATGTACAGTATGTAAACCATAAGAAACCATAAAAAAGCAAAGTGATTTAAGTATTGAAAAATACCTCAATCTAGTTTAACAGTTAAATTCTAAAGAACGTTAAATAGTTTACCAAGTTACGTTTCCATCAAAAATAAGCTCTGGCTTTTAACATATAGTATAGTTAAAACATTTAAAACAGGTTCATTTAGAAATCAAGCATAATTAAATGCAGGAGACCATGAAAGTGTTTTGCGTGTGTTTGTGTCTTTGGGGCAAAAATATACATCTTTTCGATAAATAATTTGATTTCATATAACTCCCACTAAATACAATCCTAGCTTCTTAAAAGTGCAACGACAGGTATTGTACCTGGCAGAGGATGTCTTTAACGAACCCACCGCACAGTTCGTATCCCTGGATATCATAGAAGTCCATGATGTCCCAATATCGCTCTGCAATGGCGTTGTCTGTGTCCTGGTCACAGCACCCAAACGTTTCATATTCGGTGCAGAATTCCAGGTGGAAGGGAGGTTTAAATGGAGGTCGGTAGTCCAAGCACTGGGGATGGCCAACTGAGTTTCCAACCAACAATAACACAAAGACTATGAAAAGCAAGCGATTAAGTATGAGAGAGAAGTTAAGTTTTCCAGCTTGTCTGACCCCCTCGGCATACAGCATGTGGGAATCTTTGCGGTAACGTGCGCACTGTTCTAGGTAATCATGGGCACCCGGCTTAGTCGTCATCTTCGCTTTATAATTCATTTGGTGCTCAAATGTTTGCTCTGGTTCTCAATGGGGTTTTTGTGGGACGGGTAATACCCCTCTCCTTGGCTGGAATTTCACACGTCATTCAAACATCACTCGTGTGAATTTGCTTTTTTCGTCTAGGAATTTTGCAGCGCCAGATTGATCTTTCTTGTATTTAGGGTTCTTGAAAAGTATTTCAGTACAGAATCTAGACCTCCTGCTTAATCACAACATTGTATGGCTGTTGAGATAAAAGAATAATTTAAAGTCGGACAAGTCGGACCTTTTAAAATGAAATGTTTAAATATTTAAAGGAGATTACTATGTAGATGAAATTGTTGCATAAAAATGTGTAGTTAGTAAAGTATTAAGGATTCATTGGCTTTCTTTATGTTTTAATAAAATCAGTAGCACACCTGATAAATAGGGGTTCTTAAACTGGGAAAATGCTGGTTCAGTTTTCCAGGTAGTATTTCCATTGTGTATCTTTTATTTGCTCATTGGGTGTATACAGTATAACATTAATCTGCTTTATTCTGTAATACTATACATTGTAATTTATGCTGGGCAATCAGAATACCATTTGTCTTTTGTGACGTATTCATGTTCAGTACCACAGACATATCAGTCTAAAAAAAACATCCTTAAATGGTTAAATGAAAAAAAAAATCTCAGGCAATTCTTCCACCACCTCTGTCACAGCAAGCATTTTTGTTTTCAGTACTTTTAATGGCATTGCGTCTTTCCACCTTTTTAATAACAAGTTACACTTTCATAGTTTTTGATTAGATGCAGGTACAGCACCAGATTGACATCTCTGCATTGTGATTAATTTTGTTTGCATTATTTCATATCAATAAGTTTTAATTGTATACTTTTGCATTATGCTTCTATGCACTAATATTTAGTAGATTCATTCACTGATGATAATATTTCACAGTGCCATATGGAGTGGTTGTATTATAATAGTTTCAGTAAATGTGTAAATAAATGGCAGAATTTGGTTAAATATAACATACTAATGTGTCATAGCATTGTTCTATGCAGAATGGTATTGTTTTGGATGGCTACAAGAGTGTGAAGGTGGCAGAAGATGATGTTTCTTATTTCTCATCAGATGAGAAAGAAAACGTTTTGTGTTATTTTATGACTACTACATGCCATACAGGGTAGTGTATTGAACATTGACATCTGGGATGTAGGGGATGAGAGAACCCATAACAAAAGACCAGATTGTGAGTAAACTCTTCTAAATGTTCTTATGCCATTGTCTGTTACTGTTCCTGCCATCATGTCCAGTTCTGGTCATTACCCGTTGCTTACTAATTGAGTGTTACTGTACAGTATGCATTTTGAAGTCTTACCAAGTTGTTGCCTGCACATGCCTGGAGGTGTATAAGGAATGGAACGTGATCTGAGTCTTCTGTGAGACTGTGATGCAGTCTGTTCTCCCTTTATAACTGTGCTGGGAAGCCAGTCAGAGCTGTGAGCTGTGAATTTGGGGGTTGCAAGCAAGGTGCTTAAATTAAAATAAAATAAAAATATTCAGATTCCTATTTATACTGAATCCACATGATCATTTTTAGCCTGAAACCAAAGAAGCTTGACTTTGCTGGGTTTAATGGCTGAAGTATGAAATGTGGAAAATCCTTCTTTTTGAGATACTGGCTGTAAATATATTCTTGTAAGGCATCATTTCTGTCAGAAGATTATAGTTCATACAGAACTGCTCACCTCAACAGGAGAGAAGTCTACTGTATGGCTTAATGCCCACTCGAACAGTGCTATTGGAAAAGAGTGACACTTTTTTTCTCTGCATGCTTCCTCCTCGGCACTTGATTTTTTTTTATTTTGGATGATCACCACCTTGTATTTCCTGTGATACAGGGGCTGGATTTCTTAGAAAGGAGTGATCTTTATTTTGATGTGCAAATAATATTAATTCCCTCAGTCAGGTGATTAGAAATTCGAATCTATTATGATGAAGGATCACAATATGGGAGCATCATAAAAAGCCCAACAAGATATATAGCAGTGCGGGACCTCCCAGCAGCTGTCTTTGCTGATAAAACATCAGGGATCAATTCATCAGAGTCTGTCCACCTCTGGTTAAAAGATTAACTGTGCATTGTTCACATGTAAGACCACAGGGGGGAAGCCTGCACAAAGCAGAATCTACAGAGTCTTGTCTTCAAGAAGATATTGATAAAGGAACTTCTGGAGCAAACGGTTCAGTGATGTTATGTTTTAACATTTTCATGTCTGTGGTGGAGTAGCATGGGGGTGCAGTGGTTAGCATTGCTGCCTCACAGCACTGGGTTTAATTCCAGACCTGGGGTGCTATCTGTGTGATGTTTGTACAGTATGTTCTCCCTGTGTGCATATGGGTTTCCTCTAGGTGTTCCTGTTTGCTCCACCAGTCCAAAAAATACTGGTAGGGTAACTGGTTTCTGGGAAAACTGGTGCTAGGTGTGAGTGTATGTGTACCTGCCCTGTGATGGACGTGTCTCCTGTCCTCATACCCATTGCTTGCTGGGATAGGTTCTGGCTCCCCCGAATGGGAAGAAGCAGTTAGAAAATGGATGGATGTCTGTGGTGCTGAAACTTTGTTTTTATTTTGTGTTGACAGCAACAGCTTTTAATGCTGGATGAATTTTGATTCATACCCAGTGCATTCTGTCTACCATATGACCTTTCTGTTCAATGTTAGCCCTTAAGCTCTGACCTGCAGAACAGCAATCACTTGACTACCATTGCAAGTTTTACTCCTCCACTCCAACATACATACAGTGAATATACATGTACATAACATATTGAAAATATATGCAACAAAACAATTATACTTAAATTAACCATCTACGTAAAACAATTATACAACATACTTGGTACAGGAACATATACAGCACATTTAAAGTAAAATGTAAATCATTACACAAAATGGATTTACTCATTTGAATCCCATTCTGTGTGCCTTCCATTCAGCTGAGTTTTCCATTGTATCCTACAGATTTAATTTGACGTCAATTGATATCAGCCTCAGGCCAGAAATCCTTTCCTTCCCATTGAATTTAGTTTTTAATGAGCATTAGTTTTGAAATGGATCTCTCTCCAGTTTCTACCGTCACAAGTAAGGTGCTGAATAGAATTAGAGTGATTCACCCCTCAGATACACTGGCAGAGATGGCACTATTTTTAAAACATATGTTGGCTATATGACTTAAAACTGATTAACAACTCTCTGTAAGCTCTAAAGTTTGAGAAATGCACAACTACTAAATTGATGCAGCCACAAAAAAACATTTACTCTAAAATAATTTTTGGATTTGGGATTTTTTTTTCAAAATGTCTTATTACTTTCATTACTTTGTATTTCCTCAAACTCTGATTCCTCTTCCGATTTGTCGGACAATATAACTGCTGTGTTTATGAGCTTCTTGAAATCAAGCCATTACAAGGCTAAATCGTCTGTGGCACCACTGAGCAAAGTTACTGCTTTGTGGAGGTCTGTGTCTTTAATTGTAGCATCTGTGACACAATAATTACCTTTCCCAATATCCTAGTTTGGAAGAAAAAAAAAACAAAACAAAATTTAATTTTCCTTGATAATCTCTAATGCTGTTTTCTCCACTGCCTTTGTATTTTTACTTAAAAGAAATACTTTGAATAGTACTTTGATGAAATCCACTTACTTGATCCTTGAATGGACTAGTCATTCATAGGAGGATGACCATCTGGAAGGGCTCAGCTTTTTTAGGGGTTTATTGGGACAACCTTTCTGAAGTAGAGTCAAATGAAAACATTAGAAGTCACGTCTTAATGCTGTGTACAAAAATTATACAACCTTTCAATCACCTCATAAAGTGTATTACCTCTGACTTTCTTTTGACAGTATACAGACTGTATACAGTATAACTGAAACATGGAAAGCTAGGTTTAGATCAGTGTATGTACGCAGCTTGCAGTTTTTCCTTTGATGTTCTTGCATGCACCCCAAAATGCAAGCAAGAATATTGTGGTGGCACCTCACACCCCTGTCCATGACACTTTGTAGGATCTAAACCTTTCTTGTTTGCATAACTGAGGTCTGAGTTCTTTGAATTCTTGAAAGATGTCTGAAATCTATGATGTACCAGATCTATACATTTGATCCTTATTGTCAAGAGCTAAAGCAGTTATTGCTAACATCTGTGTTGGAACCTGAGTTTTTTAAGTCTTTAGCTTGGTTTTACAAGTCAGCCTATAGCGCTGGTTGGAACCATTCTTTTGTACCCTTTCATTTCATGCTTGTTATAGCAAAATAAAACTTGGAACAAATTCAGTCTTCAAGATGGTTAATTATATTTTAAAAGTTTTAGAAGCTAAAAATACATTACCTCCACCAAGATTATAATTAATTTTTTACTGCCTACCTTGATGTTGACATGGCAGCCCACATCTTAATTTCTAAAGCATTCTATACAGATGACTGCTGCTGTTAAGATGTTAATTATCAATCCTTGTACAGGAAGCAGCAGCAATATTGTAATTTTAATTAAAAATGTATAATAAATGAAACAATCTGTAAAATCCAGGCTTCCCTGAAAGATTTAGGGCCTAATTTTAATAACCCAACTCAAGGACAATATGCAAATGTACATGCAAAACTGCCCTACAACTGAAGAAGAGGAGCTTGTAGAGTGTAATTTTGACCAAACAGCGGGAGTTTAAATTTTCTTGCCAATACTAACATATTTACAACTGCAATTGGACATTAAGCTTTATTAGGTCTGCACAGAGAATTATACTACATTTTCCTAGGAACAGGCTTCCATGTATAGTGTGCTTCCCTGTAGAAAACACAGTAATTAGAAAAATGTAACTTGAACAATAACCACCCTTAAGAACTTTGTCCCAATAATTGTAATCCTGGTCTGTGATTGGACCCCACACCTCACTGCCATATGGGGCAATTGGTTGTGTAAAATGTTCAACTATATTGTACAGCCTTTAATGGCACCAAAAGCCCTTCATGCATTCTCCTACAATGTCCTCACTACCCAGATATCAGCCGTCACTGGATCACATTGCATTTGTCAGTGTGAAATTTCATGTGCCATGCTTCTTCTGCCCAGTAAATCATCAAATTTGCACATAGAATCAATAATGTATCTGCACATATACAGTAGTTGGCTGTTACAATGCACTGAACAGATCGGAAAAGCTGTGTCTAGGTGACACGCTGAGGAATTCAAATGCTTGATCCCAGTAAAAGCTTGAGGAGTGACAAGAGCTGAAAGAGATAAACAAACCAGATCAGAGTACGAAGGCAGGTGGAGATAGCCAAAAAATATAATACAGACTGAATTGAAGGCAAGCACAGCTGTCAGGGCTGAGCTGGGCTGGCCACCAGGCAAGTGGTTCAGTTGTTTCCTACTGGTCCAGTGCTTGGTTAGACAGACGGGGCACCAACAGGCAGATCAAGTTCAAGGCAGACACCAGAGCTGAAGTCAGGCTGGATGTCTTTCTTAGGAGTAGGCTTGTTATGCTGTGAGCACTAGGCTGGTCAGGTTACTCAAAGACAGAGCACAGGATCAGTGGCAGTTCTGGGGTTAAATGGTGTTGACTAGTGGAATAACTGTTTAATAGGAGGTAGGGTGTTGGGACAAGTGGCCCAAGTGAGACCCCAAAGCCCCAGGAGGTATTTGCCTCCCCATGTGTATGTGGCCGGTTTCTGTGGAGCTGCAGGCTCTGGCTCGCCCAGGTACAGTATAACACTAACTACACCAGAATCGAAAAACAATGAAAGATCAGGAAGAGCAACAGGACTATAACAGATCTTTGCAGTACTTTTCTGAACTGAATTTTCCTTGAATAAAAAAAAAAAAATTCCCTCAATAAAATCAACATTCAAAACAGAGACACTTTCATATTTTTTAACAAAATGACATTTACTAACGTAATCCAAAAATTAGGATTGGACAGAAAAATAAAAATGTTATGTACAGTAGATTTCATGCAGTACATTTTTATCATTATAACATTATAATTATAACATATAACATTATAACATTATAACATTATAACACATTTTGTCCATGTATATACATTGTTGAGAGCTCCTACATGTGTCAGTGCGAGACTTTTCATGAAGCTTTCTGGAAGCTCCACATATCATGCCACTTGCTTTAGTGTTAACTAATCCAATTCTTTGTTTCAAGCATTGTAGTACATCAACACCAAGATAATAAAGACCTTCCTTTTCTAAATCAATGCTGCTTCTTTCTTAGAATATGATTATTTTATATTTATTTAAATGTTGCTTTAGCATTTATCATTTTAAAGATATATGATTTGTATATACTTTAATTTATTTTTAAAGTTATGATCCTTCTCCTCTTAAAGTATAATAAAGGTTTGGATGCTAATGATGAACTACTGAAATTCAACTGTATAAAATAAGACTTCTGAAGCACAACCAACCTGTACAGGAAAGAAGGACTGTTTTGTGAACTTGAGAAAAGAGAAAAATATTTTGTAGTAATGATCACTGGAAAACAAAATTAAGAAAATAACTTTATAATAAGTCTTATTTTCAAGAAATGATTGTTCAGGCAAACAATGTCTCACAGAAACACAAATGTACACAAGAGTGGGGACATGTGGCATTTGATGAATAAGGCAACGAGTTAAAAATGACTTCACATACAGTGCTATACATTCCTTTTGAAATAACATGTGCAGTCATAAAACCTCTTAAGGAAAACCTCAAGGAGAACGAAACCTTTATTTTCCATGGTCACTTTCTTCTTTAAAATACTAAGGGAGAGTATAAGAATAGGAATGGTTTACATGCTTATAAATTGACAAAAAAAAGTTAAGACCTTCTTAAGTCTGCAAACAACAACTACCGAAGTTTACATTTGCGTTTGGTTGCTTTCTTGGATTCTTTCTTCGTTTTTTTCTTTAGCTTTTGACAGTGCCCACCCTTCTGGCTGCAATACACAGATTCTAAAATAAAGAGAAAATAATAATTATTTGTAAGCACTCATTTTATTTCTAGTGTGAACAATTTATTAAAATGATCTACTGTAGTAGTTTCACATTTTTGAAATATGTGATATTCTGTATGAAAAAAACATGCAGTAAATGAGAGTATAAATGAGATATTGTAAATATCTAGTCAGTAATAACTTATTAACTTTCTTATTATTAACATTTATGGGTTTCTGAATTCAGCAATTATGATGACAAATAACTATTTTAAAATCTTTCCAAAAAATATTCCTCTTCTTATTTATGCTACTGCTTGCATCTGGACAAATTTAGTGAGTACTAATTTCTGGTATTTTAACTATTGAGAACATTAATTGGCTATTTAATAACACAATCCTTAAACTACAGCAGAGTCAACAGTGCACTACTGCGGTATATAAATAAATGAAATATGAAACAAAGCACTTAAATTCAGTTACCTCCAAATTTACGGAGAACTTTTACGGTTCCTTCAGAACATCCATTTTATTTTGCTCAGAGATTAGGTTAAACTGTTTTCCCCTTAAGTTTTTCTACGTTAGTTCTGTACAGTAAACCTGTTCATTTGTTTGGCAACTAAAACCTGTAGACTCACATGTTCTCTAATATCTATTCCATACTCAGAAGCTTATTTACCTTCTTTTTATTGCCTTTTTAGTGCAAAAAGATAGAATTGCACTGTTAAGTTTACCAAAAGCTCTTTTTTTTACATTATAAGCTTTGAAGTTGTCCTTGCATGTTTACAGACACAGCATCTAACCACAATAAAAAAGCAGATGTGGAGATTTGCAGAAAAGGCCATTACAGATGTGTGATCTTCTATACTGCAACTGATCTAGGAATGCCTTCATAATGAAAAAAACACAGCTCTATATACTGTTTTAACACCAAGTTGTGCAGTTTTATGACAGTTTTATGACAGGACAGACCATTACCTTCTGTTATATTGTGTCTATGTGTAGACTGTAGGAGGCAAAGATTAAATTCATGTTGAATTATTTATTTTAATGATCATGAACTATCCTATTTTCTTAACCTAAAGGGCTGCATCTGTTGATCATTATTTCTGATCTCCTTCTCTAGTATTAAATCAATACCTGAAATGTTAAGCCGCATCCAATTCTAAATCACACTCATTCAATGATCACTCAAATATATTTTCTAGCTGGACATCTTTTAGAAAACTGATCATTTAAAATACTGTGCTTCTTAACAGTACCCTTTTAGAGAATCAAATGCAAGAATTGAAAAATCACTTCCGACAATTATGTTTTTAAACATTATTTAAACTGCACCTGGGTGCTACATGGCTATGCATATTAGAATGATAAACTAGTTACTACACTGCTTCACTGCTTTTAATGTCAGAGTAAAATGATAATTTTGTACTGTCACTCCCAGGCATAAGTTATTAACTTCTTTATTTAGTTTTAGTCTATAAAGCTATTTTGTTTTGATTAATTATAAGCAATCAAATATTTCAGTTTGAAGTATACAAAATGATATAAGTGAATAGAGGCAGTATGATTTAAGCACCTAAATCAAAATTATGGCACTGAATTTAAAAGAAATCACACTTATTTAGAAGAAATTTTTATTTTCAGTGCGACAATCCTCTGTGGCACAGCTTGTGTGCATTCATTAATTGAATGTACACAACTGTTTTGTGCAAGATGACAATATTATAAAAATTATATTTAGAGATCCAGACAAATTCCGAGAGAGGTCTCTTATTCTTTCTCCAGAATTCTCCAAAGCCCCTAACTTTGTTTTCAAAATTAAGTCCCTGGAGTGAATCAAAAAGATTGTTATGCTTTCATGCAAAAATACCTATGCAATGTTGATGCCATTTTGATAATTCATGGAGCTTGACACCTCCAATTTGTGACTGTACTATTGAGTAGAAACATATTTCCTTTTTCTTTTTTGGGGGCTCATCTTTGAATTCACATTGCTAACAATGGGCAGTGAAAAAAAACTATATACAGAATGTGTCATATATAACATTTGTTGTTAAAAAAATATATACAAATGTTTATCCAAAATAACTTCTTTCTAAACTCAAGGATCATAAGGGGAGTGGTTGATGCCATCTCTTTGAACTACTCTTGGGTCTACCAACACCACAGTGAAGAATCGACACTTTTAGAAACAGCTGCGAAAATTCCTGCATTCCATTCAAGCAACTATGAAACAACTGCTGAACTATTTGCAAGGTCAGTGAGTGGACTATGGTGGATCTGTTATTAAAATCCACCAAAAAAGCAAACTGCTACACGTTTTGGCTGGTATTGCCAAATATGATCGATTATTTTTCCACTTTTCATAACAGACCCTTTTTCATTTTTCATGCTTTTTGAATGCCCCCATTTCTAATGCACTTAGGAAAGAGTCTTGCATCGGGTAATGTTCCAGTGATAAACCTCTAAGTAGGGTGGGCTCTTAAACATTCACAGAATGCATGCTTATTTTCCTCCACAGTTGTGGCAGGGTTGCAATGTAATTAAAACTGCAAACTATCACTTATACACATGTAGATGCACAGGCATATATTTCTTTCCACATGTCTTGACACACTTACTTTATGTGCAGAAAACAAACAGTGCAAAATGAACTGTAACTTCTTCTACATGCTTATCACACCCTACCCCAATACTGTCATAATAAAGATTAGTTAACATTGCATATATAATTACTGGGATAGAAAATACATGTTGCCTCCATGAAAAACTTCAGTACATTCATCCCTGTAAAGTATTGGAATCATTACATAAAATCCATGTTCAGAATTACAATTAAAGTTTAGACACATCTAAGCACACATAAAGCTATTACCTTCAAGTGATGCATTATACCATTGCCGTGAACTTATATACGAACATAAGGATCCACAAGCAATCACTGAATCTGAGCAAAGATTAGTCCAATTTTTTAGTTGAACTCTTCACATGATGATTTCATGGGTTTTTTTCCTCAAAGAACTGTCAGTGAGTATAATATAAATACTCCAAAATGTAAAAGCCGAAAGATGCAACATCTGAACAAAATACAGAAAAAATAAATAGCTACCTATTACTAAGATTTTGCAACAGGCACCCAGACAAAAAAGGTCGTAATGACACAGACTCCTACAAAAAAGACCAAGTTAAAAGCCAGTTACCTAAAAAGGAATCTTAAATACAGCTCTTTCCTCCTCTTTTTTGCTGTTGTTGAAAAGGCGGTCTAATCCTTGTAGAGCACTAACAAAGTAGTATAGAACCACATAATTAAAGAGGACTGATGACAATGATTCACCAACAGCAAAGTGGTTACCAAATTCCTGGATGGCAATACATGATACAGTCTGTAGTTTTACTTTGCTATACACTAAAATTGCAAGAATTGCAAGTCCTACACTTAACAGGATGCCAGTCCAGGCAAATCATTTCAAACAGCAAAATGAAAGGAATGTTTCAGAACCTGAGACGCATCATTAAATTCTCATAACAATCCATCCATTTTCTAACCACTTTAGCCAATACTTCATCTTGAAAAACCAATGTGACACTGTAGGGTGTTACTCTGCAACAAGTCCCATTATTAATAATCAAATAATGGGAATTCCTTACACTTATGTAGCATATTTCTCGACACTCCATTCAAAGCCATTTACAGGTAATGGGGACACCCCTGCACCACCACCAATGTGCAGCATCCACCCGGATGATGCAACAGCAGCCATAGTGTGCCAGTACACTCACCACACATCAGCTATCAGTGGGGAGGAGAACAAAGAGATGAAGCCAGTTCATAGATGGGGATTATTAGGAGGCCATATAGACATACTATGAAGACAGATGGCATGACTGTTTGTGTACACAAACCATGTGTGAAGAGTGTGCATGCCCCTGTGTATGTACAGAAACATATTACTATTAGGAGACTACAAACCCTTCAATTTGTCCTGTTCAATGTTGTAAATTTATGGTTACAGTTGTGTTCTTACCTTGCTTTGTGGTCAGATATATCTTGCTGGGAAACTGTCTCTTTTTTTTTTAAAGCTTTGCACACTCAGATGTGGCTTTTCAGTATGGCCACTGTCTGATCCATATTGTGAGGAAGTGCGTTACGAACCGGGTCACCAATTTCTATTAATTGTGCTCAATATTTGTTTTAAACACAGATGTAGATTAAAAAATTTGATGTCATAAATATAATTCTATTCTTTTTTGGGATAAATCAATGTAGCTGTATCAGTTTTTGCTTTGGATGAATACCCCACCATACCCAAAAGTGCTTTATTTTTCCAACTAAAGGTTAAGCCTGGGCTTTTCTTGTGCACAAAAAAGTGTATAATTTTGTTTTTCAAACACCTCACCACTCATTGATAATTGTGGGAAAATCAGGCTCCACTAGGGACACAGAGGCATTTTATTGTGCGGTTGTCCCTCATCATCATCATCTGTGAAGGACTGCTTTATCACACAAGGCTACCACACTCACAATCAGCAAGCACCCAGAGAATTAACTAGCAATGTGTGAACCATGTGGTTCAACCTGTAATCAGCCTTGAAGTGATAAGTCATTTTGGCATTTTGGCTTTAAAACCTAATATTATGAAGGAACAAGCAGAGGTTAAGTAGAACACACTGAAGTAGAACACATACATTAACTTTGTATCAGCCACCAAACTCTTTTTTTCTGCCCTGTTAACCAAGACATAAGAGTGCAGTCTGCAAGAGCGTAATAAGAGTTCCTTGCTATCCAGATGTCATTTAACTTGTGATCTGGACCCTGTTACAATATTTTTACTACCATATAAAAACTGACTCTAGCCACAGGGTCAGCATTTCAGACAGTATGCCTGTGGTCGAATATGTAAACATTCTTTATGTTTGTTTTACATGGTTTCTACTACTTTGGTTTGCTATCTCCAGATGTCAATTAAAGATGAGCTTTAAATTTTAATATGATTTAATTTAATCAAGCTACAGTAAGGGTGATAACAGCAGTATTAACATTATTTCAATCGCCACTGATTCTCCCAATAGTTTTGCAAGTTAGTAAATACCTTGAAACACTGCCAGTAGCTGCTTGTACAAAAATACAAAAAATGAAGAAAAATGACAAAAGTATGCCAAGATCAAAGAGTTAAGAAGCAAAACATGACTGAACTGCATTACTAGAACTCTAAATAACTAACGGTACCATCAATGGACTATTTTTAAAGGACAGGACAGAGAAGAAAGAAGAGTGACTGTGGCAGACAGGCTTAAAAGGTAGCTGGGATAGTTCTATGCTTGTTCAAATACACACTTGGGAAAAATCTTTGAACAAATAAATTAGTATCAAATATAAATATGATCAATCCATGCAGTGTAATGATGACTGCATTAAGCTAGCCTTATTCTTGTTCTGTACTTAAATTGCTTAAAATAGTTCTTTGCCAAATTTAGTTTAAGTCAATTTCTATAATAAATACTGTAAATGATTTACTGTGAGTGAAAATGTACATGATACAGTGTTGAATTATAGTTTATTAAAAAAATACCCAGCGACAAAAGTGGGTATTAAAAAGTCTTCAGACAACAATGAAAATAAGGATTTGAACAACTATGATCTCCACAACAAAATAAAAGACACTTATAAGCTGAAAAGGCTTAAATGTTATCTTCAAAATATGGAAGGCTATTAAATTTGATATCTAAAAAGTTATTAAGATAAAGGTCAATATTAAAAATATACCGTGCCTACAGAAAGGGTATGAACTTTCTATTTAGACTTTTCAAGGTTTTCATTTTTAATGTCTGAGCATTTTTTTGGGGAGGCCATGTTACATAGTGTAAATAAAGGTAAAATAACTATCCTGATTTCAGGCTGTTAAGCCACAAAATACGTTACTTTGGAAAGAGTGTGCAGACTTTCTGGAGGGACAGTATTATAAAACAACGTAATACAGTTTATTATAACAAACATACTTACTATTTTCCATAACTGCAGCTGCAACAAAAGATTTCCTTCTGAACAGTTCCTTGTTTTCCTTGAAGTCTTGCCTTGCTAGATAAGTACTAAAATGAAATGTAGGCCACCAGTCTTTTCTCAGCTTCCACTCTTCATCAACAAAATGGAAACAATCCCTATGAACAAAACAAAATGGAATTTGATAAGGCAAAGTGACAAGAAAATGTTTTTGTTGTTGTTTTATTGTATTAGACAGACATTATACACACCTCTTGTTATTCTCCAGCTTGTGCAATGTGCACACAGTGAAATATAGCTCCTGTTTTGCTCTTCTTATAGTGTCCTATTTTTTATTGCAAATGTCTCATTTTTTTAAAATGGAATATTTTAATATACCCTTGAATGCTTAAATTAAACACCTTTGCGGGTGAAACACAAAGTGTCAGTAATTAGCCTAAAGTAAAATCAAAATCTAACATATGGTGATAGCAAAGTATTAATTCTCCTCCCTTCCTAAGACGATATGAGGTGGAAGTATCTTCTACAGCGCATTTCATCCAAGCTTCCTTGCAAGTTGGTTGAGGATCAATGATGGACAACTCAAGTTTTCAAATTTTGCCACAGACGTTTTTGGTCAGGACTTTGAAACCGCCACTCAAGAATGTTCACTTCTGTATTGTTAAGCCACTCCAGCATATCTCTGGCCTTGTGCTTTGTGTCATTTTTCTGCTAAAATCCTTTGCCATACGTTTGTTATATCACTTAAATGCTTTATTACGGTTTAATTCAGTAACATCTTCCTTCTTGTTATGCTGCCATACAGGTTGGATTTCTGGAGTGACTGTCATATTGTTGACTCACAGACGTGCCACATCTCAGCTCAGCTTGGCCTCATGTTGGCATCCCTAGCTAGTGTCCTCTTTGCCCAGATGTTCAATTTGGAGAGTCAGCCTGATCACAACGTCTGGATGTTACTGTACACCGTCCCCCTTCTTATGATCGGCTTATTAATGATCATGCTCAAAGAGTTATCTAGTTCCAGGGCTCTTGTTGTTCAGTAGCAAGAGAAGGATTCCCTGTCTCAGCCAATTGATATGATGCCTGGACAACTGTGGCCTCATAACAAGGAATTGTGATCACCAGCAGACTGACACCATAACCAAGGTTCAATGTAGAAAATATCGGAACTTTATGGTTCCACTTTCCCTTTGAATGAGCTTCTTTCCTGACTGAGTCACTCAAGAGTTGAATAATCTGGAATTGTTGACTTCTACAAGAAACACTTGAAACAAACTGGCCAATTTAGAAGGATCTAGATAGGTAAAGCTGCACTGCAAAGACTACTGCTTTACATTGCAAGACCTTTACTGTCACCTACTCTCATCTTCAGGGAAGCTTGCATGCAAAGTAATAGGTTTTCTCTGTAGTCCTTCATAATAGGAAATGCAACTAAGCAGAAACAAAGCAAATTTAAAAAAGCATTGATTCCTGAAACCTACCTTTACATCCAGTAATGGAATTCATCAGGCACATTGACAACTATCAGTATGAGTGGCTAATCTAAATAAAAAGGACACCATCACAGTCCTAAGAACTTTATATATCATTAATAAAATCTAAATTAAAACAGAAAGGTTTAGTTATGCTATTCATTCTTTTACACTTAAAGCTATTTTAAAAGCCACTGTGGTTGAACATCATGCTAAGAAAAATGTAATTAATGCTCATGTTATAATATTGAAAAATGTCCTCCTTATTTGAATGTCAGATTTTGTATTTTTTTTATTAGGAAATGATTTCTTACTTTTTCTTGAGCAGTTTGATGATTTCCCCCAGACAAATCCATGCATCCAGATTATTTTTCCAGCTGCTGTAGTCAAGCAGACTAAAAATTACCTTTACAGATTCTTGGAGATGTTGTGACTCCCCTGAAAATAAAAAGTAAAATTATATTTAAGTTGAGAACAATTAGAAGAAGGACAGTGCTTATAACATTGAAATGTTAAGAATCAGAAATAAAAGCATGTTATTTATAAACTGAAGTTAAAATTGGTATTTTGGCCATTACTAGAAAAAAAAGAACTTCATAAATAAAGCTATATATTACACTTAAACCAAGTAAACCTGTAAATAAATTTACTGAAGTGATACCCAGATTCAAGATGCACATTCTACAGCATTAAGTTTGTATTTTTATTACACACGTTTTTTCTAAACTTTTCTGGGGGAAATGGTCTGACCTAATCCATATTTATTGGTCATTTGGAATGTCTTATTTTTTTCAATCAATCATAACATTTTAACTTGGTGGTGAAAAAGTTCACACAAAATACCCTAGCTCAGGCATCCTGGCCTTGGCCCTAGTTGTAGTCCGGCTTTTCTACAATTTATTGCCTACTGGAGCCATTAGTAATTTCATCACCAATATCCACAAACACAATAGATTCAAGGAAACCTTTATAAATAAGTGAAAATACCTATTAATATACTCCTCACATTTAGAACCCATTTAATATGCTGATCCACAGAATATCATGGTTCACAGCGTCAAATTACCTGTGCTGTGTGCTTCTGGATTGCAAGGCAAATGTTCAATATCACGACAGTGTTCACACCCATGCCATTATTGTATCTCAGTGATCATATATTTTGTGCTAAGATTATGTAATGTTTGCTAAGGAATTTTTAGCCTGAAAATGTATTTTTAAAATCCTACCTTGAATTGTTTCAATTGCTTTGTCTCTTAAAACTATCTTACTATTATATCTACATACATGTAATGCTCTACATATCCTTAAAATGTAACAGTTGTACAGAAGATAAATAACTACGATTTTTCAAGTAAATTTGGAAACCTTTGTACAGCTAAGAACAGATAGGAACCATAAATGGGTCATGAAAAAGTTAACAGCATTTCATTAATAACATCATAACATCTAGCTTTTTGTGGATTTTACAAATTTCAAATGTTTGTTACTTTGCTACTAAACCTTACCTTAAAATAGCCTTACCTGACTTAAGCAGAAGAGAAGAAAATTCCAACATCAGTTCATGACTGGGGACTAAGGCATGTAAAATCTATTTTAAAAAAGCAAGGCATACATTTACCATTAAATATATTAACATACAAATATATATATATGAAATATATATTTTTTACCAAAAGACTCGGATCTGCTCTTCTACTGTCTACCCACTCACATATCCCTCAAACAGTACCAGAAGCCCAGAGAATAAGCTTCACAAATTCAAAGTTCACACATTTGACTAGCTATTTAAAAAAATGTTTGAGACTTAAATTAATAATTGGTTGACTATTTTTTATTTTGATATAACAAACAGTTTATGTAGGACTGTGACTTTCCAGCACACAACTATTTTTTTTCTAAACCTGCTTTATAACAAATGTCTATTAATTACACTAAATTTAATCCTGAAAATACCAAAGCCTCAGAATGCTTAAGTTAGATTTAGACAGAAACTTGTCTTTGTAATTTAAATGATCCGAGGTATTTGTTTAAAAAGAGATACGATACTGAATATTGATTTAATGTCTTATTAATGTACACTAACAGGTGAAAAAAATATAAAATAATACAATTAATAATATTATAAATACAATAATATACAGCTACGTTAAAATGTGAAGGTTAATGAAACATCTGACCATGGTTTCACTGGTGTATTTCACGTAAATACTGTATACAGTATTCTAAAAAAAAACAAGCATGAAGTTTGTAGCAAAATATGCATATACTCATGCCACCAATTTCTTAAGGATTCTATGGTGTCTTACATGTTTATTGTTGTATATTCTTAGCAATATATTTTCTGGCATGCCTCCTTCCTGACTTCTCTGGACACAAAACTACCCTACCACATACTCTAATTATGTTCTCAATCAGCACACTACAGCTCTGCCATACCCTGAGCACTGCCATCAAGGTCTTCTCAGAGGCCTGGTGTTTTTTTAAGAACTGGTACAGATACACGTGAGCATTTGGATTGGGGGGGAAACTGTTGTCATAAGCATATTCATTCAGGACTTTCAGAGCCTCACTTTCATTTTCATAGAAGTCCAGCATCTGCAACGGGAAAATGGACAATAAGAAAATGACCTGCAGATCCAAAATCAAAAAGAAACAGAAAAGATCATACCATCACAACATCCTCAAGTGGTGGAACATATTAGCCTTACATCTCTAAAATGTCATATATTTACAAGGATCTGAGCAAATAGTGGTTAGTCATCCATAGTAAACAACTGTAAATACTGTAAACCCAGTCTGTATAAATGTATTTAGAATTGCTTTGTCTTGTGCTACCCGCCGTAAGATCCGGATCAGGAATTTTAGTTTAAAACAGCACTGCCTTTTAAACTAAAAGTCACTGGCTATGACTGAACAAGAGGGAGGAGATTCAGGTTTTAATTGCAAGTCTGTTGCTTCTGTTGGGGGAAGCTGGAAGTTTGTGGAGAGTTTTAGTTGTTCAGTCTGAACAGAAATAGTAAGAGCCAGTGACTCTAGCACATCTAGCACTGTATCATTAAGGTGGCAAGATGTATTTCACTGTTTTTACCATCCCTGCACTGAGCCTCAATCATTTTCTACCTCAAAAACTTTTTGGCACTTTGTTTTGGGAGGTTTTCTGTGTTATTGCTTTTTTTATTGAAAATGAAATATTTTCAGTTCATTGCATTTTTGGACTTATGAAGTTTAACATTTATCCAATGGTTACCAGTACTGAATATTGCAGTATCATAAATTAAAGATACAGTGAAGCACTAAATTACCAGTGTAAGACTTTAATTAGTTTTAGTGACCACTGATGGTTGTCTTCTTGAAAATGCTGAGCATTTCTAATGCCTAAGCAGTCATCTCTTGATGTGGAGATCCTGAAAAAAAGTCCAATATTGTACCAACTGTGCCTCTAGATTCATTGACTGCTTAAGATATAATAGTCTTTGGAGAAAACTTAAAAGGCAGACCCATGTGCTGCCCTACCACACTGTGATCATAACTACAAAGCTGAACTGATGAGAGTCCTAGATCCTGATCCAATTTCGAAAGAGTTTAGAAAGAGTAGTAGCTTTAGGAGCCTTACTTTCTACATAGCAAGTATGTCCAGCGTGGTACAAATGGACACAAAGGATGACTGACTCAAACTGGAGAATCCAGTTTTAGACCAGATATTGTCATTTAACACAGTCCCTCGAACAAGGTTTAAACAGACATCATTGACAGAACTATTCAAGGGTTTTAATTGCTACTATACAGATAGTAAAGGTCCCAAATCTACTATTTCAGCTACACTACAGTATAAGAGGCACAGGGGGCCAAAAGCTGAAAGGCACTATCAACACACAACATCAGAACTGACAACTGGGAGAAGACTACTTTTCAGCACATCAACTGGAAAAGTAAGCCCATTCACTGGGCTGATGTATTTCAATGTGAGCGGTCAGAGAAGGTACAGGATTATCAAAGGTAAACAGAAAATCTCAATGTTGCCCTCTGACCGATTGTCTCTTAACTACTGCACTACTTACAGTTGTGCCTGCAAATCCAGGAATAGGCATATCAGCCACTTACGAACCCCTAAAACCTTCCTCAATGATGAGGAAGTTGTCCTAAGTGCAATCTCTCCCAATATTCATGCAATACAGTAGTACCGATATGTGCCTTAACTGCCACCACACTCAAGAGAACTTTTTTAAACCCCTTTTTTCCCCCAACACTATAAAATAAAACTATACCAATTAATATGCCAAAGTTATAGAAAACTCCCACCTAAAAGCAAAAGTGCAGCAATAAAACTTAAAAGAGTATTGATTAGTACAAGACCATTACTTTTGGAATCATGTTTTCATGGATAAGCCTGCCACCTAGTGTGAACACTGAGGAAAACCCTCTGGGAAAAAAAGAACTGTGCAAATTAAAGGTAACTGTGTGACTTCCAATTACAAAGGTATGATTGCAATACTATTCTGAATTAATCTTTATCAGTTGTGAATATAGTTTCATTTAAAAATCCAAAGGTTTACATTATCTGACTGCATCATTATGACTCTGTGATCTGAATCAGATCTTTGAAGTAAAGCAAGGCTGGGCTTGGTCTGAACTGGGGTAGAAGATCCCCAAAGAAAACCAGATATTTGTAAAAGCAGGTATATTAACCCCAGTGCCATTGCAAACTTCCACTCAGGTTTTTCACAAGCAGGCTTTCCTAAATTTTCCTTTAAGTTAAATTGCTCTCACTTCATGATGTGCTGTGTAGTGGGGCAGTACACACTGTACAATATTAGGTGTTTAATGGCTGCCATAAGTCACACAGTTGAGTGCTGCACTTCAGAGGGGAACAAAGCAGGTCTCTTTCCATATCTATAGTGCTTCGGGATCTGCTTAGGTGAAAGTGCTATATAAATGTAATCTATTAGCTTATTACTTTAAAAGATTTTTCATCCTCAGCCCATGCTACATACAAATTCAGTAAACAGCATGAGCACATTCTATATAGATGGTTTTATATTTTTCTTACATAAAAATGGGAATGAAACATCTTAAACAACATAAATGGAAATGGAATAACTTACATTAATGTAACCTAGCACAAAAGGGTCCCAGACTCCAGGCTGTTTTAAGATTTCCTGAAGGTTTAATGATGACTGTCGAAAGTATCTGTGCATCTCCTGGATTTCAGCAACATCTGAATTATCACTTTTGTCTGTAACTAAAAGATAAAAAAAATCCTCAATTCGGATTTTTTAGGAATATTACAGTGTAGGATTATAAATGTTTTTCTTAAAGACTTCCATTAAAAGGGTCATTAACTATTAGTGTAAAAGCTTTCTTGCAAATAATAATTAATCAACAATGCTAACAACATATTAGTAACTGCATGTTTGTACTCCCCACTAGCTTACAATAGCAAAAGCTAGAAAACTAGATACTGTCAGAAAGTAAGGAATGTACAATGTGTAAATTATGGTAATTATTTTATGTTCTACTAGCAAGGCAATTTAAGATACTTACTGTATATATATATATTTAAGACCTAGCAACAAAGAACTACTTCTAACTGGATTAGTGCATTTACCAAGCCTGGAAAAATAGAAAAAAAACAGAAAAACAAATATCGCCTCTTACTGATGTGAAGATTGGCAGTAGCGATCTCAAAATGACTCAATACTAAAAACTGTAATAATTCTATTTATGAGATCCATCAGGTAAAAACAGGCCAATGTGTACACACACAAAATATTTTCCATCACCAGAGTATAAAAGAATATCAGTATTTGTATTTATGATTGTTATTTTCTTACTGCACACTGGGACACAATTGAAACTCCCCCCCATCAGAGTGTGTTATTCTCTCAGTTATGCACAGCTACAGAAGTCCAGTTGCAGGGCCTATCTTGTATTCCATGTTTGTGACACAACCAGCAGTTTACAGCTCACTTTAATGTGAACCACCATTTACAGATTTTAACAAAAACAACACAGGTTGTATAGTTTACCAGTCAACATTTGAAAACCAAAAATCCTATCTGTAATACAAGCATGTCTCACAGACAGGCTTTTAATATTTTGAAGTAATATAAAAGCTCTCATAGTTTTGGGACTACCATTTTATTAACATGGACGGATTTACACTCTCCCACCACTAGATGGCAGAAAAGTTGTGATAATGTTCATGCAACCAAGGAAACAGATGTCCCTTTTCATATATCTTAAATTATAAGAAACTATGGTAAACATTCTTGTTTGGCTAGCTAAACAACTTCTAGCATTTTACACCTGATAAATACACTGTCACCTGTCATTTCATATTCTCTTTTAGAACAATCATCTTTACGTTCTAGATTATTTTCATAGCATGTTTCCAATACTATCACACAATCAGAGAAAAATAAAACAAAAATATTACAGCTTTGCAACAAAAGCAAGCTGTTCAGTGAAATATCCTGAATTGTAAAATACCACCCCTATACCCGGTTATGTTTGGTCTTACCAGTGTCTGAGATAGCCGCCTTCAGTGCACACCAAGTTAAATAGCCGAGGTAGCCATGGTAAGCCTGAATCAGCTTTGCAGTCTGAGGCTGAGAAGCTGTTAATTTTCCATATCTCCAGTTTTCAACTGCTGACACCTGCCTTTTAGCATCATCAAACTTCCCAAGCAACAGCAAATGAAAGAAATGCTCCAAACACATCTGTGAAGACAAAATCATAGGAGTGGGTCATAAAATGTACCAACTGCATGTTTTAAAACTAATTTATGGCAGTGCTGTAATTTCTAGATGTTTGTGATGAAAGGCACAGCGTAAATACATATCACACTGCACTCTTGTTGCTTTAGAAAGAAAAGTTTAGGCTTTAGTTATTTGTAGCTTTACCCCATATATTATAGAATGTATATTAAACCTCTTTCCATTTTTGTGTGGGTAAGCAATAACTCTTCAGTAGGAACTTTTTGCTTCTGCTTTGCCAGTGTGATAAAAGAAAATTTGGCCACTTGTATATAACTTATGATACCGACAGAAAAGTACTGTCTTCTCCATTGATCACACTTTATAATGATCTTTTAGAAAGTATTTCAACTAGGGAAAATGAACAATACAATCATCTGATGCAAACTATAAGGTATATTGCCCATTCTAAATTCTTAAACGAACATCTTCAAGTTGTGTATCTACCTGCGTATCTCTATATTGTGTCTTTTGAACTGCTACATAAATTGAAATCAGCTCAGTCCTGATTGGATGTATTTCCAATAGCCTGTTTTTTCAAAGCTGCTGCTAGGCCAGCTCTGGGTCAGTTTCATGCAGTCAGTTTAACACAACCAAGTGACCCCAACCTTCAGGTTAAAATCACATATGCACAGCAGGAAAAACACAAACCAAGCTCAGAGTCTATTACACATTAGATAGTTCCTGCAATTTCAGTGAAAAAATGCGCTTGCCAGATTTATTTATTTTTTCCCCGGATGCTTTCTTTTTACAATTCAGATTCTGATAAAAACGTAAAATAAATCTGATTACCAGGGCCAAGTACAACTGATGCAAACCATAACGCACACCCAATCTTTCAAAAAGGTATTTATTTTTGTTGTAGGCTTTACGTCTATCTATAAATGTGTTTCTATTGTTTCAAGATTATCATTATGACTTCAAGGTGTACGCCTGCCAAGAACGGCTAACACTGCAAGTGAAAGCTACCCACACCCACCTTCTGAAAATTCTTCACTCCAATGTTTTTCAGTCTCTCCAGGAAAGAATTGAAATCCTCCAGTTTAGCATTAGGAAGGTGATGCAGAATTTCTGAGCCCATCCTCCAGATTACCTGAAAAATATTAGCAAAATCTGATAAACATTTTGGCACAATCGGTCTAAAACACGTTGATATGACATTTTATTTGCTTCCATTTTATTTAGCAGTGGTTTTCTACAACACAAACCGCTAAATCAATGACAAGGGTGTGAAAACCTGTTTCATAAAATGATTGCACCCCAAAAGAATCATACTCGGCCCGACTTCAAATTTATTTTCAAAAAGTCATTCCCTGTGAAGGGGTAAGACATAACTACCCAGAGTCAAATGATTTTTTAGAAACAAGACAGCAGAATACCTGTTACCAGTAAAGAGTATGTGAAATTGTATAGGGCAAGTTACTCTACTGGTGACTCTGAATACTGTCATAAATATAATGTTTTAGCTGCAATAATGCTTTTTCAGCAAAGAGCATGTAACGCAAACCATGACCAAATGCATCTCCCTAGCAGGTAAACTTGTACAGGTCCCATTACATCATTTGTTTTCCTTATACATTTAATCCCTCAACATTAATATGGCAACCTTATTTCAATAGTAGGGATTTTTATTAAACACTCTTGTAATAAAATAATAAACGCACTCATCAAAAACAACTCTTTTCCTTCAAGGATATTCTCCAACTTTTAATGTGAAAAAAAGTATAATTTCACTTTATTGGTACAGTTCTTTTACCTTCTTTCAGGGAGGCTGAGGACTAAACTGAGATGAAAGCATGTGTAGTATACTTGTGTTCAGACATCCACCACATTGGGTCACACAGTTCCTTTAGTGGACTCAGCACTGATCAGAGGAGTGTTGCAGCTCTCATGGACAACACAGAACGTTCACATGAGCCCAGCAAGCTAAAGGGGTCGATGTTGTACGTTGTATGACATTTTATCTGTGTGCCATGACCAACTCATGTCCACCTAGCCCCGGTAGTGCCAGGATAATCATGCCCTACTTTTTAAGAGAATCTCAGTCACCGAACAAAATGAGACACCAGTGGTTTGAACGAGCAATGACCTTTTTAGGGTTCAAACTGAATGCACCTTTAGTGGACCTGAGAGCACTTTTTGTTTTTAAAAGGGGAACACTGCGATGCTATTTTTATATTTTGGGGGTTAGAAAGAATCAGCATTGATGAGTGCATTTCAAACCACAATGAAAGTAAAATGTACACAGTAATGTGTAAAACCTGCAATTTACATCATAAAATAGATTACATTTCCAGCTATGCTCAATGTCTTGTTCTACAATTCAGAACGAGGCAACCAAACTTCCACTGAGGCATAGCAGCCCTATGACTTTGTAAACAAACAAGCTTGTGAATACATCTCTTGTAATCCAACAGAAATATTGCTCTCAACCTTGAGAAGGTTTTGCCAACAAATACTACTTTTTTGTTAACTCTGCATGCAGATCACGTTGGAACATTTCTGCAGTGAAATGTCCGCTACACAGCCTGTACTTATTCACTCATTAGTCATTACAGTGACTAGTGAGCAGGAAGGGCCACCTCATATCTCAATCTGCAATCTTGCCTGTGCCAAGAGCACGGGTTTGTGACTATATGACGACTATACAGTACTTTCACAAAGCTCACCAGTTTTTGCTTAATTCGGAATTTGTAACATTTTATTATACCAGCAATTATTTTTTTGTTACATAGATATAATAACTAGTCTACAAAATTGTGAACGCAGTTCTTCTTTAAATTAGTGCAGTCACGGCCACACTCACTTCAGGTGATACAGTCTGCTTCCGAACAGTTGTGTCTTCCAGCGTTTCAAAGTAATTCTTCATGTATTCTGCAGCCTCTTCCCAACGGTGCTTGAAAAGAGCTTCCTGAATTTTGGTCAGGCATATTCTGGAGCTTTTGTGAAAACCAGTCTCTCTCCTTGGCAACGTTTCTAAAGGAGGAAACACAAATCCTTTTTACTTCCAAGAATGAATACAAAACAGCCTTTCAATTATTTTCGGTAAGCCGATAGGATAAAGGCTTGGGCACTGCTTTAAAACAGTGAATATTGAAGATCTTACCTTTGAAACTGTGCAATAGAGGCAAATGAGGTCGTCCTCCTATTTCAGGACTACAAATCTGCTGTTCATCATCTAAACTGTCCTGCTGGTCAGACTGGGATAATTCAGCACATAGGTCATCCATGTCTCCTAAAAAGAAAAAGGATATGACATGTTCCTGTTGTGAACAGCTAAAAATGACAGGTGAACTCTTCTACTTTATAAGGTTTTCAAGCAAACTGTTAAGAGGGATTAAGAGGCTCATACATAGTTTGACATAAGGTGTTACATTTAATTATAGGACTTAAAACGTCTTTGCAGCCCTCAGTAGGGCTTTTTATCTCGTTAAAAAAGGAAAATATTAAGATTTAAGGAATCCATGATAGCAGTACCTTGCTTTATGTTCCATACTGAATTCCTCTGAAAAAGATTTTCACATATTGATCAGAAAAAACATCACTAAATCGAAGATGATCACGCATACAAATAACATTAAAACGTCTGTCCTATTTGCATATTATGTAAGTTACTTTGTATACTAATGATTTTCCTCACCAGAACCCTGTTGAAGAACCAGTAACATCCATGCCAATTTCTAAGGTTTAGTTATAAGGTCAGTTTTTTAAAACGTTTTGGACAACACTTCTTATTCGATTGCATTTGCTTAAGCACGACCTAAAACGCAATTTACATTTCCTGATACGAAGTGTATTAAAGGCTATACAAAACACCGGAAATACAGTTTATGATAGAGGAGGCTTTCGTATTGTTTTCATGAAGTGTTTGAAAGCTGTATCGTCTGTTCTTAATTCAGCTCACTTCCGAAAGTAAGAAGCACACGGTAATCCACCTTCCCAGTGTTACGACTTTAAAAAACTTCAAACGCGTAAAAGAAACATTTATCTGAAATCACAACATTAAACATAATTCAGACAACCAAACCTGCTTGATAAAACGTCTTCGTTCATGTTCCAATTATAAAAAATGACATAAATTGGTTTCTTGACTATTGAAACGATATTATGTTCATTTTGCACGAAAAAACGACTTAATCGTATTTTAGTACATTTTGATCACCACACATGTAGACTCCAGGACCTCCCAAATTTGACAGTGCGCATGCCCACGGAAAACAGCAACATGGTCTACGTCATGGACGACGACTCTGACTCTAAAGCAGAGTTCCTATAGCGCAGAAACCTACAGCAGTGTATCTGCGCAGACCTAGAGCATAATGTTGTACTATTGTGGTAGCCTGATCTGACAGTAAACGTTATTTGGACCTTCTGGTACAAACATGTATTTGATTTCTTAAGCTTTTATTAAACACCTTATGATACAACCAAAGCAGAAAAGGTATCGAAAAAGACAAGTGAAGAAAAATAATTAATCATCAACAATACGCTGCCAGAAGGAATTACAAATCAGAAAACAATAAATTATTTTTTTTGGTTTTGTGAATATATCGACCCAATATTACTAATTATTTATAACAAATTAATTAAAACTAAATATTATTTTATATGCTATGTTACAAATTATAAATCTAACACGCAGTTTTATATTCAATTCAGTTCAAAATACTTTAGTTATTATGAAAGTAACAATGTGCAATGTTTAAGAAGGTATTAAACTATTTGCACATTTGTAGAGTAGGGTGTTATCCAATTGACGTCATAGTGATAAAATTTCTTTACATTCATTGTTTACAAGCCTGGTGGCCTCTGGAGCAAACCAAAATTTTATTTTGTCTTGCGCTGTGGACAGCACGAAGGCAAAAGTTCAAAAGACTGATGAAAGACCTGAGATGAGCCTTCACTGATGTCACAGGCCTTCCTCAGGATCTGATGGACACAATGCTATGCCAGAGGTCTTAAAGGCTGTCCAATGATTTCTAAGCTGAGGTTTGCAACATTTTGAAGGTGTTTTTTGCCTCTTTGACTGAGTGAATTGAATCTACGGTTAAATGAAAAAGTTAAAATACTTTTGATATAAAAGCTATATATGGAAGCCCGTTTCCGCCAGGGAGTAAAAAAAACGGAAACGGGCTTCCATATATAATACCTTTAACATGCTGATAGAATTCTTTTCTGGATTCTGTGGAACTGTTTTCTCAAAACATATAAGTAAAAATAATAATAATTGCTTACACTTATATAGCGCTTTTCTGGACACTCCACTCAAAACGCTTTACAGTTAATGGGTCTCCTCTCCACCACCACCAATGTGCAACATCCACCTGGATGATGCAACAGCAGCCATAGTGCGCCAGAACGCTCACCACACATCAGCGATCAGTGGGGAGGAGAGCAGAGTAATGGAGCCAATTCATAGAGGGGGATTATTAGGAGGCCATGATTGCTAAGGGCCAATGGAAAATGGAAATTTGGCCAGGATGCCGGGGTTACACCCCTACTCTTTTCGAGAAATGCCCTGGCATTTTTAATGACCACAGAGTCAGGACCTCGGTTTTACGTCTCATCCGAAGGATGGCGGCTGTTTACAGAATAGTGTCCCCGTCACTTTACTGGGGCATTAGGACTCACATGGACCACAGGGTGAACGCACCCTGCTGGCCCCACTAACACCTCTTCCATCAGCAACCTTAGTTTTTCCCAAGAGGTCTCCCATCCAGGTACATATATATACTTGTGTTCTGTGAGACTGGAAAGGAAACATGTTTGTTATTTGTTGTTTTGGTTGTTTTAAGTGCTTCACAATGCTTCACAATGACATCAGTGATCTCAGGGAACTTAAGTTTTTCCTCAAACACCTCAAACCCAGATATTTGTAACTGTGAACTATACCAACTGATTCACCATGGATGGTTGTGGGAATGACAGTGCTTTGTTTGTTTTTTAGATCAACCATTATTCTGTTTTTGACACAATAATCTCAAGGTAAGAAGGATCACACCAGTTGACAAATTCATCCAGAATGGGTCCATGTGTTTGTCCAGGCTCTGAAAGAAGAGAAATAGCAAACCTGATACAATGATTTTCATAGTTGCTCTGACAGTCATCAGTATATAAAATGAAAAGGGGGAGAAAGAACGCACCCTTATGGTGGATTAGTAGAAGTACAGAGTCAGATACCAACACATTAATAAGTACATTTTGTGTACTTAGTCAGAAAACTAGGATTTAATTTGAACGGTGAAATCAGCGTTTCAACCAAAATATGTGACTGCATTGTATTAAAGGCTGATTAAATATCAGCAAATAGAAGGTGCCTAACGATAAATGCTTAATGATACATTTTTGCAAATCTAATCAAAACAACAAATAACAAACGTGTTTCCTTTCCAGTCTCACAGAACACATATATATATCATGTTGTTCATGTTTAATTCTAGAAAGTGTTAGTTTAACATGAAAAAACCTATTAACAATTCTAAATGTTGTTTTTTGTTTTCCTTGTTTACACTGGGATATCTATCAGGGGGTTTTTGGACTAATTCCCCATTAGTATTTTCAAATACTGCATTCAAGAGGGATATACAGCGAGAAATAAATCTGTGCTCGATTTCCTTGACAAAATCACGAGAAATAGAAAAATACAGCCTCAGAGATGTTCCTCACATGGAAATGGCCTATTTTGACTGTTAAGTCACCTCTATTGTGTTGTAAACATTATATTTTTGCTTCCACAAGCGTGGTAATCCATAGAAATTCCTAAACCTCAACAGAAAAACAATCACAAGGATTTGCATGAAAATATACAATTCATACTAGAATGTGGATAATTTAGACATAAGGTGTATAACTCCCTCGTCGGTACGCAGTTTCACCCTACATTAAGATATATAAACGTTTAGCTAGGAATTATTTTATGCTACATCTTTTAAAATTGTATTTAAACACTTTGTGTTCTTAATCATAATTTATGTATGTCTGAGAGAATACAACAGCATAACTCCCCAACTTCTCCAGACTGCGCTTGGGGTAGGATTGTGACGCAGATAACTAGAAACTTCTCTCTAGAAATGGCCGATTACAGGGCGGAGGGGAGCTCCCTTTTCATTTTGGTAGTTAAAAAACACTGCAGATCTGTTTAGCTTTCCCGAAGAACTGTTCTTTCTAGTTACTATTAAATTTGTCTCTAGAGAAAAAGGCAACACCTTGCGTTTTTATAATCAAAATTCTGTTAAAGACACGGAGAAAATAAGCTCATGGCTCTTTAAATAAAACTCCTCATGGGTTTAGTTTTAGTAACTTGACTCCGATCCTTTTCCACATCCTCCTCGTACATCCTGCATCCCCAATTCTCAGAGACCTGCGGATCTGCTGACGTGTCGGCCGGTTCTGCTCATGCTCGGGCAGTCGACTAGCAGTAGCTTGCCAGCATGGCTGCTGTCGTTGTGGATTTGTACCTCCTAGTGATACTTTTTATTGTAACGGGATCCGAAAAGGCAGTAGATAAAAGGTTTTCGGACATAAAGCGATGTAACGACGACGAATGTAGCAGTAAGTTTTGCCATTTTTTCTTTTCGCTTTCATACGACAGGACTGTGTCGATGCGTTGCTAGAAAAAAAAGATGCCCTGGCCAGCCGGCATCTGCTTTGACCTGTTGGCACTTCAGACGGAAAGCTCTCAGAGAGACCAAACACACACTGCCCTAGTGCAAGTTGAATATAAATATATTTTTTGTGATACGTATTTGTCAGGTGAATCACCGGTGACTTGTGATAACATTCTCTGCAATTTTACGTTTGGGAAGCATCTTAATGATACCCGCTGAATTATGTATGCATATATTTTTCTTACAGCCTATTGGAAAATTGTAACTTAAGCACGGTTCAGTGCAATTTTGTTAGAAAGGTCATTAATTCTTGTTAAAGGCGCTCTTGGTGTTAAGTATGATGAGGGGGAATTGCTGTATGCTTCAGTAGTAACGTACATGTCCTGAGCTCAGATTTTGACTTCTGGGTAGAAAATACTGTTTTGTGGTTTTAACGCATTGGTTTGTGGTATATTGATATTACTAACGATGCAATGTTTTGGTTTATTATTGTATTTTTGTTGTCAGCATCAAAAATCCCTATAGAAATAAACAAAATATGGTCAATAATTTTAAAATGACTGGCACCGTTTCCAAACCTATCACTTTCACCGAGCAGGATACTCTGCGCAATTTCCATTGTTCGGGGTAAACATTCAGAATGACCAGATACCGTTGTTACCAAAAGGGCAGTGTTAAACGAGGATAGACTGGAATGTGACTAAATTGAATGGTTAATATTTTTGCTGCTTTTTCTCATGTTTCCTGCAGTCCTTTTGGCACAATCCACACTTAATCTATAGATAGAAAGTTCTAAGGATAGTCACGTTCCTTAGTCGCCAAATTGACATTATCACGACAGTATTTGTCAAAGTAATTGCTGCCATGTTACAGTAAATATAGGCAGAGAATAGCACTAGTTCTTAATCTGTGCACAACATTGCAGAGGTATTTTATCAATGCATGATGTTATTTTCTCTATGTCTCATATAAAAGCAGTTGACAGGCTTTGAACATAGTGTGGTAAGACAGAAATGTACACTAATTGTGAGAGTACTTGCTGAAAATCTGATTCTGTTTTGGTTTTGCAACTTATTGCCATTAATTCTTGAAGCCTCAGGCTAGTAGATTCAACATATACAAACAGGAGCATTAAGTTAATCTTGTTATATGATTTAGGCCTCTTAAGGTTTTTTTTGCTTATGTACAGTTATACAGTACCTAGTCAAAGATTCACTTTTTTCAGACTGCATTGTGTATTCCTTGTTACATATTTGTTGACTATAGCTCTCTGTTTTCCTGATTTCACTTTTAACTACTGTAAAATTCATTTATGGCTTCCTGTTCTTATCACTGGAAGAGTTGTCCCACCAGCTCAAATTACACTTAACCGAGTGTCTCCTGTGTTATGAATGATAAGACAGGAATCTATGTGTTAAACACTTTTCCGTACATATATTTAATCGTAATGGAGAGAATGCCTTTGATATTACTTCTATGCCTCGCACATTAGATTACTTTTTGTATACAACGGTTTCCCCCGTATAGTTTTTAATGTTTTATCTTAAGAACTTTGAAATTGGTATTAAAAAATGTCCCTTTTAATGCTACATGTATGTGTGCTCTAACACAAGGCTCTAACACTGTTTTGTGGGAGTTGTTTCTTGTATGGATAATTGTAGTCCTGCAAAACAATAGTGTTAACAAAACTGGAGCAAAGAGATTGATATGTTAAGCTCCATGTGTAACCTCCTCTGTGGAGTAAAACTAAAATAACATCACTTTCCTCTTTTTCCAGTGTTAATGTGTAGGGGGAAAGCAGCACAGGATTTCTATGGCCCAGACTGTCGGTTTTTGACTTTCAAAAAGGGAGAGACCATATACGTATACTATAAGCTCTCAGGAAAGAGGAACGATTTGTGGGCAGGAAGTGTGAGTAACTGCTTTTTACATACATATTTTATTCTCTTAATATTTAACTCTCAAATTTAAAATTTAATTTCTGTGTGCACATTATAGAACTGTGCTCCAGCGTGGGATGAATCCTCTTTGTTAATTCACTGGTACATCAGCAATAAATGACAATTATCTGGATCGAACATCCATTACAAATAGCATTGCTTAAATGTGAAAGTTTAAAGTAACTTTGTAACAAAAACATAATTTTATTAAGTTGTTCTTAAAGTGTACAGTACTTGACAAAGTCACAAAATATTCTAATTTTTTCCACTTACTCCTGTAAACGTAAGTCATTCTTATTAGCATATGCATTTTCAGCCAAAAAACAGCGGAGACACATTGCACACATTTTAAGGTTTATTTCATGTTTTGGACATGTCCGTGTTATGAGGGAATTTTTTTGTGACAATGATTCAGAACAGAAATAGAATATAGAAAACAAAGTAAATTAATCCTAAATATACAGCTTTACATAGTCTTTGGACAAATGCAGTTTTTCTTCTTTGGACAGATTTCAGTGCAATATCTTTTGTTAAATGCAGAGACCAAAATTATAAATGCATGATGGATAGACTTTACTTGATGGTTTTTAATTCTGAACTTAAATTTATAACAACAACATAACAAACATAACCTCACTTTATTAGCCCTATACAATTTCGTCATTAGGAATTCATCTTTTCGCATACCCTAGCTTGCTCTCCATGAGACACAGACACACAGACAGGCAGAGAAGCTTGGGATCAGAGCGCAGCGTCAGCCATTGTACAGCGCCCCAGGAGCAGTGGGGCCTGCTCAGGGGCCCAACGGAGTAGGATTCCTCTGCCGGCTGCGGGATTTGAACCGGCAACCTTCCAGCCACAGGCGCAGATCCTTATCCACATACAGCCAATGCTCTGCCCAGATTTGATTTAAGATTTGATTGATTTAAGTTAATCAATTTGAGTCATCCTTTAGCAATTGAATACAGATATGTTCACCCCCTCACATACTGTAGCTATCCAACTCTGGAAAGGTTTGAAATATTCCCTGTTTGCATAAACACAACATGATTCACACTAATTAGAAGGGGAATGTCTTTGGGGAATATATACAAGTAAACAATAAACATTGCTTTTTGTTGACACTGTATAGTAGGAGGGCCTTTAATAGCAGCATTTTTCTCAATGTAAAGTCACATTTTATAAAGTACAGTGCAAGACACCAATATTAGAATCTGATTAGATAGAACAGACAATAGTTAAACATAAGCACACACTGAAGAGACTGTGACACTTAAGAAATTTATATTTTTTAAAAATATTTCTCTTTTGGTGCCGGGGTTCTCATTCTAGTATGTATTAACTGAGGTGGTTAGCATTCATATTCAGGCACTTATTTTAAAGGGATATTGCTTTCTTTGTAAAAGTGTTCCCCATTGCCCTAGAGAGTCATGGATTGTGTTAAAATCCAGCAAGAATGTGTTGTTGGCTTTAGTATACAAAAAACGTGCATAACATTTTAGATGTGTTTGTCTCAGGGGTTTTGTAGGCTCAGTGGCATGTGTTGCAGGGAGTTGATCTGTGATAAACTTTGTTAATTCATGTATCCATTTTCTAATCACTTTATCCAAACACACACACACACTCAGACCAGGGAGAGTTTTCCTAGAAGCCAACTAACCTACTAGCATGTAAGAGGAAACCAGTGCATACTTTGTTAATGTGTTGCCTATTTATCCTGAATATTTACCTGATTTTATTTTTATCTGTAGGTGGGTAGCAGATTTGGCTATTTCCCCAAGGACTTACTTGAAATAAATCACATATATGGTGTGAAAGAGCTAGAGATTCCCGCAGAGGTGAGTAAATTCTACTTTATTATTACACTTAATTGCTTGTCTTTGCGTGTTAACTTTAATTCCTAGTCTCTCAGAGAATATTGTAGCATGATGTTGCAGCTGTATAAAGAACTTCTTTATGCAGTTAAACAGTTTTCTGCAGCTTTTGCATGATAGTCTATTTACAATTTTACATTTAACCTGTCAGTTATAAAAGTGTACCTTCTTGTCAGCCAAAATTATCTGTTTTAAATATAGATGTATTTTATGTAGATTTGAAGAAAAATTCTCCATGCTTCATTTTATGATTCAGTCAGGTATGCTGTGTACATTCTACTAAGCTAAAAGTCTTTTACATATAAAGACAAAATGTAAAAAAAATGTTTATACATTTTTTCTAAATAAAGGCCTCCTTACTTTTTCTGTTTTGTTTTCAGGAAACAGACTTTGTATGCTTTGATGGCCAGCTTGGCACATTTGACAGTTATGATGTTGATCAGCTCTTGGGTTCCTCTGTATTATTGACTGAAAATGACACTTCAGGTCAAGAAACGGCAGCAGCAGAAAAAGTGAACCAGGGTAGCAATGCTCAGAACCAGGTAGATAAGCAGGAAGATGATGTGCCGTCTCAAATATCTCCCGAGGAAAGTGATGACACTGAAAAAACAACTGATGATGAAATACATCTGCTGCACGATAATGGCGGTAGTGATGTTTTGGACAAAAAGAGTAACAAAGAGGAAGAGGGTGAAGAAAGAGAACTTGTTGATGTAAGATCGAAAGAAACCTCTCAGCTGATGTCTGAAAAACAAAATCAGATTCAGGACATACATACTCTGGAAGGTGACAGTGATGCTGAAACCACAGCTGAAACAATGAAGGATGACTTAGATCAAGATGAGAACATGGTGGCTTCACATGAAGACACAGCAGAGGACAACACAACCAAAGATAAAAGCCCTTCTCTGGGTGAAGACAAGCTTCTAGCCAAAGATGATGTGCCTGAAAAAAATGATAAAATTGATGTTTCGGAAGTCCAACCAGCTTCTAATTTGAAAACTACCATTGGGTCAACCTTTGATGCTGTTACCACAGATGATGAAAATACCCAGAAAGTAACCCCATTTTATGATGATTTTGAGAGTGAAGGGGAACTCTTAGGTACAGAGCAGGACGAGCCAAGTGAGGCTTCAGAAGTAACTCCTTTATTATCGTACTCTGAAGACAATGTTGAAGACACTTCTGAACAGGAAGGCGTTTCAGATTCTTCTAAATCAGAAGACAGACTTGGCTATAAAGCAGAGGAAATGACTCATGGTGAGCTGGGAGAGGTACTGAGAGAAGATCCAACAAAAGAAGAAATGAAAGAAAATAAAAGCATGTGGACATCATTGGGGGATACTGTCTTTGCCATTGTAAGTGGTGCTGATAGAACAAATCAGGTAACCAGTTTAGAGGACGAAGATGAGGAAGATGATTTTGAATTAGATGTGGCAGAGGGTAATGAGGATCCAAAAAGTGATACAATACCCCTTTTAGGCTCAGATGTACAGGTGGACCATGGAGAATTGCCTCATTCATCAGCAAAGGAAACTGTTAGTGATGAAATTATTCAGGAAATTCCAGATGATAAGGTTACTGATGAATATTTGTCCGTACAGAAAACAAAAGAAAGAGAAGGCTCTGACGATAACTATAAATTAAATCAGGAACTTGATTTGGTGGTTAATCAAAATGGCCATGCATCTAAATTGCCTTTTGAGTCAGATCAAGAAAGAAAACTTGAATATGAAAATATGCCAGAAACCCCAGGCAGACAACATGACAACCTAAAAGTCACTCTGGTGTCTGAAGTACAAGATGCGCCAATTGGTCAGGAGAGTGGGCTACATGTTGAAAAGATTAGTGATGAAACAATGAATGACTTGCCATCTGAAGAGTTTATGAACAAAGAAGCTGCCCAGGCTCCAAAACAACAAGAAGATATTAAAGTCCAGAGTTCAGAAGGAAATAAAAACTCTGATACAGTTTCATCAAATATGCATTCGCTCAGAAACAATCAAAGCATGGAAGGAGAAGAAAATGGAACACTTCAAGAAGCCATCTCTGAAAAGACTATTGTTCCAGAAGAACAGTCACATGATGAATTAACTGAAATTGTAGGAGGCAATCAGACAGATGAAGGCATTGATTCAAGAATATCAGCAAACAATACAGAAGAAGTTAAAAATGTCAGAGGGTTAGAAGAAGAGCCTGAACTGAAACTGGATTCAGATGTGGTAAACACTGAACAAACAGTTAAAGTTAATGAGGAGTTACCTGTATTGAAAGATACATTGGAGAAAGATTTTGAACATGGAGATCTTTTCTCCAGCAAGGCAGATGATTTTGAAGATGGAGATGAAGAAAATGAGGAAGAATTGCTTGAAGATGAAAATGCCATGTTTTCTTCATCTACAAAAATTGAGAATTTACCTACAGATGCTGATGAAGAAGAATTAGATACTTTGCCTGATGAAGACAAAAATGTTATTATAGAAGAGGGCACTAAGGAAACTCAAAATGATTCCAGTGATAAGGCTTTTGGAGAGCCCCAGCCATTAAGTAAAACTCATCTCGCAAACAACGAAACTGAAGCAGCAAACAATACAGATGTGAGCACAGAAAAGAAAAGGGTAACAGAAGAGCAAGAACATACTGATGTCAGAGAGACAAGTGTTGCCACACCAGGGAGAAGGCCCATTGAAGAAGATGAAGAATCTACAAATACAGAAGAAAAACATGCACCTTCACCTGAACATCTTACGGTAAATGACAATGACAACTTAGGCCAACAGGAAAAGAAAACTCTAAAGTTTAGTGAGGAGAAAGAACATGGTGACAGTATTACAGAGATTACTCTTCTTAAAGGTTACTTTGATGAGAAACGCATGGAGCGCATTAGCAAATTCTTGAGTCCTCAGCATATTCTTCGAGTGGAGGCCATGTTCAATTACTTGGATCAGGAGCTGAAGAAGGCCAGGCAGACATTTGAGACCATAGAGGATATTGAAAAAGCTTTAGACAGCACCTTGGAGTCTTCAGAGACCAGAATCCTGGATGAAATTGAGAGGATGTTGGATGCTCGGGAACTGAAGAATGCAGAGTTCATTCAAATGGATGGTAATATGCTTGATGAAGAAGCTGCTGTTTTGGATGATTTCCAAGAGCTAGCTTTCCAGGTTCGACAGAAGTATTCAGCAGTGAGTGATAGTACTCCACTGATGTCAAGGAATAGTCTTTCCAAAGACCCTGCCTCTGAGGCGCAAAAAGGTAAAAGGTTATAGGTTGTTAGGTGTCTGTCCCTTCCAACCTCTGTTTTTATATTAAAATTTAAGAATTGGTTTTGAGTATTTGTGTGAGGAATTAGATACATTTAGTAACACAAAAATTGATACAGTTTTAATTCTATTGTATAGAAGTCTGTTCTATACAATATTCTTTGCATGAGATCTAGTGACTTAATAATATGATGCAAAAGTTGTGAAGTTGAAAGCTGCTATCTAATGTTGCATATTTACTTATATTTTGTCTTTAGGCGGGTAAATTAAATCTTAATTTGGAAAATTAGTTTATTGTACACTAACCTCCAGAATCCTAGAACTGTAAAATTGTTATCATGCTTAATAAGATTGTGTTTTCTTTTTGTACTGTGATGCTAAAGAAATTGAGGATAAACAGATCAACTGGAAACAATATGACAAAAAAAAAACAATATGTGGCCAATGTAGTTTGCGGTGCAAAGTGATTTTAGGTTTCTGAATACTTAAGTCCGGCATGACTATTTACATTGCACTTTGGTCTTCATAAACAGCATGTGTGTTTCAAATCTGAAATCACAGGCTTGGGCTTACATCTACCTATCATTTTGAATTGCAGTTGAGAATGTACATTTTTGGAAACAATTGAATCATCAAGTAGATCCTTACAAGTAACAATGTTTAATACTTTGTTGAGAGCTATCCCTTTAAGAAATTTCAGGACTTATATTCTAAATATATTTAACTATAATTTGTAAAAATGTGTATAGTAGTCCTACAGAGAGTATTGCTAATATGCTACAGGACATTCTAGTCCTCAAGATATTTGTTTGCAAATGCAAATAATGCTTTTTAAAATATAATTTGCCTAATACACTACTAATCTCCACGGGTTATTGACTGAGTTTTTTTTTATACATAGAAAACACCTCTCAAGTAACTCTAAATCTGTCTGTGACTTCTGCACAATGTGCAAGCATGGATCAAATGCAAATTACTAGCTCTGTCAGGTGACTAAGATTACAGTGACATTCAGTGTAAGGTCTTAAAAACACTCTAGTCACATCACACTGTTTACGCAGAACCAATTTTTAAGTGTTTTAAGTGTGCTTGTTTAAAGTGCAACACAAGAACAAGACTGGATTTTTGTGGTCTGAGAATGTAAAGTTTCTTGTGTTCCTGTAAACCTGTGTTATCGTTAAGCATATGTTAAGTTGAGCAAGTGTTCAAAGAAAGCAATTTGTTAATATGTGGAACTGAAAGAGACAAACTGATTTTCCTTTTTTAAAATTCACAGAAAAACTGGACGTTTCAGATGTTCTTGCAGAAATTGACATGTTGACAAACAACCACACCAGCACTAGGGATGAGATTGAATTGCAAGAGAAGCCACTGAACCAACAAGAAGATAATGAGAGGCCTTTGTCAGAGAGGAGACACTCAAAGACCAGGTCGGATATTGGAGTTGAAGAAGATGGAGGTCACTTCAACAGAAACAAGGACAGCCATTTCATGGAAGATGTTGAAGAAATTCAAAAAGGCCCTCCAACTACTCTGGAAAATACTTTGGATATTGGCTTAGGTATTGATGTGGAGCATCCCTCTTCAGGTATTTTTTTTTACAAAACCATGCAGTAATTCAGCATAAAAGCACATCTTTTAAAGCTTGTATCAGCCACAAGAAAATATGGTATTTGTGTATTTATTCAGCTTTCATTGATGAACACTAAATTATACCTTATATTTTTGTTAACAATACATGTTGATTTGACAACCTTACATTTAAAATGGAGATTATTTTGGAATAATCCCTGTCTTTATGTGAATAGGTACATGTTTATTTTTGTAAGATCTGACTTTTTTGATACAACATTTTATTTTTTTGTCATGATTTAAATATTTTTAAATTTTCAGTTAAAGGCTTTTTTTGCCCTCATTTAAAGGTTTTTTGGAATCGCCTAAAACACCTGATTACTCTGAGGATGAAAAAGAAGTTGAGTCACAAAGTGTTCTGTCATTGCCAAGCATTGCTGAAATTGGGAAGTTTTTCACTTTGGCCAGGGAATATTTGGGAATATATACTGAAATTGTAAGTACATTAAATTACCTTCAAATATAACACATTCTTTTCCTTAAATATTGAAAAAGCATATGTAATATATAAACGTCCAGGATATTAACTCTATGTATATTTGAAAATGTAGACATAACTACCGGTCTTACAGTCATCTGTTTAACTTTTGGGTGTAGTTGCATAGTCAGTAAAGTGTATAATCTGCTGGATACAAAAGATAACCAGGTGATGTTTCATTTAAATTATTGAATTAAACGTCTCATGCTTGGTATTCCCATTAGCTGTATATGCCAGGGATATAGTTACATTTTATTTTGTTTCACATTAAGAGCAAAAAAAAAAAGGTGAATACAGAAATCAAGGTGTTTGTGTTCGAAAAAACAAACATTTGTTGGCCGGCGAGCGTCGCTGTAACCTGAGCCTGGCTGTTCAATACTGGCTGTGACGTAGCGGGTCAGCGGGGTTCAGGGACTGTTGACGTGTTCCAGAGAGTGAAGTTCAGCCGCTCGAGGCACCGGGCTGAGAAGCCAGGAGATATTGGGCTGCGTTTTGCCTGCTTTTCAGGCTTCCCTAGCTTGCATTCACTCACGTCGGTTGACGGCATCATGGTGTTTATTTTCTGCCTCTGATGTGTAGATAGCATTTCATTCTGCAGTCTTGTTATTTCGGTTTTTTTTGCGTTATTACTCTCGTGTCAAGAGGCCTAAAGTGTTATCTATATGTTCATCGGCGACGTGATTAATGCAGAATTTGTACCAGATGAAGAGGCTGTAAGTTTGAAGTACTACTATATTCAGTCACAAGGCTCCTGTTATTATATTGAGCTGCTGAAATCACTAACGGAAAAGACTTGCAATTGCTGTGATCATTATGGCTGCGAAAAACGACGACGCTTCACCTGCTGCAGAAATTGAACAAGGAACAGTTTTTCATGTCTTGCTTACAAAAGCGGTTACCGATGTAAGTGTGCGATTTACTTAAAATGTTCTTTCTTAGTCTTTGAGCAAATAACTACATTTTTATAGTATTTTAGTGCCATATTGAAACGTTACCTATAGTTTTTAAATTACTTAATGATTTTGTAAGAGTGCAGTTACTTTAATGGGTTTTCTCACCTTATAGTATAAGTTATACGGACCCTTTTAAATCCATCTTTATGGATTGCTTCCCTGCTTGTAATAAAGACCGGTTTAGTGTTGTAATCTACTTTCATTTTCTCTAGCCCAGCGCTGTGAAGTGTGAACAGTAACAGGAAAAAAAGCACATGCTTTTATTTCCTACAGAGTGAAAAGTTGTGGCGATGCTTAAAATATTTGTGCGTTTGGTTGACTTCGGTAAAATGATCAATTGCTTAGCTTGCTGTTGTTGGGACTAAAAGTCTCTCATGCCTCAGTTAGTTCACTGGCTACGTAGCAGAACGGCCGTCTTGCTGTCTTTGACGCTTGGGGGAGTGTGTGTGTGATAGGAGGCTTTGTATGTGAAAGTTCAGTGGATGGTTGTGTACAAGGATGTAAGGTTCTGTAATGTCAGTAGTCTAGAGGAGGGATAATATCTGGCAGGCATTTTCAGGGAACTAAAATGCCATTCAGATTGGTTTGTGCAAGAAATTAAATTTTGGATTTTGCACTGAATTCCACAGTCTTAAATAGCTCTGTGTTTAAGATGTAAGGTTTACTTTTTAGATTATGGAATCCTGAAATATTGTTATAGCCCAGAGATTTAAGTGGTCCTAGTTCTGATATTGGCTAAATGCATCGACACAGGTTTAGTTTAAACTGGAGTGACTGAGGGGTCAGAAGTGCTAAGATGATATCCTTTGGCCAAGATTGTACAGGCTAGGCAACGTGACACTCACCACCTGCATAGTGGGGCTGTTTGCCAAGCACTGCTGAAATGCTCCACATGTTGCTTCCCTGCATGTAGATTTTGTGTGCCTCTAAGCTGGTAGCACTACAATCAACTCCTAAGCTCCATAAATCTTCTTGAACATTGCCCTCACTGTGCAGCACAAGAGAATAATACTCTTAATTGCAATTCCCTATGCATATGTGAACGCACATTCCTAGAGATAAGATAAGATAACCTGCAGTAGCAATCAAGAGTGTGGCACCCCGTCTTCTCAAAAGCATCCCTCTGAATCGTGTTTTAGCATTTCCATTTTTAATCTTCCATAGCGGTTAACTCGCACATTTTGAATGTGTTTTTGGTACATTGTATGTTTTGTTGTCATTGACAGTTTCTGTAGTACAAAAAAGCAGCGAAGGAGAAGTCTCTAAGTGTTCTCTTGTGCCTCGTTATATGTATTTTTCATCTAAAAGCAGATGTTTCATTGCTGTTTATTTCCAGTTCAAGAACATTTTTAAAAGAATCTTACCTGCTTTGATAACTGTGTGGTCTGAACACTAGGATGCGTGTTTAACTTTTTTTTCTTCCTACTGTCCTAGTATCTCAGATTTTTTGGTTGTGAAGAGAGAAAAGAAAGCCTACTGATCACCAAAAGTATTAGCGAGGCTTTTTAATTATGCATCTTGTACTTTGTACCAGCTAGTTGAGGGGGTAACCAGGATGTCAATATTTTTTCAGCTGGTTGGTACCCTGCCTGAGGAATGGCAGCCGGGTCCCACTTTCTATGGGCTGCCGTGGCAACCAGTGATAGTAACGGCTATGGTGGGACTCCTCTCATTTCTGATTTTCTTCTGGCGGACACTGCTCGCGGTAAGTTAGAGGCCTGCAGTTGCAAACTTCTACGTGATGCAATGCTTTATTTGCATTGTGGAATAAGCTTAATGAGAAGATTTAGGTTGACACCCAGTCTGTGCTACAAGGTGACCTGCACGGCCATATAACTGGTCATTCCCAGTGGCAGAACTAAACAGGTCTGAAGAGTGATGAGACTGACTCGGGTAAAAGTGACTCTGCATCTCTGTGAGGCTCCCAGGATTCCCACAGGACTGTATCATGTATTATGTGTATATGTGGTTGAAGCTGTCCTACAGCAGCCACTTAAGATTGGCTCTTCACATTGAAGTATGGAACATGAAGAGAGACTGGCATTTATTTATGGCCTGTGTGATGCCATTTATGGCCCTCAAGAAAATAAAATGTGACGTGCTGCATTAAGAATTTTAGTTTTAAAGGTATAAATTTGATTTTAAGATGGTAAAAGATTGATGCAGAAGAAACGTATCTATGATTTTATATTGCTGCAATAATGTTTTTTTCCTTTTCCTTCTAGGTCAAGAGTAGAACGTATCTCCGTAAGTATTACTACTCTTACTGCATGGGGTTATAATGATAATAACAATGTGTGTTTCCATTTTTTAAATTAAGTAGTTCTTTCAAAATGTGCAATCTTCAATTTTCAGTGACTGAAAAGCAACTTGTGGAAAAAATAAAACAACTAATTGATGAAAAATCTGAAGCTCTTTCCAAAATATCGGAACTGAATAAGCTGGTAAGTGACACTTTGCATAGTACAATACAACATGACGTGTATAATTATTGTTGCTTAGGTTTACCCAAAGCCTAATGATGTTTTATTGTCTCTCCTCTTGTTTTATGGTGGCCCTTTCAGATTGAAGAGCGTGAACAGCAATTAAAAGTGTCAGAAAAATCAAAATCATCTGCTAAACGTGAGAATAAAGACCTCCAGGTGAGATTACATGGAAACATGTTCATGTGTGGATTTAAGTATATTAATTTGTCAACAAGTTTTTAATGTCCCTTTTCCGATAACAATAGCCGTGTGTTCCCGGATAAATGGATCTCAGGTGAAATATGCCATCAGGAGTTAAGATTTTTCTTATCTGTCACAGCAGTAGCTTTCTGACATCCTGTTTGTTGTGCTTCTTAAAAAGCTGAGAAGTGTCCCTTTTACAAGAAGATATTTAGACTTTTTTTTATTCAGAAACAGATAAAGTGCAACTCTTCAGATTTTTAGAAGATGATGGAGCTGTTGACAAAGGAAGTTGGTTATATTGCCGTGTTGTGCCAGTTAGTTGTTTTTTTTCTACAGCTGTTATCTACATGACTTTTAAAATGAAATCTGTTTATAATGCATGGGATTCAGCAGCTCCAACATTGGTTTTCAGCACTTTTGGACTTCAGTTCCAGTGGTGTTATACAGTTGCTCACATTATGGTTTATAACTTTTTTTTTAATTGTATGTTGTTTTAAAAAGGACACATTTAAGGAATTGCAGCGAGCAAATGAACTCATGAAGGAGAAGGTCAAAACTCTGAATAGGTCTGTAGAGGAAGAAAGGAAAAAGAATCGTCAGCAAGAAGAAATTGTAAGTTCTTCTAGCTTAAGGGTGTGCTTTCTTAGTCAGAACAAATAAGCCAGCTTTAAGTACGTTGCTTGCTACCCCAATAGTGCCAACTTTAAAGGTATAAATGTTAAAGGGTGCTACCTATGTATTTATCCGTTTATTTATGTGTCCCATACTGTTGTTGTGATTTCATGTACTTCATGTGATTTTATTTGAGTCTTGTTTTGTACTTCTACAGGAGAAGCCAAAGACAAATTTGCACAGTAGTGGACAACAGAGTATCTAATTATCAGTTCATTTTGTAGCTAATGCACATAATGCAGTGTTTAAACTGTACACAGAAATATAAGTGCGAGATCACTCTTTTGCACTCTTTTTTTCTCATCTACCTTTTACATTTTTTTTTAATTTAAGTAGGTTTCACTGTTTATGTGAACCTGTTAAAAATCAACAATTTAAGCTGCTCATGTGAAGGTCATAAAGCTGCTGAAGCTGCTGAAGGTCATAAAAATGTTTACAATGTGCAGCTCTTAGATAAAATAATCCTTGTTTTAATGTAACATAAGGACATAGAACTTAAACGTTGATATGATCATTTTGAAAGAAAAATATTTTTTTCAACAGATTACAGAAACACAGAAATCTGTTGACAAGTTTCAAAGTATAATTAAATCCAACAGAACTGAATTGTCAAAGGTATGTTTTGCACTTTGACCTCTTATTCATAACTCTTGCTCCTTTCTCACTTTACTGTATTAATGGTTGTTAATTTATTTAAAATAAGTTATTACTTTGAGGCATATTAAATAATAATTTTCTAAATCTTGATGTCGCTTACAATTTGTTTTTTATCCTATGACTACATACTATTAGATTTTTCTTACTGGAGCTCTGGACTCTGGACTGAAAGAAGGATACCATTTTGAATAGGTCCAATAAATATAAAAAAAATATTTCACTCAATGTACAAAAGTAGTGGGTGAATAATATTAAGAAAGTCGATGGAATAGTTATAGTGCACAAAACACAGTTTTTTAATTATCCTTTAATAAGATTTACACAATAATGTGCTATGTGGAAGTTCTAATTTAAATATATACTTTTCATTTGGTCTTAATTGCATTTGGAGATAATATCTCATTTCAGTGTAATTTTTTTTCAGGTGAAAAATAATTGTGCACTCATTATATTCCATAGGTGCAAGCCCTTGTTGAAGAGGCAAAATTAAGGGAGGAAGCTCTGAAGGCTGAACTGCAGTCCTTTGAGAAGGAAAACAACATATTGAAATCCAAGAAAAAAGCTGTAAGAAACTGCTGCACTGCTTTGGTTTCAGTAATTTAGTTAGAAATGGCTGGATAAGATCCTTGATCACTTTGCTGCAAGAAACCAAATAAACAATGGGAATATTCTTCTGTATCTAGAAATTAAAATGAAATGCATTAAATTTTGTCCTACAGTAATTTTGATGGAGCTCTTTTGTGTGTGTCTTATAGCTACTGAAAGATGCTAAAGACTGGGAAGAAAAACACAGAGAACTAAGCGAGCAAATTAAAGTTTTTCAGAAGTCTCAGAAGGAACTGGAAGATACTGTTGTGCACAAAGAAAACGAAATTGAGGTAGGTCATTAACCTGTAACTAATTACTTGCCAGAAGTTAAATGGAATACTGTGAGGCAGGATTGAAAAGAGAGAAGAGGTAAGATTGATATGATCCCTGCTTTCCATGTCCAGGTTTTGTCTAACTGCATTGCTGAGCTGCAGCAGCTTGAGGCTGATGCCAAGTATGAGAGTGCAGACTTGCAGAAGGGAGATGCTATGATACTAGCCAATGGAGAAGCTCTGGGTAAGCGTTTTTCTTTGAAATATAAAGTGCTAGAAAAGTAGATCATACTTTCTGTATTACATTTAATTGGTTTGATTTTTTTAGATGTGTTTTGCCTTTGTAATTAACGCTCTCTGGAGGAAAAAGCAGAACTCTTCTGAGCTCAGTCTATCTTTAAATGTGCTTCATGATACTAAAACAGGTTCCCATTTCTGTCTGTTGAATCATAAACAGTCATTCTCTAAAACCTTTTTCCCATTGATGCTTTCAGACCAGAAGAATGACACAATAAAGAACCGAATAAAACAGATGATGGATGTTTCACGGGTAATTCTGGTTGATATTTCTTAACTGCATTTTCTACTATAGGTCTTAAAGAGTGGTTTTGTGTGATGTCTTTTAATGTCTTTAGTGTAATTTATTCTTTGTGAACTCTCCTTGGAGCAGTGTTTTAAGAAAAATACATTAGCTGTGTTATTTCTTATGAGGATAATGTAAACATGGCCCTATAATAAGAAATGCCTATGTATTTTCCTCTAAAAAGTCACATAGTGTATTGAAATATATGGTCATATATTTCAAAATGTTAGTGAACTGCAGGAATAGTTCGTTCTTATTTTTCTTTATATACAGGTGAAGACAACTCTTACCATAGTACAAGAAGAGAGAGACCATTACTTCACAAAACTCTTAGCTGAGGAGAAAGAGAGGCATGAACTAGAAGGTACCATTTTTTGCTTAGTGTGTTTAAAGTTAAATTCAAACTTTTTTCATCTTGAACAATTTCCTTAAAATATATTTTTTAATCGCTATTTTACTAACAACTGCTTTCCAATCATTTGTTCTGCAGAACAGATAAAGAAACTGGAGCACGATCAGGCTACCATGCTCAGTGAGAAGTGCCACCTGGAATCACAGTTCAAGACAATTCAGCAAAAACTTGAGATAATGAATGAGATGTACCAGCAGAAGGAGAATGCCCTTCAGCAGTGAGTGTCACGGAACACACTAGTGAAAGGGTTGTAATGTGTGTAAACCTGCTCTGTGCAGAATGGGAACAATGTCTGAACCAAGTTTGATATTAACTTGTTTTGTTACTAACAGTAGTTCTGACTTTTTAAAAATGATTGCTTTGATTCATTATCATTTAAAATCCTTAAGACTGAACTTGCATTTGGTCATATGGTATAATATACTCCTTATTAACTTTTAACAGTAAAAACTAAATATCATTCTGCAATAAATACATTAAATTCCAAGTCATTTTTCTTTAGAAAACTTTTCTGATTCATCTTCATATTTCATCGACAGAACACTAATAAGAAATCTTGCTGATAGCTTCCACAAAAAAGCATTACAATGAAAATAACCTAAAGTGCGGCGTAAATATGAGTGCACTTCTTATTGGAAAGATCTTATGAGACATAAGGGCTGTGCAGTTGATAACCTTTCTGAGAAGGTGAAAAGTGTACAGGCCTTGGCAGGCCTTTAACCCTGGTGTTGGGCCTTGTGCTGCAGGAAACTGACGCAGGAGGAGTTTGAGCGAAGGGAGAAGGAGCAGAAGCTCTCGGAGGTGGATGGGAAGGCTCTGCAGGCTGAGGAGGAGTTAAAGACCTGTAAGCAGAGGATACAGGAGATCGAGGAAGAGCTGCAAAAAACAGAACGCTCCTACAAAAATCAGGTGTGAAATATATACAAACCTCTTTCAGAACATGGAGGAAAGCATTCCTCCTTTATTTTTGCAAACAGAAACATTAAAATTCTTATTATATGGTAAAAATCATTTGATAAACTAATTTGTTTTTCTATAGTTGGAAACTACACACATTTTAGTGCTTTATGTTAGCCATCAAGGAGGCCTGTCTTTCATTTAAAATCCTTAGTCTGCTATTTGTGATACTTAAAATAAATGTGCACTAGAAAGTACAAATTTCTATCAATTATGGCAGATTTTAGATGCTGCAAAATGGCGGGGGGAATAAAGCAATCATAGTGTACATTGCAGACTATTTGATTGTTGAGAGCAATAAAAATAATAAGACCAGCTACATTGTTAATTTAGCTGTGGTTAAAAAGGCTGAGTTTCTATAGCTGCGAACATGACTTGTGCTTTGAATGAGACCCTACAAGAATATCATATACAAAACATCGGTGCCTACCTCCTTCATGAAACTAATCTTGCATACATTTGGAGACTTATAAAAATTGTGAGGATGACATGAATACTAATTGTCAGTCTTGTCAAAGAAAATTCAGTCTTTAATCAGGTTAGGAGACTGTCAAACAGATCTTTCACAGAGAAGGGGATTCCCCTAGCACTCAGTACATATGCTCGCTTAACTGAAGTTACACTTTTCCTTTTATATACATTAAATGTAGGCGAGACTTTAACATATCAAAGGAAACCCAAGGCACAGGACACTCACAGAAGTCTTTCAAATACAAACAAAACAGGACAAGAACATTCCATTTGGCATCCTGTAGTCTTTTATTTCTCACTGATAAATCACACAAGTGGGAAAAATTACAGGCTTTAGATGCAGAAAGACACCTGTCTTAGGTGCAAACAAAACCTCTCCCGTGCATAGTCACTGTCTGAAACTTTAAAAATGTGATCCAAAGTTTAGCTAGTTAAATTTTTATTATGGAGAGCTTTAGCTAACCAATTTCTTTTAAACTTTCCTAGATTGCATCTCATGAAAAGAAAGCACATGAAAATTGGGTAAGTGGCATAACATTTTTAATGAAACATCTAGAGAAATACATATTATGTACTGATCCTTTTACCTTTTCTTCATTTCAAACAGCTGAATGCACGATCGGCTGAAAGAGCTCTAGTGGAAGAGAAGAGAGAGACTGCAAACCTGAGGCAGAAGTAAGTTGAACCTGCAGTTTCATTTGCTTTAGGGATATTGATAGGCAGGTGAATCTTGTTTCTAAAAACAAAACTTTGCTGAATTATCTCACTCTTCTTGAGGTGTGACTTTCTAATGCTATACTTATGTGGGAATACCTTTCTTATAGATTGCTTGGAGATGGCAATTTTGTCAGGTACATTTAACAATCAGCCATACAGCCATTGCATTAGTTTGCCTCTGTGCATTCAAGGAGTCTGGAAATCATCTAAAGGTTAACTTCATATGAAAATTCATTGGCAATATTGATTCCTGGTATGCGTCAGAATGAGGGTGTGCTGTACTGCCCTTGTGAGGGGTGAGAGAAGTTGGAAGTGGGGGATTATTTTCATTTTCTTTCTGGTTTGAGGGAAAATATATATATATATTGAAAATAATTTTCCAGGCTTATTGAAGTTAATGAGAAGCTGGCTGAACTACAGAGACCATCTCTTATCAAACCAACACCTGGCCGTCCAGACAGGCAGTTGCCACCATTTCGGAAAGGTAAGCTTGTTACGGTTTAGGGTGTTACGGTTTTTCTGCTAAAGAGAAATTATTGGTCAGAGAAGATCCCGGCAAGCATTGACATTAGCTGACTTGGCTAGGACAAAAGTCTGTCTGGTCTGTAATTTTTTTTATTTCATTTGCTGCTTTGCGAACAAATGTATTTGCGAACCCCTCTAATTTGCTATAATTAGCACACCTGAGTTGTTGTCAACCTAACTGTAACCTAATATCTTTAATTTAAGGGCAGTGGTCAGGCTAATTTTAAATATTCACTCATTCTCCATGTCTCAGTCTAAATATTTGCATATTTCTAAGTGCCTACAGCTTGTAATTTGATGATCTTTTTTAAAGACCTTCTGAAAATCTAAATACACTATTATGTTTTATGTTCTGTAAGTGTCCATTACTGTTGTTGCTTGATCAAGCTCTTAACAGGTTTAATAGGCCAAACCTAATTTTTCTAAATCTATGTTGACTGTTTTCTAACATGTGATTTCCATATATATAATAATCTAGTTTACATTTATTCTAATTCTTTCCGTAACCTTACATCTAAGCTGCAGAGCGCTGGATTTGATTATGGATTTAGGTTCCTGTCTTTGTCGAGTCTGCATGTTCTGTTTGCTTTTTGATAGACCTTTAGAGACGTCGCAGTCTTCAAATACATGCAGGTTAGGTTTGCAATTGGGCTAAATTCACCCTTTTCTGACATGGGAAGTGTTCCCACTACGACTAGCACTGTTTATGGGAAAACCAGCCTTCTGAGTCAGCTTAAAACAAGCTAGGTTTATTCCATGCTGAAAAAAAGAAGAAAGAAAACGCGAAGTTTTGGCTGTGGAGCCTTCTTCAGCTGTAAGCAACCTAAAGAAGGCTCCACGACCAAAATGTTGTTTGCCGATGCAGCTACCCACCTGAATTAAAACAAGCTAGTGCTGGTTTACCCAAAGTGATCTTGGGAAATTAGACAAAAAGACTGAATGTTTTTCTGTGCATTTTATGAAACAGGTTAAAATTGCCAAAATAAGTTTCCCTGATCTTGCAGTTCCTTCGATGTTTGTCGTGTCATTTGTGATGTTTCAAGTAATGCATTTTTCTTAAAACAGGAGATTCTTTTGGTCCTTCCCCTGTGAGTGGAGGTGCCCCATCACCTCCTCCGATGTTTGAGGGTCCAGGACGCCCGCCCTCTGCTCCTCTGGGGCGAAGAGAGCCCTTTGGTAAGTCACAGCCCAGCCAAGCTGGCTGGTGAAATATGTAAAGGGTACCCCCTTGCCTCTCTAGATCGGACATATAGCTTGTTCCATGGTTTTACATTCATTTAGAAATGGATTAACTTGCAGGTAATTGTCTTTTTAACAGTTTATTTGATACATGTATCTAATGGGATTTTATTTCTTTGCCTAGGACCAGTTGATAGCCAGCTTGGCCCAAGAAGACCACCTTCAGAAACATTAGGACGATTTTCAGACCTTGGACACCCCCCTCCTTCACGACCTGGTACACCTTTTTATCTAGAGCCTGTTCTCACACCAGTATTTACATTTTAGAGTATGTCTAAGAACTTCTAACTTCATGATTATACTGATTGTTCTAGATGCTGCAGTTAGTGCACCGAGAACTTCGTCTCCTAGTGTTTTGGATGGATCGGTAAGTCAATGAATTTTTAATTTAAGAGAAGAGATTCTAGTCTGTTATTAATAAGAATCTGCAAAGTCCTTGGTTGTGTTCAAAAGCATAAATGTTTAACTATCCACTCTTTTAACAGCGCTCTCTAGAACTGACAAATGTTAGTTTTTCAAATTGAAAACAATGCAAAGGTTGAGTAATGCAGCTATAGGAGCATTCTGGTTTGTTAAATATCACCCTGCAACTCACAACTGGCAGCCCACTGAAGCTAAGCAGGTGTCAGTACCTGGATGGGAGATCTCCTGGGAAAAACTAAGGTTGCTGCTGGAAGCAGTGTTAGTGGGGCCAGCAGGGGGCGCTCACCCTGCGGTCTATGTGGGTCCTAATGCCCCAGTATAGTGATGGGGACACTATACTGTAAACAGGCGCCGTCCTTTGGATGAGATGTAAAACCAAGGTCCTGACTCTCTGTGGTCATTAAAAATCCCTGGGCGTAAAGAGTAGGGGTGTAACCCCGGCGTCCTGGCCAAAATTCTCATTGGCCCTTATCAATCATGGCCTCCTAATAATCCCCATCTTGAATTGGCTCCATTACTCTGCTCTCCTCCCCACTGATAGCTGATGTCAGTGAGCGTTCTGGCGCACTATTGCTGCTGTCGCATCATCCGGGTGGATGCTGCACATTGGTGGTGGTTGAGGGGAGTCCCCATTACCTGTAAAGCGCTTTGAATGGAGTGTCCAGAAAAGTGCTATATAAATTTAAGCAATTATTATTATTAAATCATGGTGACCTATTTTGAATGAGAGGTCCTCAAAATCCTTTAACATTGGTTTAGGAGTGATGAAGTGTATTTCATCACATTTATCTAACTAGTACATTTACATAAGCAGATAATGTTTAACTCTTCCCAACCCAGCTTCTTTCAGTTTCTGTCAACTACTTGTTGTTTTATCGGGGAAGCAAATAAAAGTCAAAGTGTTATATAGTGAAATGTTTAGAATGTAAATCAAGGGATGTTACGTTACAATTGTGCAATGCACTTGTAAGAACTCATTTAGAACACTGAATAGAATTTTGGTCATCGTGTTGCAAAACAATTCTGGCATCAGTCCAGAGAAGAGCAACCAGGTTGTGATAAACTGGAAGAATTTGAGAGAAACTGATTCAAGCATTGAAAATTCTCAAAGGCATGGACAATCCACTGTCAACTTACTGGATTTCTATAAAATCCACACTGAAACACAAACCAGAGGATGCAAGTGAAAAATATGTGGAAATGCATTTCAAATGAACAAACAGAAAGCATTTTTTTTTACACAAAGGGTTGTGTGAGTAATGAAATATGGGGGAAAAAAACATCCAGATGATATCCTTGGAATCAGCTGGATATTAGCAACCAAACAAAGTTGACCGACCGTATGGTCTCATCTTGTTTGTAACCTTTTTCCCTTTTTGAACTCTGCACTAAAGCAGAATCCTCCTGTAGAGACTCAAGCCCTTCCCTCTTCCCTCCCTATTCCCGAGGTCTTAGAGGCTGTAAGTATAGAGTGCAGGACTGGGCTTATTTCCTGGATGTGCAGGTCTGCATGCTGCTTGCTGCTTATGGTGGGATTTTGCAATAGGAGGTTAACCAACATGCTTCTGGGTGACTGAACAACTCCTCAAGAACGGGGACCAGTTTCACAAAACCAATACTTCACGCTGTCAGCTATCAAGATGTCTTTCCATCTTTCTCTGCCTTATCTCAAGGGAAAAAAAATTACAATTTCGCAATGTTAAGTTTTGTCATGTGAAAGTTTTTCACTACCATTTTTAAGAGTTAAGTTAATTTAACTTTTCTTGATATTTCAGAGAGTGGAATACATCAAGAGGCACAAATGTTTTACTCTTTGAAGTAGACTAAAATCCTAAGAGTTTAAAACTTTGTAGAAATGGTTAATGGGGTCTTTTAAACCACATTCTTATTTATGGGACAGATGCTTTTAAGAATTATGGTTAATGAACTGGGGCCAACATGTTAATGTTTGGTGTTGCTAACTGATATGATACCACAAGTCATAAGAAGTTATCTTTCTAATCAGTGAATGAATTTGTGTTTTTGGGTTGTAAACATGTTAAATAATTTTTAGAAATTGCATGTGCATCTGGAATAAAGGATATCAAAAATTGAGATAATCACTCCCCATATAGCAAATGCAAAATATCAAAACGGTTAACAACTTGCTATCTAACATACGGTGGCTATGTTGCCTGATTGAATGTGCTTTGTAAACAGTTGAAGGCATTTGAGTGTCACGTCTTTTGGGTCTAGCAACCTGTTTCCTGACTTGGTCTGTAAAGCTGGTTGTACGATTCTTTCTGCCATCACCAACAATGACCAGGTAGAAGAACTGTATTTTAGTGCATTGTTTGCAGCTCACATTAATGACAACAAATTTTCTCTTCTAGATGAACTCAAAATCCCAAGGTCCCCCATCATTTCCAGGAACCCCAATTATGAATTCACCAGCTTCTGGTGCTACACCTCCTGCTAAAGGGTTTGCTCCTCCATTAGTGGCTGGGCCATTCCCTCCTTCCCTCAATGGTCCTACCCCTCCTCCACTGTTGGGACCCCTGAATGGACACCCCCCAATGCCCTCCGCTGTACCTCCCCTGGCACCAGGCCCGCGATATGGACCGCCACATCCATCCAAGGGACCCTATGGCCCAAGGCCTTATGGAGCAGTTCCACCTCCTAATGGTAAGATACCCTTAACTTCAGGCAAAGATTACAGTAGTGTTTGTATCTTTCCACTGTTGTGACATTATTCTCTGGACTCCGCTGTCAAATTGAAGCTCATCATGCCATAACAGACTATCCTTATTCTGAAGAGTGCCATTTCAGGAAGCTCTGGTTTCATATCCACTATATGGTAGCCTGGTGCTCACCTTTTGCCTTGATAGAATAACACATTTTCATTCCCATGCACAGTCCTGTGCATGCATCTGAGCTTCATTTCTGCATATGTGGGGAGTGAGTACTAGTACTTCTGTAAGGGGGTAATTTTAGAGAAGCAAGTTTAAATTTATACCAGTACCTTATGTTTAGGTGACCATTCAACTGTTTTTTGCAATATATGCCAGGGACCTGTGCAATACATTTATATTTACATCTATATTTATATTCATATTGTGCAATATGACTTTTGTGTACTGTTCTGTTCTAGTTTGTTCTTTGTGTGTTCTGGACTAAGTAACTCTTATTTATTGCACTTCTCACTGTTCTGATTATATTGTATTTTTATTATTATTATTGTATCATTTGTTACACTGTGGCTGAGTTGTCTGTGTTAAGCTGCTGTTGCACTGCAGTTTCCCTCAGGGGATCAATAAAGTATCTATCTATTCCATTTCTCAAAATTGTGAATGTCAAAGAAATGTCCTTATTGACATTAATAAAGTACTTAATAAAGTATTATCTATCTATTATTGCATTGTATCCCCTTATATTAACACAACCAAGTACAAAGTCTGTAGCGGAATGTAATAGAATCAGTGACTCTGCATATTAATAATATAGAATGAAATATGAATTTTGCAATAAATGTAATTCCTTGTTTTCCTGCAGTCCGTGGTCCAGTACCGCCTCACAGAGACTACCCTCCCGGACCGCCGCCTCCTTTTGGGCCTAGAGACCTTCCCGCTGGATTTAGGGACCACCATTCAGCTCCACCACTGCCTCATGGCCACAGGGACTATCCCTTTCCTGCCAAAAACCTTCCTCCCGGAGGCATTCCACCACCTGGAGTTAGAGACTATCCAGGGCCCCCTCCTCCTGCCCACTTGGGGCCCCGAGACTTTCCTGCTGGGCCTCCCCCTGTGCCCAATATGGCACCCAGAGACTACCCTGGCCCAGGAGGGCCTGCACAGCAGGCTGCTCCCAGAGACACGTCCTCAACATTGCAGAACGAACCATAAACAGCACGCGCTAGCCTGGGGTGATACTATATTCACCTGCATAAATTGGACTTTTTTTAATCCTGCTGCTTCCCTCACAGTAAAAATTTGGTTGGTTAAAAAAATAAATAATTAGAAAACCAGTGTCTTGTCATATGATGTCTGGGACTAAATAAAATCATTTCAATAAGAAAACTGAGGGAGGCCCGCCAATGTGAAGAAACATATTGTGCAATATTACCCTTTTCAGTCTCTTCATTTTTTTTAGATCAGTGGTGTTCTTAAACGCTTTTGAACAATGCAGAGTTTTATTTGAAGTTTCCTGTGGAAATACTTGTTTAATTATAAACAAAAGTCCAAGTATTCAGTTTTAGCTCTTGAGTTCCACAAGTTCACATTGCATACACCTTGCATCCACCTAAAGCTTTTGCTTTATTAAAGGATGTAAAGGTAAGTTGTGTACAAAAAGGTCAGATGTATAACTTATTTTACTATATTCTTAGATTTATTAATAAAGTTAATAAAAACTACACTTGTTGTATTGTTTTTGATTACTCAAATTTGGGTTCAAATTGCACTGAGGAAAGAGTTTTGGCATTATTTGACAACACCTGTGCATCTTGTACATTTTCTACCCCTAAGCAGTTTATACTTTGTTTCACATACCAAGAGGCATTAATAACACAAGATATCAGAGCCAGTATGTATGACTAAAATGTCGACTGGAATGGAAATCACAAATACATTTAAAACTGCAAATTGGAGAAATAATCTTCAGAAACTATGTTGCAATTAGATTGTTGTTAGTGTGAAGGGGGAAATGGCAAATACTCCGGTACAGCCCTTCAGTGCACCTTCCTAGCAGACTCACATTGCTGCACACTTTCGAGACGGATTGTGTAGGCAGGGAAAAATCTGATACAAAACTCATAAACTAATGTATCCATTTACCTTTTAAAATGTTTAAAATTTTGAATGCAAAATACTGGGTATTTTGGATTGGTGGAGAAAGAGTCCTTTTATATGAAGGTATTTGTAATATTAGTTTGGTGTCTGCAGCATCCAACATAACCTATATTGCTGTCACGTGAAAATCACATTCATTTTATTTTCAGGTTGTTCATGCATCTATTTGATCATAACATACTTTGTGTTCAACCCAGTGATTTCATGTGACCATAAATATAGGGAGACATTCATTTTAAGAGTATAAAAGTCAGTATCTGGCTGACTACATTGATTTATTTTCTACATTGACTTTTTAATTCGGTCTTTAAAATGTATGGTCAATTGGATTTTTTTTAAATTGAATTTTAAGATATAGTATTCCACTTTTTTCTTCTCCAGATTGGGTGTATGTATTGGGTAGCTGCCATGCTGCACATTGAAGTACTGCCTAGTAAGTCTGAATAACTGTCTTCAATATACAGTAAGTATATGGTCAAAAATGTTCCTGTATACTTCAGAATTCATTCAGCTGCAGCCATTATTAGCTACATTAATAAAAACAAGAGTTCCAGACGTGGCTTCAAAGGGCAGTCTATCTTCAGATTTAAGTGGGATTGAACATTTACAGTACATGCCAAAGAAAATTAAATTGAAACCTCAAGAAGACTCAAGAACTCACAAATGGTGGAAGCCAAGGCTGAGTTGACCACAGAGCATTTTTTGTTACAATATGATCCAAGTTGATCAACATACAACATGTACAGTAAGTATGTTGTACTTCCATTAGTCTTATGATTGCAAATGCAAATAGCTTCATCTTAAAGCAAAAATAAGCTTTGGCATTTCTATCCTTAGTCTTTTGCTGGGACAGTATGTGCATTTTACTTCTAAAACCAAATCTAGGCCTGTTCTTTGTTGCTTGGGCAGGTGAATAAAGCCACACTCAAATGCTGCAGAAACTATTTCTTCTCTTACATGATAGAATTTACAAAACTACACATTTTCAAAGGATAAGGTATAATACAGCACATCTCATTAGAGAAGAATTCAAAGGTTTTGATGAATAGGTCTTTAATATAATTTTTAGATATTAAGCTGCTGGGTGCAAATCACCCAGATCTGAAAACCACCAACTTGTGATTTAACCCATGTAATGAAAACAGTGAAAATAAACGCATCTATCCCTTCTGACTGGATGTTTGTGTGAGCAGAAAAGATTTACCTATATTTTCTTAGTCTATTTTGCTGTGTGGGAAATGTGCCTCTTTATATCAATTGTAAATTAGCTTCAAAGAGATATTTTTCCATTGTACTATCTTCTACATTGAAGTTATTGTTTTTACTATCAACATTCTGAAAATATACATGTAAAAGAAATGGTTTGCAGAATGTCCTCAACTAATAACTCTTAATTTGATGTAGACCTTACATTTGGAAACAATTACCCATATTATCTGTGACTTAACTTTAACCCTTATTTTACTACTACATGACATTAGGATTTTTAAAGGTAGGTACCACGGTTGAATATACTTTCATTGTGAAAAGGAAACTCGCAGTTTAATTTTACAGCAGTTTGCTGTCAGTAGTAGCTTGGAATACCAAAGCTAACTCATACCACTATAAGATATTATTTCATGTATAATCTGTTTGGCCTGTAAAATATCACAAAACTGTGCATACATACTATACTGCCATAGCTACAATAGTTATTAGACTGCATCAAACTGTGTCTTTTATTAAATACTCTTGTTATTATTCAACCACAGTCTTCAAGTTATAAAAGTCTATAAGTTATAGCATTGCTGTAGGTGTCATTATCGTGTTAATACAGTTAACATATGGTGGATGAACTAAAATGGCTCCTTAAATACCATTTTGTTCTCACAGCTAAGGCCACATCTGCTTCAGGAGCCACTGAAACCTTGGCTGGTTTCATCCCCCTCGAACCTGCTTTGCACTTGCACCTCTCCGGTAGCAGCAAAGCTTTTTTACCCACAAGGGATTGACACATTTCATGTAACTGCACACTTGGGCAAACTTGGCCAGTTAATTTCACGCTCGGTAGGTATACTTATAGTAACAGTATGACAAGTGTTGAAACTGGGTTCTTTCTTAAATCAAAATGGCAGCCACACCACTATTTTGGTCTGTTGTCATATGTTTCCCATCTCACAAACGGTTATTGTGCAAAACCCATCTGGCCAACTAAATCTAAAATGGTTAGCAGTTTTTCTCACAATTGAAATATTGCTATACACAAGTTCCTTTATAAGCCAGAACAACTGCCTCACTGCCATTTTTCACTTCATTTCAAACTGCTGGTCTTGGGAAATGGCACCCTGGTTACGCTGACACTTCCGCAGCTTGCATGTTACAGAAATACCATTTCTTTCTGCATCAGGTGATTGTGAAGCCTGTTAGGGCTTGTATTCCTTGGAAGTCTTCAAAACTGATAACAACTTTCCAATTTAAATCGATTTGCTGGCGATGGCACTTTGATAAGGTAATGCAGGTTCCTCATGGAAAGGGGCGATCTTCCTGTTTTTATGTGCAGGTAGCAAATCTGTGATACAATCAGGCACCACTGGTCTTTTTATCTTCCCTGTACAAGCTACAGATAAAAAACACAAAACGACATGGCGTTGCACAACCAGTTTAGAGCACCACTTAGGATTACATCCGTAATGAATTAGAATGAAGCTACAGGTCATGTCCAGGGAAGTACGGTAGCTATTGTATTTTCTTGTCAAGGAAAGCTACGTTTTATTTTGATATCCATCCATTATCTAATCACTTTATCAAATTTAGGGTCACAGGGGAACCAGAGTTATTGGGCTCAATGATAGGATACACCCTGGATGGGACACCAGTCCACTGCAGGACAAACGCTGGCACAGATATAGACACACACACTCAGACCAAGACCAGTTTTCCCAAGAACCCAATTAATCCACCAGTATGTCTTTAGAGTAAACAAGAACCTGGAAGAAACCCAGCATAGGGAGAACATAGGATGAACATATAAACTCCATGTAGTTAGTACCCCAAAACTGAAGCCTACCTGTCAATTTTAAAGCATTCATCTCCAGTGAAATGGTTCCTCCAATTCTTACTGACTTTAAACAAATAATGTGACAGGAAAATGACACAATTATAAAGAAACATGATTTATTTAGAGTTTAGTACACTTCTTATGAAAATTGTGTGAGCCTGTTCTATTCTGAATGAAGCATACAATAAAATATATTTTTTACAGATCTCTGCAGCACAATTACTGGTTTCATTATGTCCCCTAGTTATTCAGTCCTTACCTTTCAGGGTTTTGTGTGCACAGCTATTAAAGGAATGCTTTTGCCTTAATGAATTAACATGAAATTCACAATGTATGATGACTAATTGAAATGTCTTTTCTGGTACAGAAAAAGTTTCTTTAGTGTTCTATTTTACAGTTTTATATTAGACATCTACATACATCATCACAACACCCCCCAAAAAAAGGATACCCAAAGTCTAATGTCTTTTAAAGAACAGTCTCACACGATGATTAACAAAGCTTTTTGCTAGAGTGCAAATTTTCTTCATTGTTTTCTACCTCCAAGCACATACTGCTGAAATCTCAATACTATTTTAAAAGGAAAGAAATGCGCATTTCCTTTCCATGCTTGTCTCTTACTATAAATTTAAACCTTTAGAGAGTTACAGTAGATGCCACTCATTTACAACCTCTTGTTACCCAGCAGAACGTTTTTATGTGGACGTTGTAAATAACGGTTCAATTTTCAACATGTACACAAAACAGCAATATTAAACAGTTGTAGCAACATGCCATGGTTAAAATTATGGTTAAACATAACCATAATCCTCTAATAAACAAAGTGGGTGAAAAACCAAAATGAAGGCATACACAATATATAAAGCACAGTATATAAACCAAAAATACACTAAATGTTTTTTTATGAGTAAATAAAAATAGTGCTTTACCATCTCAGGTGAAAATGAGCAAATTTAAAATTGTCCAATGTGTTGTTTTGTACGATTTTAGTAATATAAAAAAACTCAACACATAATGTATAAAACTATCAGGACCCAAGAAAGGAAGAGTATATTAAACTGTCTAAAAATTAACATATATAGAACAAAATGATGACTTACTCACAATCACTGCTGATATACATAAGCTGCACAATGTAGACTGCTACTTGCAATAAATCTGATGTCCCACCTCTCAGTTTTTATACATACGGTAGGTGCACCATCCATTTTAACAGGCCTAGTATTTCGTCTTGCTTTTTAAGTCCTGGGTTCTAACAGAACCTCAAGAATGCAAATTGTACTGAAAAAGAAAGAGGTCCACATTTTTAAAAGCAATTATATAGAATTCAGAAATTACAACATAAAGCACATGTACAACGATCCTGCTGCTACACCTCAGAAGAGACTTTAGTCCCTTAAAAATCCTAAATAAGCTATTAGCAATCTGCAGTAGTTAACATCTGCTGAGTTAGGAGTTCCTTCGAGTTGACAGGAAGAGACTGGTTTCCAAGAAGATGTTGCAAATAGAGAACTGTATTTTTCAGGTCTGCTAATTAGTGGCATTCACTGTACCTTCACAGAAAATGGGAACAAACTTTGCTCTAGAGCAAAAAACTTTGAAACATTTTCAATCTATAAACCAAACACTTTCTTTTTCTTATTTACTCTTCAGCTTGTGTTCTTTAAGAACTCTTTTCACCACAGATAATTCTAATGTGTTCAATGAAACTGAACATGGCCTTTTTGTGTGTACAAATGTAGCAAAGCTACCTGCCTGCTGCTGTCAAGGTGTTTCTTTCTATGTGACACTGTGTGAAACTTTAAGTAGTAATACGATTTGTCAACCAAATAAGGCCATGGTTATTGAAAACAAAGATCATCTGAAGTTCATGTGGACAGTTTCTTATCCCAAACAAAAAAAAAGCATATTAATTGAACAAATCTGCAAGTAGCAGATGTCTGGCAAAAGATAATTCTGGCTTTGCCACTTTATTCAAAATTTTATGTTTAAAAAAAATTAAGTTTCAATTCTAAAGGCATTATGCTCAGGCTAAACAAAATATCCACACAAGCTTGCCAGACAACCACTGCATCCTTATTGCAAAAAAGCCCTTTTATATAAGACTAGGTAGTGTATCAATAAGGTTTAATCCACGTGTGAAAAATACTGAGTGTCAGACACCACCTTAAGAATCCACAAAAAAGACATTCAAATGAATTCTATACATATTAAAACGGTATTTCCCAAATATACCTTTGATCACTCATTTATATGAAAGTGTGCCACATCCTGTTTGTGTTAGTCCAACCTGTCAGGAGACTCATACAGAATACATTAATTTGTTGTCAGGGAGTGTTTATTGTTATCCTTTTGATAGTAGAAGCCGGAAGTAGCTCCCCTTAAAAAGAAAAAAAGCTGCTTGAAGCTGGTTATTGGAATGTTGTTGCTTAAGTCAACACTGAGGCTGCTGGTATCCATTTTGCTTAATAATACATCATGAATTTCTTCCGTCATCTCAGAATTTAGTATGAAGCCGTTAGGTATGTAACCTGCTTCTGAAGGCTTTTCAACAAGCACTTCAGCCACTGTAGTTGGTAAGTATTGCATGAACAGGGCAGCCACCAAGCCACAGCATGACTGATGCTCTTTAAAGAAAGAGCTTGACAGCTGTACCAGGGATTTATGAGTGGTTGCACTGTGGCTTTGGTGGCTATGTTTAGTATTGCTGTGGAGGCATGATGGGAAGGAACAGCAGATCTGCTGAGTAGCTCTGCTGTACGCAGACACAGTGCTCAGGAGTGGTGTTTGATGTCCCCTTCACATGTAACGCTGCCTGTGAACCCAGTTAGTCTTTATGCAGTGTCTGGTGGAGATGAAGATAGAGTGGTTTCTTTGTCAGAAGATGGAGTTTCTTTCTTTTGAAGTCCGTTGGCTTCTTGTACCTTTAGGAGTCAAACGAAAAGGTCAGTGTGGGTGACAAACTTACATACCTGTAGACACAACCAACTAGAATCAATACATGCATCTGAAACAAAAACAAAAATCGGACTTCGCATTCAAGCCTTCAAAGATACTGCTTTGCAAATCTCTCGCAATTCTACAAATTAACCTCAGTCCAAGCCCTGCTTATTAAATCCCTTTCAATTACTTTTTGTCAACCTTTATAATCTTTTTATTCATAGCCATAAATAAAGTTTATCCATAAACCTTCAACTCATTTACTATGGTATGACACTATTTGACAGTTTGACAATATTATAAAACCTTTAAAGCCACCCGCAAGATATTTCATTGGTTACTGTTACAGAAAACAAACATAATGCTAATTACTCAGCTCAACACAAAAGAGATGATATACTGTACAATAATGCAATACCTGAATTTATACAAGAATACCAAAATATTCAGGAAACCAGCAGCTACTCTCAATCCCACAAGTATACATCAAAAACATTTGCTCCCACATTTTATGATTTACAGTACTGTAACTTAATGCCAAAAAACCTACACAACACCTGAAACAAGCAATTAATGCGAAACACAAAAAACAGCACAATTCAAGGCATGCATCCCAACAATGATAACAGGGACCTTTTAAAGGCTTTTAACTCCCACCAATACCTGAGGCATTTGAAAAATATCACTGCTGTATTCAAACTACTGTACAACTAAAATACAGTACAAAATATATTTTTTTATGTGTTTGAGAAGTGATACTTCATGGTTTCAGTGCATTCAGGAATGACATTTTTTACATATATGCTGTAGTGCAACTTTATATTTTGTCAAATTAAAATTAAATAATTGCATGGCAAAAAAGGGATTATGGCTTTGATTGACACTTTTTGACTGTTTTGGGTTTCATTTCTAAAGTCATTGTATACTAGCAACGACATAGCTTTGTATAAATACACATTTTAACTGCAATTACAAATTATTCCACTATCCTAGGGGCTGCAAATCATACATTATGAGTGCAAAACATAAATAAATTACAATTACCCAACTCAATACCCACCAACTGTTGACAATACCTAACAATTACCAAACTTTTAAAATATTTTAAAACTCACTAACAATCAGGTTATTGAGACCGTGTTGATATTATTATTATTATTATTATTATTATTATTACTATTATTATTATTATTATAACATGAATTGGCAGCTCTCATACTGAAGTGCTCTCAGTGCTGCTGCTCTTGAATTGACTCATACCACAGATGTTCATGTTTTAATGTTTTCCTCTTTTTCTAAAATGGCCAGCTGCCATATCACTCTGGAACTCACAACTGCAACTGACTGAAGCTAAGCAGATGTGAGCCTGGTCAGTACCTGAATGGGAGACTCCTGGGAAAAACTAAGGTTGCTGCTAGAAGAGGTGTTAGTGGGGCCAGCAGGGGGAGCTCACCCTGCAGTCCATATCGGTCCTAATGCCCCAGTATAGTGACAGGGACACTACTGTAAACAGGCGCTGTCCTTCGGATGAGACGTAAAACTGGGGTCCTGACTCTGTGGTCATTAAAAATCCCAGGGTGTTTCTTGTAAAGAGTAACCCTGTAACCCTGGAGTCCTGGCCAAATTTCCCATTGGCCCTTACCAATCATGGCCTCCTAATAATCCCACTCTATGAACTGGCTTCATTACTCTGCTCTCCTCCCCACTGATAGTGTGGTGAGCATTCTGGCCCACTATGGCTGCCGTCGCATCATCCAGGTGGATGCTGCACATTGGTGGTGGTGGAAGGAAGACCTCCATTACCTGTAAAGCGCTTTGAGTGGAGTGTCCGGAAAAGCACTATATAAGTGTAAGCAATTATTAATTATTATTTTTAAAACACATAACTTTCTCCTTGCAGTTTGGTGCTGGACGTAAGAATCACGGGCCTCTCATTCCTGAGGAACAAGGTGCCGGAACGAACGTGAACTTTCTTTGTGAAATGGCACTTACAGTTCTATAACAATGGGACCAGGTTTGATCTCATCCATTTCCATGAAGGCAAAACATTTTGTGCTGGTAAACCTTTTCTTGGGTTTGTAGTGCTTAAATTCAAAGAAAATAGCTGCCCCTGAAACACAGGTCAAGGACATAAATGAATTTCAGAATCCACTGTATGACAAACACCTGCCCAAGCAAAATCATCTCTTCAAAGCTGAAACATGGATATGCATACCTTACTTTAGGAATGTTTGTTTTCTAACATTTTCCATATAATGAAACAATACTCCCAGTGGTATATATATATTCAATTTAAAAAACATGCTTATAAAATGTGACAGTTGTATAAAACTTTTTAAATCTATGCCAAGATGTGTTTATGGACATATTTAAAGAGCTAATATAGCTGGGTACATTCAATACAGTACAAAAGAAACTAGAAGTGAAAAGTAAATACCTTTAGGAAGTTTCTCAATATGTTTCTGAATTTCTACGTCCACATTAAAATGAATGTATGTGTCTTCTTTTCTGGAAGCCACTGGGGTATCTTGGACTGGGTTCAAATCGATGCCATTTAGATCTACAGTGAAACAAAACATTAATCTTGTCTGGTGTTTAGTAAGATAAAATGCCATGAGCAAAGGAACTTTATCTTTATCCAGGCACAACAAATCATTATTAATAATAAGAGTGATATGAGTTGGGGGGTACACTAGTTATATCAACATTGTATATTAAATAGCAATCAATATTCAGTATGGGACTGTAAAAAATGAAAACTCGTGGGATGGCTCACTCAGGATACCTGCTTAGGACTGGAGATCTATGCAATTTGCATATCTCCTGGTTACATTGTGGGGTTGCAACACAAGGAACACAAGGAAGTATGCTGATAAGGCAGAGCTGGGGCACGAAGATGGTCTAAGAAGACAAGTGGCATAGGGATAGTGTGACAATCTGGCCCTTGGCTTCTGTATCCTGATTAAGAATCTTCTCTATATTTTAAAGAGGTCCTTTAAGTGGCCAGCAGGTAGTATTTGAGGAATTCCATTGCTCACTTCAACAGCAGGCCTCTTTCTCAACTTCTGCATACTTGAGCTCTCTAGGGAGAAGGTTTCTGCTGAGATAGATAGCAGGATGGTATGATCCTTCTCTCATTTGAGACAAGACTGCACTGAGGCCTCTCTCAATCAGTCTGTAAGTAGAACTATTTCATAAAGTGAGGCACTGCTCACTACAGGTTCGGAACACAGGCTGACTTGGCCTTTGAGGTCAAATGACTGGTGTTTGGAGCCATTTTCTTTGTGAGGTCTGTTAGGGCACTTGCACTCTCAGAACACTGGGGAATAAACCTTTTATAATAGGATGTGGACTTGGTCCTTTGTTTTAGGGGTTAAACTTTTCTGTATTGCTCTAATTTCTTTCCAATTGAGGGTGAACCTGATCATTGCCTACTTCATACCCCAGATATTGAAGCCCGGTTTACTCTTCAGGGGGTTCACATGAAGTCCTGCTTTTTTTTTCTAAGCTGTGGGTTAACGTCTGGCCGTACTTCAGATGTGTGTCCAATTCTTCACTGAAGATAACCAGATCGTCAATGAAGCCCATGAAGCCCATGTGCAACCACAAAAGGTTATGATCATCCATTAAACATGGAAGAGACTCCAAGCAATCAAAAGGGCAGGACTTTGTACTGTATAGCCCAGTAGGGGATTCAAAAGCTGGTTTGGGGTTTGCATGAGGTGACAAGGGTTCAGGGAGGTCAAATAGCACAAGTTTCCCAGCCTTTCCAGGAGGTCATCCACTCTGGACATGGGATATGCATCCAATTTGAAGACCACATTCAGTTTTCAGAGGTCATTACAAAAAAAGCCATGTTCAATCGGACAACAAAAACTAGAGCAGGGAATGTTGCACGGCTTGATGATGTCTAGCTGCAATATTTCCTCAATTTCCTGTTGCACTTATTCTCCTCTGGAATTCTATACGGTGGCATGCAAACAAGACTCCTGGGTGAGTCTCAATGCTACGTTCAATGATCTGGGTTCTCTCAGTTCAATTTTTTTTAAAAAACAGCAGCACTCTGCTGGAGAAACAGGAGGAGAATGTTTCTCTCACCCCAGTGCATTCATTAACCCCAGAAAAGGAAAGATGCTTTAGTTAAGTCTGGCTCTCTCCAGACCTTTAACAAATTTACATGATAAATCTGTTCTTCTTCCAATCCAGCTCGTAAATCATATAGCTGACAGGGCCAATTTGCTCAGTTACCTCATAAGGTCCCTACCAATGGACATGTACTTTACATCTGGGGGTAGAAAGAAGCAGTATCACACTATCCCTAGTGTGAAACTGTCATGTCTGTGCCTGTAGGCTGTAGTATATGTTTGTCTCTCCTAAGCCTTCTTTAAACAATTTTATGAGAGGCATGACCTTGGCCTCATAAAAGGAAGAGGACATCAAAAGGCAACTGGGCCCTGGAAGATTTTCTCAAGACGGTTTCTGTGCTCTGTTGGTCTCTCGTTGCAATCTATTGGTCTCCTATTGCAATGCAACTGACTTAACCAGGGTTTTGATAACATCATCCATTTTTAAAAAATCATCTAGCCACTAGGGAACGATCCCGTTGATAACACCACTTGTGACAAGCTGGCCTTGGCCTCTGTATATATATTTTAAAGTGGTCCTTTAAGTGGCTTTCAGATCAACTCCTGTTTTCCACAACCTAGTCCCACTGGTATAAGGAAAGGAAGATTATTTTCTCTTTTCTATAGGCTGGACTTTTGATCCACAGTTACTAAGAAACAAATGCGTCTTTTTAGCATACAATCATGCTGCTAGAGTATCAGAACTAACGCCCTTTAGCTTTGCAGCTTTTTTTTTAATTCTTAGAAAATAGAGAACAGCTGCCCATGGTTAGAATATCCATGTGAATTATTCTCCTACTCGATTACGCATGTGGACATTCTTTCAACACTGGGTAGAGGTTGGAATTGATAGAATATTCAGATCACCCTCTTGTGGCCACAGAAGGAATTACTGTCTGCGTTGCCACAGGTAGAGAGAGGAGGAGGTGAATCAGACTGAGAAGTAGAACTACTCCGATGAATTCAGTTCTCAAACCAGAAAAAAAGAATATGATCATACCTTTGACACTAACTGTTATGTAGGGATCGATGCATTGTCCTGCATCCTTGAGTCCAATCTTTTCAATTTTTATTGTAAGTAATGTCATTCCAGGTTCTGAAGGTAACCTTGGCAACAGCGTACCTGATGAAACAATATTTTTATTTCAACAGCAAGAAACATCATGTATACAGAGTTCCATGGTGATCTGGCAGAATTCCATCGCCTAAAAAGCTTCTCTATTTTAAAGTTACACTCCAAACTACATAGAAACTAATATATAATTACAAATGTTACCATGAAGGTGAACAATGGATGAAAAACAGTAAGAAATGTTCATCTGAAGTGCTTTTTGAGTTAAAAACACAAAAAAATGTTGTACATGAAAACAACAGTACCCTCTTTTAACACAAGTTCATTACAACTACAATACAACATCCATATTTTCTGGACAGTGAATACCAAAGTTTTTCAAACTGTATATTAGATCTGTTGCAATTAGGATCTACTGTAGGTCAAACGTATAAAGCAAATAGTCTAGGGTAATATTATGAGAAATGACTAAACAACAAAAAATAAATATATTTTAGCAAATGCTTAACAGTATTACTGTACCTTGAAAAGCTGTGAATGTAGCAGGCAATGAGGAAAGTGTTGAAGCCATGCACAGGACCAACAGAAAAGGGTGTGAAAGAAATAATATGTATTACAAGCAGCACACCACTGACAAGCAACACAACACTGACAGGGCGAAAAAACAAAGCATGTGGCTAAATGCACAACAGAAGGCAATCATACTTCTCACCAAACACAAGGCAGGCATGTCATTCTGTTAGTCTACCACAAGTAAATTAAAGAATACTGTACTTGTTTGGGGTTGCTATTTAAAGTTTACTTCCAGTATTCCACAAATCATTTTTTACACTTGTTAAAGTCATCAAGAGTGCTCCTTTCCTAATTGCAACCTTTGTAAAACCCCTGTCTTGTTAATTACTCAAATTACAGGCTGCATAAAATGCATAAAACGATAACAGCACAATTTGAACACTGACTTTACCCGGAACTCTAGAGGGGAAGGAATCAGATGAGCCTGACCCTGCTGCTACATCATCCTCTTCTTCCACTTCCAAATTCTCTTCCTCGCCAGGGGCTAGAATTTTCCTAAAAATAACAGTAATAACAATAACAATACATACATCCATTTTGCTTGTTTTGGAGTCTTAAGTAACATACTGTATTTTAAACTTAGGTGTCGATTGTACTCTTTATAAGTTGCTTGAGCTTAGACACTTTTGTGAGAGAAAACAGTACATCTGTATGTAGATAACTAGCAAACAGAGGAATAAATCCTGTGGGAAATGACTAAATTCCTTCCAACAGGGAAAGGTAATTCAACAGAGCAGATATGGCTCTGGATTTTATTTTCCTAAAGAACACCCTTGTGGAATGACATTTAATGAGGCTCAGCCATAAAGATCATTTGGCAATAACAAAAGTATAAACAACAAGTAAAATACAGCATTTAAAATAATTTCGTCTAGACAATGCCATTAGGCCAAAATGCAATCAAACGTGCTACATACATTTAAAATATACATTTTTCTCAAAGTAAAAAGGTGTGTTTAATTTGTAATTATTTAAAAAGTACATAAAATCAATTAATTTGAAGCAAAGGGATATCTGCTGAAAATATATTGGGACAAGGTTTCTATTAAAAAATAAACAGTTTTACCAGACACGCCTAACTATTTATAACAGCTTTTACAAAGCGGTAGAAAATGACAGATAAACACAAATGCTCTCTAGTTTATGTTACTAAACATAAATTACATTGTAACTACAGTAATACATAATTATAAATGTTATCATAAAGGTGAATTATGACTGAGGAAAATTGTAAGAAGTTTGTGTCCAACTGAAGAATGTTGTGTGTTGTTCCTAAATGAAGGCGGCTCACAGCCAAAACTTTGTGTTTCTTTTTTTTTTAACTTTTCAGCCTGGAATTAATCTTGTTCCATTTGTCTGGTAATACAATATATAAACTTGTATGGTTAATATTTCATACTGAAAAGCTCTAAAATGCAACAAATGAGTATTAGAACCAAAAGCATTTGCTGAATTTTAAATATCTCTCAACATACTGTACATAATATATACAGTACAAGTTATATTACTTAATATAAATGGTTGGGTTTGACAGAATAAAGTCTAAGTGTATTGAGCTGCTTGAAATAAAAACTAATTGATATAGATAAGAAAGTTAAAAATTGACTGTTTGAATGTGAACATCATACTCTTACAATGTTTGGGTCTCTTCTGAAAAAAACATGGTTCTCACAAACTGATAATAGCAGCCTTGAAAACTGCTTTAATTCACCTTATGGGAAAGAAGAATCCAGTAAGGGTCAAGGAAGTGTGTAAAGTAAATGATGCACCACATCACAAAATCATAATTTGTTTCCATCAATTTTCTGAATGTAAATTACCACACCCTACAGATATTTAGTGTGCAAAGTTTTTGATCATCAGACCCTGAGAGAGCCACAATCCAGCAGATTTTATAGGTCACCCTTGAAATCATCGGATTGTAATGACTTGGAACATATGTGAGTTGTGAATTAATTTAATAAGTTAACCCATTCAAGTTAGTCCAACACTGTGTAGCCTTAACACTAGCTAACTGTGTTAAGACTACACAGTGTTGGTCTTTTGTTTCAAATGTTCTCTAAACTCAGCAAATTATCTGAACAAATCACCTACTTAAATGGTAAGAGTCAAAACATTCCAGGTGCATAAAAAATTGGTTTTAAGGCTGACACATTAAACCTGCTGTTCTGCATCACTCCAGGACCCAGGTCAGCCAAAACTACAGTAAATGCCACTCTAATTAGAGGAAGAATGGTTCCACTAGCTGTCCAAAACACGATATCAAACAGTTCTGAGATATTTAAATGGATGGCCTGTAACTCAGAGAGTTGATAATGCAGCAGAGGCTCTGTCATATGTGCAAGAGACAATGACAGCATTAAACACTAAATAAAGAGAAACTTTTTAATCAATTGTAGTGTAGCTGCATACACTAGCAGCTGACTGGGTGAAGTACAATTCCCCGTGCTGTAATTTATATATGTGTGTACCTGAGTGAACAGAGCATGTAATGTAATACATGTATATGTTTTATTATAGTAGCTAACGGTGTGCTTTTATAGATCTTTTTCCCGGATACCAGAACACCAAATGATTGTTAGCTGTAGAAAAATTAACAAAGCAGTCCCCATATAACACTGCTAAACCTACTGGTTTTACAAGCATTAATCACCACAGTTAAGCTAATTTAAGATAACTGTTTCCACAGATTTGATATAATTAGTCTGTGACACCAGCCACAACATTTCTACGAGTGATTATGCATCTTCCTTGAAAACAATTGCAATGGAGCATGTTGGTTTAAAAATGTGAACAGAAAAGCACGGAAATAAAAGCAAAGTACACACTGAAACTTATTTTACCTTAATGGCACAGGCTGCACATCAAAGGGAAAGTCTTTGTTATAAGTAAGAATATTCTTAATGACTGTTAACAAAGAGAAGAAAAAAAGAGATCAATAAAAAAGTTTGATCCTTACATAAAGCAGAGTATAGAGTCAGTAATCTAAACTTTCTCCTATACCACCACTATGAAACTTGATAAAACCTTTTACCATTTACCTTATTTCTTTTTTTGACCGTGCAAGGGTTTAGTGTTCTTCACTGGGCCCCACCTTGCTTTTACTAAGAGTTCACTGTGCTTCATTACATTTTACTCTGCTACATTACTCTCGTAAGACTAAAGATACACTAACATACTAACAAAATTTAATCTGGTCTCTGCATCAGACAGGTAATTTCAACAGCCGCTTCCAAATCAGAAATAGTTTAATTTGAGTTTGAATAATTTGAATTTGAATAATTTAAACACAGCTTGGTGTTATGTTGCAAAGGAACAAGTAATAGGTTTATTCCATGCTGAAAAAAAAGAAGAAAGAGAACACAACGTTTCGGCCGTGGAGCCTTCTTCAGGTGGCAAGAAGGCTGAAGAAGGCTCCACGGCTGAAACGTTGTGTTCTCTTTCTTCTTTTTTTCAGCATGGAATAAACCTATTACTTGTTCCTTTGCAGCCTAGGCATGCTGACGCAGCTACCCACCTGAACTACTTGGTGTTATGTTGTTTACATTGTAAGAAAAACAGTATATTAAGGAGAGCCTTTATGACTTAATTGTGAGAAATGATATGATTTTCCAGTCCAGTGCCAGTTTATCACTGATTGCCACTGAAACCAAGTGTGCAATCTGAAACATATTCAGTCTGACACAGTTGTGGCTAGGAGAACAACATCTGTCAAATTCAGTTAGAGCTTAAATTCTGAAGACAAATCAGTGCGATTAATAAAACTTTGGGGTGTTCATCAAAATAAAACGATAAAACAGGGCACCATATCACAAATGCTCTACAGTTAAAAACATCTGATGATAACATTATCAGAACTGGCATCCAGCAAATCCTTTGCCACAGTGGAACCTATTCTTGTAACACAAGCCTGAAAATATTCACAATGCATGGGTCAGATTTTGTATTTGCGGCTGCATCTACCTGCTAAAGCCAAAAAATGCACACACAAATATGGTATTCATTCACACCCTTTAATCAGCCTACGTAAACATTTCTTGATCTCCAGATCCTAGGTTGGACATTAAGATATACATACTGGGTTCCAGTTTCTTTAGATCTTCCAGCTTGAACTCCTCTTGGGACTGGGTACACTGATGAATATGAAAAAGATAAACATGATGTCAAGTGTAATCTGTCATAACCTCACATCAGTAAAGCATAATGCAGATGAAAGTACTGTAGCAGCAACACTGTTTAACAGAGCTCAACAATTAATTGAAATGCTTACTTTGACAAAGAAAAAGCAAAACAGGAATGTGCTTAATATTTTTTTTTTTAATCCTTGCAATTCAAATGTTCAAAGAGTAGATACGTTATTGTCCACTAGATAGATAAGACTTTATTGATCCCGTAGGGAAATTTATGTAAATTTTCACTACTGTGAAAATTTGTCTTTGGCTTCTCCCATAAAAGTAGAAAACACATAAGCGAAACATTAAAGTCACATAAAATCACACAAAGTACATGAACACAACAACAATATAAAATAAATAAATAAATTGATAAATGGGTGGTGAGGGAACTATATTTAATCTATATACATTCTTGAGCAGCTTTACAAGGGACAAAGGACATTTTATAAATGTTTATTATTTTCTACATGTTTATTTAGTTTAATGTATTAAACTAAAATACAAGACTTCCCCTGGACAGGATCCAACCCCATCACAGGTAAGTGTGGTAGCTCTACAAAGGTGGTGGCAATGGCACCTGACCTGACTTACCATCAGATGATAACATCCACACCATCCGCTGTTGCAGTAAAGCCCATGCCATTATTTTGGGTCCCAACCATCCTGGCCACAAATTGTTCTACCCTCTTAGCTCTGGCAAGCAGTAGCATGCCATTATAGCACGGACCATTAGGCTTATGAAAAGCTTCTACCTATAGCAGTGCGCATCATTAACATTCAACTGCATAATGCCTGAGGATTCAATGCACCTCTGCACTCTGCACTTTTTACTTGTATTTATTGTCATGTGCATTTAATGTTCTGTGCTATCCACTGTATAGTATTGTGCTTTGTTGATCTATCATTATTTGCCATTATTTACTGTTTTGTACTGTGCACATGGTGTGAAAGTGTTGTGTATTCTACTGTGCCTTCCCTGAGAGAACAGCACTAATGTTCTGCATTGCCTATAGTAATTCAACACAGCACCAATTCGGAACAGTAGGAGCAACAGAAGAACAAATGTTGACATATACCCAAAACATCCCATGCATTGGTAGTGTTATAAGCTCCATCAAACCCAGTGGTCTGATAAGACTTTGCTACTGCCAGCTTGTTTGAAGCTTAGCGAGGTCGACACGAAGATGCCTAGCCTCTAAATTCAGTCAATGCTTGAAACACATCTTCCTGGAATGGTGTTCCAGGATGCACCTATTAAAAATATGCTTATCCTCTGAGCCAAGACAATTGACAATTGCGGAAAAAGAGTAATTACCTGCAAGGCTGCACTTCGCATTTCAAGGCATGTTGCAAGCTTTCCTAATGTTTTCTAAAAAAAGACAAAACAGACCAAAACTGTAATCATCCTGAAACAAAAGAACATGTTTTCTTCTAAATGAGAGAATATTTTAGTTCTACTTCATTAATAGACTTTAAGTATGAGCTCCTTAAATATATATTGTAGTTCCTAGTATCTCTGTTGTTTTTATGTTTTCCTCCTCCTTTTTCACTAAAAAAACCGCCAATCACAAAAATACACATAAACAAAAAGCAATAATCTGTACACAAAAATTAATGACTTGATGGATTTTTTTGGAAAAAATAAAAGGGTACTTAGGAATTTAAGTTAGAAAATCTTCATGTTTATCCTATGTTGATGCAAACAACAAGAAAGAGGAATAAAGAGGTGTATTAAATAAATATTTTTTTTGAAAAAACAATCTCATGCAATAGTGACAATACTCCTTTTGAGTGATCCGTACAAGCAAACATGATTCTTGAATAGAAACATTCCATTTACAGTAAAATATTTATTAGCTTTTCACCACATGTTCAAAGGCTGAAATCCCCATTAGTAACTTAAACTCATTTTAAGATCTTAAATTACCAGCAAGACACGGTCAAACCAAAAAATCTTTCTTTGATGCTAAGGCTGCATTAATATTAATTAATCATGCCTTTGTAAAATTCTCTGTCCAGCACTGATCTGGGCAGAATGGGACATTAGATGTACAGTATTAGAATGCTACTGGTTCAGTACAGTATGTCTAATTCAATGCTAAAAAAATGGAAGACAATAAACAACTGAATCACATTTTCTAATTTCAGCCTGAGACCTTCCTTTCAGCCTGGACAAACCTTTACCCGTTCCTTTGCAGCCTACGCATGCTGACGCAGCTCCCTTCTCAACCTTCTTATGTAAAAACATGTTCATTTACAGCCAACAAGAGTCATCAAACCCATCTCTGAAGCAATAGTCATACTGTACTAGCTCCCCCCAGTTCCCTGTCACTGTTTGAGAGAATTCCCATTATGTTCTGGGAAGCGTTAGCTCCCTTCCAACTCAGTCAGCTTAGTGTCTGCTTTCACATACACCTACCAAAGGATTTTCTACATGAAAGACGTACAGTAGATTAGAGGAAAATGAAAGCGGTGGTTGCTCTGATGATCCTTTCTGGATGTTTCAAGTCATTTGTGAACAGTGCTGTTCTGTCATTATAGGTTAGGATCCGAACCTCAGAGGGATATGCCAGGCGATTCAACTGGCAGGCGCAATAAGACATTACCATCATACCTTCTGATCTTCTGTGAAGTCCGATGAATTGGAGGGGGACTGAACTTCTTTCTGAAGCTGCCTGGCAAGACTGATTAAACATAACAATATAAAACAATATATTTTTTTTAAACGCATGTCCAAGTGCTCTGGTTTGTTTCCACAGTCCAAAGTCATGCTATACTGGTAAACTGGCCTCTCTAGACTTGGCACTTGTGTGTGAGCCCTGTGACAAACTGGCATTCCATCCAGATTGTATCCTGTTTTATGTCCTGTTCACTGCGACCCTATTTTTGACTAAGCAATTCCTGAAAACGGATGTTTTTTTTGGTTTATTTATATCCATTTTTATTCCAGCTAGCACAAACAAGGTTATCAGGGATAAAAAAATACACTGAAATATATATGTTTCAAATGTGTATGTATAGATTTTTTTTCTGACAAACCTCCTACCTTATTTTAAAAACAAACCCATCTGTTTGAGTTCCTCACAGATAAGTTCGCTATTTATTGATCCCACGCCCCCTCGTGGGCTAAGAATAAATCATTTTAAACTAAGAGCTGGGTTTGCTCCAACGTGTAGTTTTGAAGTGGCGCACACCCACATTTATAAATGCACAACAAGAATGCGGTATTAAAGTGACATTTTATTTCCCAAAACCATGTAGATTCCAAGACCAAACACAGTTTACAAACTGAGTAGCTATTAATCTTACTCCTGCCAACACTGCAGGGATTCTAAAGGTCAAGACAAACCGGCAATCCACTTGTAATAAATAAAAAAAAGCATGAGTTCAGAGTTAGCCTCATATTTCAGTTCTGAAACTATCGTGCCAGTACCTCTTCCTGACAGCATAAGACCTTTAAAGGCTCAACTAACCTAAAAAAAATCCATCCAGGGATGAGGAATCTGAGATTTTAAATAATTTGTTTTACCACCATACGGCACAGCGCTACATTGATAGTACAGTCCAGCCACAGAAGGCAGGGTGAAAATAATGACATATCCATCGAAGCTCCACCCAAAACAACGAGAGGGTGTGGTTGACAATACTGTTGATCTGTTTGAACGGAATTACTAAATCCTGTGTCCCGTCCAATTCTCACTGCATCTTGCAGAATAATAAACATTAATTTTAGACATATCTCTAGCAAAACCGATATATTGTTGAAAGTTTTTCAATTAATCCATTATTCTGCAATGGTGTTAAAAATCATTTTGTTTCACCTACCCCTGTTGCTAGTGCTAAATGCAGCAAAGCGAAATTGAACAGTTACTTTTATGACCCTCAGATGCTACCTTGGTTACAGGACGATCGTGACCAGCTAAGGTGCCTGTATCTTAAGTAAAATAATGAGAGAAAAAACTAAGAATAACCGCGGGATTGACACCAACTGCCTCAAATCCTGCTTACTGCAGATGCTTCACGAAGTAAAACATACTGGTTTAGTTCGTCTATATTCATTTCATTATGCAACCCCCCACACATCTCCTGTTATTCGTCACATTAAAATGTTTTCAACTTACATTTGGTATTCATCAATTGCTTCCACTAACTGTCCCCACGAATCAAAGTCCGTGCCTTTTTTAAAACTCGCGTGCCATTTCTGGATAGTCTTATTCACATCTGACATTTTGACAAGTTGGTGTCGCAAAATACGTTTCAAGTTAGCATTGTAGATGGGTTCGAGCTTCCTCTTTGCATTATCGTGTGCCAGGTATAGGCATTCAGGCTAACCGGTGCTACCAACACCCCACACTGACCAAGCCCTTCTGCCTCTCAACCGAACCGTCAGCATGGAAAAGGAAGTTCCGCCTCCACAAATGTATCCAGTGAAGCGCCGTGTTTAAAGAAACAGTGGTGAAGAAATAGCACTTCTGCAGTTTTGCATTGCAGACACTGTTGCGTTATTATTTCTTCATATAATTAGTCGAAAGTGCAGAAAATGAGCGCAATGGATCCAGTTAATTCTCTCAAACTACCAATAAGCAGATTTGCAACTTGTGGCTGAAGAAAAACAAACATCCCCTTAGATAAGTCGGTTGAATTAATTTCTTGGTGAGGGATTTTAACTTGTCTGCCAGTTTTAAACCACCTTCTTTAAAACATCCCTATGACAAACCCTACTTCTGGATCAGAGAACGTGTCAGTACTTGTGAGTTAAGGCTCTGACATGGGTCCTGACCCAGGTCCAACCAAATAAATAAGACGGCTTGTATTGTTAACTACTTGATGATTGATTTTTAAAATAATAAACTCGAGACAATAAGATTTTTCTAACTTATTCTTATCCAGATGACTCTACGGAGCCGTTTAATTAAACACGGTTTCCCTTGTCTGACTCCCCGAAAGGCAGAAGTAGGCACTTTTACTAAAGGAAAGTAAAACCATCTCAAAATATATGATTTATAAATTCTCCATTCTTCTTATGCAGTTTACTAGTCATGTTGTAAAACTGTGAAGATCTTGTTACTGCATAGTAAACTATGGGCAAATTAGTCTGATTTGAGTCCAAGTTCAGTGTAGAGAAGCCTGAATCTCAATGCTATTTTTTGGTCGATGATGACTTCAATCATTGCTCGGCACTGCCGCCCCTCCTCTTCAGGCAGCAGGCTAGTCTGAGGCTCTGCGACACGCCCATTGCCCAAAGCGCGACGTTACAGTAAACAGAGACTCTGCCATGGCACGCGCGTGGGCGTGGAACACAGGACTCGGATCATCTCCAATGAGGAGGTGAGAAAGTGACATCACTCTCAATTAACCAATGAAAAAAGAGACCGAGTTAAACGGCCTACTGTGATGTCATCCGTCAAAGCAAATACAGGAAGAGGTCATTTTTATTGTTTTTATTTCCTGGATTGAATTGTTGGAAGAGAAGACGAAGGTTTGACAGTTCATTTACTTTATTTATGCGTGACAGAACAGTATAATGGAATGCTCTTTAGAATGATTTAGGTTAAATCACTTAAAAAGTAATTTAGAAACAGAATATGATAGGAAAAATTGTGTCGTGTTTCGTATTTAGTCTAATTGATCACTTGTAATTTTGTTGCGTTATTATTTTGTAAACAGAAATAGTCATAAATAACAATAGTAAATTGTAAGTTTCATAAATATTCTCAAGTAAAACATGAGGCTAATGTGAAAAGGTTAGTATTCGTTTTGCTGTTGTATACAGAACCGAACGGTAGGCCTCTGTTTACTGGCAGCGTTCGTCCACGAGCTTAGTTTTAAACATTTAAATGGAAGATGAAGTCAGATTACTTATATTCTACCGCGCTGTTATTTCCTAATGTATTTTTTGTTAATTTTGCCAAGAAGATCTTCAGCATGTCTGAGGTATAGCTAATTCGCCTATACATTTTTATTTCATTCTACTTTCTTAAGTGTTAAAAAGTCAAAAACGTGAATTGTAGCTTCATGTGCAGTTTCTCGATGCAGACTACTACAGCAGTACTAGTATAGGAGAAATGCACTCTGGAGGATTGATAGTCGTCCCACTCTTGAAATTAATTCCACATCAGATTGCTTAACACTAAGGACATAAAACAAGAAGTTAATCTCTGGATACAATTTAACAGTTAATGATCTTTTTGACATTGTACTCTAAAAATGTGCAACACGTTTCTGAAAGGTGATATCAAAAAATATTTTATTGAAAATCTAGTATTTTATTTTTCCTTAGGTTTTATTTAGTGTATTTGCATTTTCTCTGGTCATATTGATTAAGACTTTATACACAATTACATAATAGTGACTGTAACAAAAACAATAATACATTTAATTTGTAATTCACATATAATTACTGTAAATCTTAATGCTCACTGAAAAAAAAAGTTAAGAAACTTTAAAAGTGCTAAAAAGTAAAAAAAAAGTAAGTTACAGCATTCATATGCTTCTCTCCAAAGAGACATTGCTCACATTATTCAATTTGTTTTGTTTTTTTCTATTCAGGTTGAGATTGTTACCCTTGAGGATTGTAAAGGTTCTCCAACATGACGCACTGGTTTCACAGAAATCCTTTGAAGGCCACAGCTCCTGTCTCTTTTAGCTTCTATGGTGTGGCTGCCAGTCCTGCAGCAAATAAAATATGCAAGTAAGCACCTTTCTTGATGGGCAACATTTCTCCTCATTTCCATTCTTCTGGATACCAGGTTCAGTTCACATAGATATTGCCTCTTGTGTTGACTGTAACAGCTCTATTTTCAAATTTTATTTTATTTTGTGTTCGCATTCTCTCTGGAAATAGCAAAACAACATTCGGACCTTGTACTATGTACTGATCCATGTACTCTACAGTGTGGTGAAAAAGTACATGCACTCTCTAAGATTTTATTGTTTAACATATTTGTAATATAGACATATTTGACCTTCACCTAGTCCTCACCCATTCCTAATAGTAGATCACTCACAAATTACTCACAAACCTTTACTTTGTCAATGTTTTTTTTTTTAAATCTGCAAACATCCAATATCTTTGTGTGAAAAAGTAAGTAAGTTCTACCATCTCAATTAAGGGGGTATGTAGAATCAAATGTGATTATCAGGAAGTAGTTCTACCTGTCTGTAAAATCAGAAACTTTGTCAATTTGGCATCATGTCCAGATCAAAAGACATCTGTGACGGTCTTAGGGAAGGGATTGTGGCTGCTTATCAGTCTGAGAAGGGTTGCAAAGCCATTTCCAAACACAATGAAGTCCTTCATTCCATGCAAAGAAAGAGAAAATTCCAGACCCAGTTTACCCAGGAGTGGCCGTCCTATCAAATTCTCTCCAAGATCTGACCTTATAATGTTCCTAGAAGTCTCAAAGATCCATGAGTCCATCAGCAGGAAAAGATTGAATAAGAATGGCTTCCTTGGAAGGATAGCCAGGATAAAACCATGTCTCTCCAAGAAGAACATTGCTGGACGGTTTAAGTTTGCAAAACCACACTTGAATGATAAACAAGATTTCTGGAATATGTGCTCCAGACCAATGAGTCAAAAATGGAGTTGTATGGCCATAATGCAAAACGTAGTTTGGCAAAAACAACACAGCCTTTGTCCAGATAAAACCCATACCAACTGTCTAGCATGGCGGTGTTGGTGGGGTGGGCTGGTCGGCTTTGCATGGTTTGGATCTGTTTTACTGTCACAGGACCTGGACTCCCTGCTGTCGTTGAATATACCATGAATTCCATGCTGTACTGAGGTATTCTAGAGGAAAATGAGACCATCTGTCTGACAGATAAAGCTGAACTGAAAGTGGATCATGCAACAGGACAATGATCCGAAACACATAAGCACATCTATGGCATAATGGCTCAAAAAGAAGAAATTCAGGATTTTGGACTGACACAGTCAAAGTCCAGATCTGTACCCCACAGAGATGCTGTGGCAGGACCTAAAGGGCAAAGGTAAAACAGTTCTGTAAGGAAGAGGGGGACAGACTTCCCATCAGGGCAGTGTGAGAGACTAATCAACTTTTACCAGAAATATTTAATTCAAGCTTTTGCTGCTAAAGTAGAGTGTCACAAGTTTTTTAATTAAGGGGTGCACTAGCTAATCACACAAATACATTGAATGCTGGCAAATAATGACATAGTATACATTTTGTGTGTTATTTGTCAAATGAAGTTTTATCTGTTGTGAGAGAACTAAGGTGAGGTGAAGGTCAAATATGTCTAAATGTAAAACCATAAGATTTTAAGGGGATATTCTTAACTTTTTCACCACACTGTACATGAGGCTGCATTCAAAGTGATATTATCTATGATAATTTATTGTGCTTTACCTTTCATCAGTGACTTGAAGGCAGCAAGGGCTCGACTTCTCGAAATGTTTACAGATCCCACATGCAATCCTGAAATAATGAAAAACGCTACTGATTCTTACTTCTCCCTTCTGCAAGGTTAGTACTGTCTTAGTGCAAAACTTTTCACTTTGTTTGGCTTAGAAAAAGAAATAAACAACCATGTTCTACTAACAGTATTCACCCATGTGTAGCCAAAAATGAAAAACAGATTCAAGTAACACTACAAATTCTCTGTTGTTAATTTTGTATCATACAAAGAGCTATAGCCTTCTTCTCCCTTTTCCCATTTTCTTTAAATTAAAAGGTGTTTTTTTGAGTATATTAATAATCATAGATTTACAAAATATTATCCCCCCTCAATTTATTCTGTCAAAGGTGTATGTACAGTAATAATTTACTAAATTGATATAGGGACTACAGATAGAATGTGTACTGAGGAAAGTGAAGTGAATGTGAATATGGACTATAAAAGCATTAAATAGTACATTAAAGGTGTAATTTATTATTGGATTGTAACCTATGATTTACAATCTACAATTTACAGAATGTATGATATTCATTTTGTTATTATACTGTCTTGTTTGATGTTCTGCAGGTTTCATAGTGTCTTTAGATGGTACTACACAAGAAAACAAAATGCGATTTATTCAGAACTTCAAATGGACTGACACTTTGCAAGGAAACACTCCAAGGTAATAGTTTAAAATTTAAAGATATATATGCCCTAACTTTCAATTTGTCAAGGCAAAATCAGGGTTATGCACTAAAGCAATTGCCAGGATTGATCAGAATAAGTATTCTGTTTCAAACGTTTCTGTTTTGTATTGTTTATTTTCAAAATTAACTTGTATAACAAATGGAAATACTGTTTATGAACAAACAATGTTAGAATTTAGTAGGCAGAAATTCTGGTATTCAGTTCTGAATAAAATGTTTGTCATTACTATTCTTTAACACTTGAATGAATATGTTTGTTCTTCCTTATTCATAAAAGAAAAAATAAGTATAGACATGGAAGGGTAATACATGCATAGTTCTCAGGGGTGTTTGAAATATGAATTATCAACAATTTTGAAGCAGATGGAAAAACTGCAGTTGTTTAGTTAAGATGAAAATGTTTTATTATGCAATATACTGTGTGGCATGCATGAGACTCTTTTACTGAAATAAGCCAATCATTTTATACCTTTGGCTAAAGAAATAAAATTCTGTTGTTGTCCCACATCTATTCTTTTCAGTGCCCAGCAGGATGCTGTGTTTGAACTTGTCTCAATGACGTTTAATGTGGGACTCTGGTACTCCAAATTTGCTTCTAGATTGGCTGGGAAAGAAAAGTAAGTACTGCAGAAATGTCCTAGACATGAGGTGCGGTCATATCAGGACTGACTTTACTAACTCAGCAGTTGAAGGTGGTTTTCCATTGACATGAGAAACAACTCACAAGACGTGGAATTTCAGTACATCCATTCATTATCAGGCTGATTTTTTTCAATACAGGGTCACAGGGGGCCCAGAGCCTGTCTCTGCAATCAAAGGGCACAACAAGGCAGGATACACCCTCAGACGCTAGCCCATCACGCACAGTCACAAACATGCAAATACTCACACCAGGGCCAGTTTTTTTTGCAGAAACCAAGTAATCTGCCAGTATGTCTTTGGACTGTGGTGCCCAGAGGAAACCCAAGTGAATATGGGGATAATATTCAAAATCTATGCAGATAGCACCCAAGGAATTGAACCCAGTGCCCCAGTGCTGGGAGGCAGCATTGCTAACCACTGCACCGCCATGTGGCTCACTTGACACTAAATGTTATTTCTTAAAAATTCTTTAAGATGTGTTAACTGGTTTTCAAGGGAAAGGTTGATTTAGCCAGCAGCCATATCACCCTGCAACTCACAACTGGCAACCCACTGAAGCTAAGCAGGTGTGAGCCTGGTCAGTACCTGTATGGGACTAAGGTTGCTGCTGGAAGAGGTGTTAGTGGGGCCAGCAGGGGTCGCTCACCCTGCGGTCTATGTGGGTCCTAATGCCCCAGTATAGTGACGGGGACACTAAACTGTAAAAAAAACAGGCGCCGTCCTTCGGATGAGACATAAAACCGAGGTCCTGACTCTGTGGTCATTAAAAATGCCAGGGCGTTTCTCGGAAAGAGTAGGGGTGTAACCCCGGCATCCTGGCCAAATTTCCCATTGGCCCTTTCCAATCATGGCCTCCTAATAATCCCCCTCTATGAACTGGCTACATTTCTCTGCTCTCCTCCCCACTGAGTGGAGTGTCCAGAAGAGTGCTATATAAGTGTAAGCAATTATTATTATTATTATTATTATTATTATTATTATGAAGGGAGTAAAAACCAGGACAGATTAACACATTTTTGAAAGTCAAGATTTTGTGCCTACTTTTTATTGTTGTTTACTGAGAATGTGCATTTTATACAATTTTACACACTTCTCCAGGGTCACTTAATATCTAACAGAATGATGGAAGCAGAAGTTCTGTAACTTTGAAAGTTTACACTTCTATTTCCAAATGTGCATTATTTGTAACTCCTTTATCACTCTGGCAATTACCAACTGGAAGTCCCAGAACGTAGAAGTGCAAGAACTCTGTAAAGCAGCAGCAGTGTTTGGAAAATCCGGTGTGTCAATGAGAGCTCTCTGTTCTCCAGCTGACACATGACTTGTGTTGTACCAGTTTAGGAATTTTAAGATGCAGATGTGTGAGAGGAGTGTGTGACTAGACTTCATGTTTTGTGGAATTTGTATTTCTGTAGTTTAGCTACATCTGTGTTTGCAGCAGGAAGTCGAACTTGCCTGCAGCTTGTATCTTACAGATTTTGTGGTCATTTTTGTCATTTCATTTAGCAAAAGAAATTAACTCAGTAGTAGGAGTAAAGCCCAATTTTTTTTATTCCAGCATAACAGAAACTGAAGCAAAAGAGGTTCACAAAAGCCTGAGAATTGCGGCAGGAATTTTCAAACATCTAAAGGTGATATAAACTTTTTTTTCTGCATTTGTAAGGTCATGTTTTTTTCTTATACAGTACAGCTTAAATAATTTGGTAATTCCTGGAAATTGATTCAAACTAAAATGTGCAAAGTTGTTTTGGTCTTTTGAAATGCTGAAATCAAAATGGCACATTACCTCTACTGCACCAATTTAAGAAACAGAATGTCTGACTGTTTTTGTTTTCCACATATTTGTTAAAAGACACAAGATGCTGACACACTCGGATACAATTTAGCATGTGTAATACCTTTTGAGTGTGCCAGCCTGGTGCTTCACAGTAAAGCATATACTCTACTAACTGAATTGCTTACCTTATTTCTTATGAACTAACTTATTTTGTGATTGGTCTCCATTTTTTACAGAAACTATAGTATTAGAGAGTGGGCAGTAATAAAGTAGATGAATAATTGTCCCATAGTTGTCCCACAAATATTGATTTATAATGTGAATTATATCTTGCAGCTGGAATGTACATAATTATGTTAATTGCAGTGACTCAGCATTGCAGTCAAGCCTATGTAGTTATATGACCCTTTCTTAAAATCACACAATAGAAAATAATTGTTTCATTAGCATTATAAGGTGTGGAGTTATTTCAGCTACATTTCAGAAGGAACACCTTTCCCTCACGCATATTTATTACTTATTTCATAGGATGCCCACATTCCACGTCTTATTACTCCAGCAGAAAAAGGTCGAGATCTGGAACTTCGAGTTATTGACACTTACATTATCCAATGCCAGGCAGAAGCACAAGAAGGTAAATTAAGCCTTCTTTCTGTTTTAGAAGAAAAGGGTGTTACTATTGGTTTGATGTTGTTTTCTTCAGTGTTTCCTACTCTTCCTGAATTTCCTTTGAGATGTAGGATAGAACATTAATGTGTTGCTTTAGAATTAAAACATGTTACGTGATACAATGTGTTGCTTTCCAAACCAAATTCCAAGTCATTGCAAGAAGAACAACAACTTTTCTCTCTGTAATTCATCACCTACAAGTTATTTTGATTTAACTAAGCATACTACATCATCATGGATACTGTAAAAATACCAATTAGTTGCAATTAGTTACTTCATAAGGTGAGGTCTTTATAACAGTGTCTGTTAGCATTCTTTTTTCTTTTCCCTTTCCTTCCCCAAAAGTGACCATTGCCAGGGCCATTGAACTGAAACACAATGCCAGTCTGATAGGTGCTTTGGCATTTGAAACTGCCAATTTCTACAAGAAGGCTGGTGAGTTGTTTTTTTTCCTGTAACTCAGACAATTTTGTGGTTCTTTTCATTTTGCCTGTACACTGGCCTGTTGTCCCATAGTCAAAGGTCCATTTTTATTGCCACATAGTTTGCGCAACATTGAGAACTGAACATTACACTCAAACTGTATATATTAAGACGTCTAACATATTTAGTAAATAAAGTGTACATGATGCATGCTCCTAAATTACTTCTATAGCATCACGTACAAGTTATGTTTATAGTGTCACAGCATTCTGATTATGGTTGTCATTTCCATGTAACTGCAGATCACACTCTGAACTCGCTGGAGCCAGACTACACCAGCAAATGGAGGAAGTACTTTCAGCTCAAGCAGGCCTTCTACATGGCCTATGTAAGCCAAATTCAAAGTTCGTGGAGTGTTACGTACCTTATCTCAGCTGCAACTTATTTGTATAATATGTTAAAATCTGTGTTAGACTTGTCACTTTTATTTTCCTGGGGCAGATCAATTACATGGTCTTTCATTATTTTTTCCCATACTCTTCAACTTAAGATGAAGGTGATCCTACACTGAAATATTGATGTGTCTTGACCAGACTGGACATACAGTACCTCTGTGACTGCCTTTTCTTTCTGTAGCTACTGTTTTGCAGTTCTCACATTTTGCAACAGCTTTAACTGCCATTATGTACCATGCACGCTAATGAACTTAATCCGTAAAGGGGCTGTTTTCTCATCATTGGATTAGAATGAGTTGGTGCACAAAACTAAATTTTTGAATAAACCTTGTGTGCTAACTTCATCAAATGGCTGTAGTAAAAACATTTTAACTAATCAAACCTTTTCCCCCAGATGTTTGATTTCGGCTGATTTTGGTATTGCTTCTTCTGAAGAGACACTCATGGTTCATTTTTCCTTGTATTATAACAGTAACTAAAGATTTGGATTCATAATAACTGTAATGACATATTTTACCCAGGCTTACTGCTATAATGGGCAGATGCTTCTAGCAAGTGACAAGTGTGGAGAAGCAGTCAGATCTCTTCGAGAAGCCGAAAAGTGTAAGCATGCTTTTCCAGTCTAAAACCATTTTAACTTTAGGGTTCGCAATTGCATGCTTCCTGCCTGGAACCATTTCCTGTTGTTCAGCATAAAGATGCTGTCCAGTGTTTTTTAATATGCTTTTCTTTTGTGAACGTCTGTAGTACAGTAGCACATTGAAATAACGGTTAGTCAGGTGATTTATTAGTGTCTGCTGAAAAACCACCAAGGCAAGTCTTTAGTTCTAGATATCATCTCCACACTTCAGTTAGATGCATCTCCTTTTACTTTTTCTAAAACTTTGTGAATCCCATTGGTGGGTCCATATTCTTGTCATTATTCTCATGTTTGTGTAAGTCTTAAAAAAAGATGGTAGATTAAATGAATACCAAAATACATACAATGTATTTGGATTATTTAATACAATGATCCAACAGTAATTATCTTTGTGCGAACAAGTCACAGAAGTTTAATAAGTTTGCATGAACATTTAAATTCAGTAACTGGTGACACGTCTTGAGCAGCCATGACTTCAATTGCAGTTACAGTTTCATGTTTGATCAGTCTCTTGCATTGGCTTTTAGGAATTTAGGCTCATTCATCTTTACAGAACTGCCTCAATGTGGTGACATTTGCATGATCAGCTTGCTTCAGGTCTGAAATGCAAAATGTCTTCTTCAGTCATTCTGTCGTACGTCCGCTTTGTATGTTTAAGATCGTTGCCTTACTGCGTGACCCACTTCATCTCAGTTTCGGACGATAAAATAATAGCCTGAAATTCTCCTCCAAAATGTGCTGACATAACACTGAGTTGTCAACGATGACAAGCCGTCTGGATCCTGAGGCAGCAAAGCAGCCTCAAACCATGATACTCCCACCACCATGCTTGACAGTCAGAATGAGCTATTTCTGTTGGCAGGCAGTGCAGAGGCAGTGTTTGTTTTTTGCCTCAGAAAATCTTTCTCATTGTGGCTGAAAAAGTTCAAGTTGTTACCCAGCTATTTTAACCACCTCATTGCTATTACCCACTTAACTATGCCAAGTACAGATTCGCTTATTATTTCACATTCAAAAATAATTGTACATCCTTCATACACGATTCCATCTCCAAAAACATTGAACTGGTAAATACTGTATAACTATTTACATTTAATTTATGAATTATATAAATTTATGTTTGTTAACCTAACGGGTAAATAAATAATCTTTTAGTTATTTTAAACAAAAAGACTGTTTTCAGTTAAACAATGAAACTGTAATGGGGGTTCACAGACTTTTTCTCGCACTGTAGTTTTTGGAAATCAAGATATTTATTTTTTGAATGTCTTAATATTTCTATTTCCCTTTTAGATTATACAAAAGCAGAGTCTTTATGTAAAGAGTACCGCCAAACCAAGGGGCCAGGAAGCACGGCTAAGCCTTCAGAACAGCTGTTCTTCACAAAACTAGGAGGTTTGATTAAAAACACGCTGGAAAAATGTGAAAGAGAAAATGGTTTCATGTGAGTATGTAAACCACCTTTTGAGCTGTAGGGGTAACCTCTGATGTCTCAATACAGATAACAAAAACAGACATGATGTTTGATAGACTGTTTTAAACAAAACTGTTTTAAAAATTATTGATGTGTTAAATAATATGACAGTGAAACATGAACCAGAGAGCACAAGTGGAAACTAAATAACGAGAACAGAAAGCACTTCTTTACCCAGAGGGTTGTGGGAGTATGGAACAAGCTACCCAGCCATGTGTTTGAAGCTGATACCCTGGTTTCTCTCAGGAAACATCTTGAAGTGGTCCTTGGATTCACTTAACTACTTAAAAGGCTAAATAAGCCTAATGGCCTCCTCTCGTTTGTAACCTTTATGTTGTTACATTGTATTACATGTACATGTGTATGCAGTAGTGTGTGTGTATATATATATGAATCATAATATCTGGTGTATGTGGTAAATGTTGTTTTCTGTTTTTTTTTTCAAAACTGTATATTTTAGCACAGTTATATTTTTCATGCATTTTAATGATAACATGCTGCGGTCTTGGTGTGGAATATGAGCCTTGATGTTGTGTCTTTTTATTATAATATGTTTGCATCCTAGATATTTCCAGAAAGTACCCCAGGACCCTCCAGATTTGGAACTGAAGGCCAGCTATGGACTTGTTGAGCCCATTGCCTTTGAATTTCCATCTGTCAGTCCTCAGTGTACACCTGAGGTTTACGCTACATTTGACCTGACTAAAAACCATAAAGATGACAAGGTATTAATTCCCTTTTCTGTCCTGCTTTCCTGAAAAAATCAGCTAAAATCTGTTTTAGTTCAGTTCTACAGACATTTATACAGCAAGCAAATTATTCTTTGCCAAGGAATGCTTTGAAAGTCCTGTACTTAGGTAACTTTGTACATAATTTATCAGAAGCAGGAATTTATCCCAACCAAATAAATGATTTAATTAAGATCTGTCAACAGGTAGATAGAATTTTAACATTGTTAATAATGTTAGTAATGTTTTACTGAATAGCACATTAGAGAAAATAGAATGAGATGATTTTCAGTGGTATATAAAATACTTCAAAAATGGAGCAGTAGTGGTCTTTTCATGAAGCAGAAATAAGGCCAACATATATACTGTATAACAAGAATTGTAAAAAATAAGACAGTACATGTGTTCTTAAAATTGTTTTGCAGGCAAAACCTAAACAAGAGGAAGAAGTTAAGCCAATGAAAGAACCAGATCTTAAGACACAAAAGGACACAGGCTGCAGTATTTCCTAAGAGCAGAGAAGATCTGCCATATCATCATGATAAAATAGTGCAAGAGAGGAGCACATGGATATATCCTGTGGCGTTAATATAGAAAATGTTTTCTCAGATTTTCCTTTTTTAATGGCAGTCTGTGGTTCTTGCTTACAACTAAGTTGGTTTCCTTATAAGAAGCACAATTTCTGCATTACTAGGTGTATGGACATAATCATCTGTTGTCACAGAATAACCTGCAGTAAAAAACTTGGACAGTGGTTATTGAATTTAAAATACAAATTAACCCATTTGTGAAGATTAACTTAATTAGGTGAATCACCAGGTTAAGTGCAAAGGATACAGTGCACTGTGGTACGTTGTATACTCATAATCAAATTAAAACTAAATTACATTGAATTTAAATTGGAGAAATTTGAGGGCAGTCAGGAAAAATGGAATCAGCTGATGTTACATTTTAATAAACAATAATCATTGTGTAATGATTTTGTGTTGTTCATAACAAAATAATTTTAGGAGTTGTACATTTGTTGAAATGTTGTTTCTGCATTTTTGTACATTTGTTCTACTGCTGTTTTCTCACTAATGTATTATAGCTAGCCTTTTAGCATATACAGTATGGCCTTCATGCAAAAACTTATTTAATCTGTCTATATGCACTTGTATTGTTTTCAAAACATTTAAATGATTTATTTGAGAAGTATAAAAAATATTGACATCCTTGTAAATATTATATTTGTTGTTGTCTTAGCACAGTCCAATTCAGAGACTTTTTGTGGTAAAAAAAAGATTTATTCAGTTATCTGGGATGTTTAAGAAACATTCAACCATTAAAACCATTCAACATTGTCTTCAGCCTATGGCTGCTTGATATGTAGTCTTAGCAGTTGTTTGGAGTTTGTGTCCATACTGCATGTTGGTGCCCTAAGGTGAGGATCCCACACCAGAATCTGATCTCTGAAATAAATCCACCACAATCCTGATTTATTTGAGTTAAAAAGAGGGGCGAAAACTGGAAATGTTTTGGCCTGTCTTCAGTTTAAAGCTTCATTTTTTTTTTTGCAAGTGAGCCATACAACTTAATTTTGCATAGTAAAAGTAACCGACCAATATGTTATCATTCATCATATTAAACATTTGATTCACCAGCATTTATTCTTCAGTAATCTTCTCATTTCTTTACAGTACCGTATCATCCAGTGACATTGTATCTGGCATTTTAAAAGAATTATTGTGTGATTGCTCTGATCTTGTAATTGATCTGATTAATTCTACAGTCTAACTAGTGCTTTATTAGGATTGAATGTTTTTTTTCCTTTAATAGTAAATATTAATTAAATTTCTTTTGTTCTGTAATCATGGGAGAAGCAAATGTCCTCAGAAACTCAATATGCAGGTAGTCGTAGCCATGTTCTTCAACATAAAGGGTAACTCTTTGCTGACAGCACCATTCTAAAGTACCCAGTTCCCAAACATTTTGTTTGGTTGCACACAAAGAAAGGAACATTTTGTTAGAAACATGTTAGGGTATTTAGTAAGAATACATGAAAGCTTACAGTTGTCAGAGATGCATCATATCTTCTGTTATGTTAAACCCTTTTTTGTTTATCAATTTAATGATGCTGTTCACTAAAATTAAAGGGGAATGTTCCTATGTTTTTAAAAGGAACACAGACTGAATGAGTGTAGTTGAAATTTACCAACATTTCAAAGCCAAAACAAAAACTGTTGTGGCAGAGCAAAAAATGCATAAATATGCAAACTAATTCTGAATAAAATATGTGCTGTTATTATAGTACACTTGTAAATGTAGGTGATAATGCTGAGTCTATACTCCTTTGCTTGTGGACTTTGTAACCACGATTTACAAACAAGGTGCAAGCTGGTGTAGTGAAATACTTCCATTTTGTTATCTATTGACACTTTTAACTACTCTGCCAAAGAGCATTAGACAATGTAAATAGAATTTAAAATATATTATATCCTTTTCTGACTTGTGCAATGTTTTGTTTGTAAGAGTTATGCATTACCACTTTGATCTTGTTTTTTTTTCCTGAAAGAATCCAGACCTTTTTGTGACTTGGTCAGAAAAACACCACAAAACTGTATTGGCATAATACTCAAATAAAATGACAAACCTAAATGGCTATTTTTGTTTTTGCCTGCTTTATGACAAAACAAAAAAATTAAACTTATCAAAATTGTGCCATAATCAAGACTATAAGCCACTGGAAAAATCCATTTTAATGTCTTCAGTACAGTATTGTCTAATTACCCTCTTCTTTTGTTGACTACTATCAACCTTTTAGGTCTGAATTACAATTTATGTCATGTTCTGTCTGTGTTTGCATGGAATTCTGCTGGGTGAATCACCCAGCAGTTGATTCTGCTATCAGTGATTCTGATTTTCTGGGAAAATGGACCCTGGGGCGATTGTGCATGTTTGTGTCTGTGTGTACCCTGCGACGGATTGCCGCTCTGTCCCATGTATCCTTCCTATGCTCTATGCCCTACATTGCAAAATTGAGTCCATTTGCTTTTTCTCAAAGTTTGGGAAGAGTGATCAATGAAGTGATCAATGAAAGGAAAGTTTAATACTGTGCTTCGATGGCTCAGAACCGTTCACAGCTTGTTTTGTGAGATATTCATTATGAGATATTCATCATTTATCTCATTCTTAATTGTGCTAAGGTAAATTTCTAAACTATATGATACAATACAGTTATTTCAGAGGGCAATTTGACATGTACAGTATTGCTTAGCGTTGGAGAGTGCAAACAGGCTAAAAAATAAAAGATTACCATTTTCAGCAAACATGCTATGAATGCCCTTTAAAAATGAAATAAGTTTGTTTGACAGAGTGTTTGCAGATTTATTTTAATGGGGTTCAATATTCTTTAGTTTAATCTTTTTAAATGCATTCAAGTAAATGACAAGCAATTACATTTTAACATTTGTGTTCTTGGGAGAGAAAGATGTACACTAGAGAAAGGCTGCGAAGAAAGCTTATTAAAACACTTTTAGGTCTGCAGCCTTGAAACTATACACAATGATAAAAAAGCTGAAGCCTTGAGAATGGAACTTTAGTAACAGACACAATGAAAAGCAGCAAATCTCTTTAAACTGTAAAACTGCAAAATCTACCATATAAAAATGTAAACAGCCCCATGGATCACGTAACTTGATCTGAAGCAGGATATCTAATTCCGGCATATCAGTCGTCTGGCATTCAGTTTCCACTTTCTTTCTCTTTGCTGTGCCTAGAGGCAATGCAGGATTTGGGTGCAGCAGAGCAGGCTTAAGCTACAGACTGGAAAGTAAACGGGTCTTCAGAGAAATAAAATGAATGAGGAGCTCAGAAATGTAAGTATTCTACATTTTATCAAAGAATACTTTAACCTGTAGATATACACGGAGTGCAAAGGAGGAGCTCGATACAAATTGTAATTTACAGTACAAAAGAGCTCAAGGATGGTGTCCAGTTTCTAACCATGCAGCAGTATACTGAAGTGTTTTTTTCCTTTCAAGACATTGATAAAAATAATGTTGCAAATTGTCATTTTTATCTAATTTTCCAAAACTCCTTTGATGGTGAATGCAAGGTGTTCGCAATTCTTTCATTGCCTGAAAGACTTGTTGAATTCCTTTTCTAATAAAGGCACTTCAGATGTCTGCTTTGCCTGTCTATAAAATAGACTTATCTGCAATTTTAAAAAGATTAAATTCTCAGGACTAATAAGAATAATTTTGGGTACTGTACCATTAGTCTTTAATTGTTTTATGTCTTTAGGGGTGTCATCTTTATTTTTATTTTAATAAATGTAATAAAAATATAATAAACACTTGAAGACTTTATTTTTCTACGATAGAATTACCAGCAGTGTGGCTACCTTTCAAATAAAAATGTTAAACTGCACAAACACCGTATCATGAGCACAACCGAGACTTTAAATAAAGCTGAGGTCCCACCTTCTGCAAACAAATGAAAAGCAAACTTGAATGGGATCTGATGGAAACTGCTTTCAGTACAATGTAAAATTCAGTGTTTTTAGTTGCTCTTATATTTTTTTCAAGTTCCACCAGTGTTACAGGTGCAACTTATCACTCTTCCTAAATGTAATTTCTGTCCTAAAACACAGCTATGCCATGAAACATTTTCTAGGAATCCAAACCCTAACCCTAGCTAGGTTTAGATTGGTTAGGGTTCAGATTTTCGTCAAAGAATGAATGCAACCTTCCACTCATTTGAGTGAAACATATAACTCAGGGCATCAAAGTATTCGTTTGAAAAGCCTAAGCAACCTTGCCAAACCAAAGAAAATGTATCAACTATGGTACAATTTTATTTTTTGATAAGTATTATGTTATTGGAAATGTCATGTTGAATGGTGTTCTCAATGAGCATGGTTTCAGGTTTTAACAGGTTAAGAGGCAGGAATACCTAATAAATTTTACTTGTATCTGTTAAAATGCCAGTGCATTCAATCCCATATGCAAGAGTTTGAAAAGTATATCCACTTTCTTCCAAACATTTGCTTTTAGGGCAATTAAGTCAACATTCCCATTTAGGGCAATGCAGTGTATTGAGCCATGTATGCAAGAAAAGAAAAGTGAAGATAACATTGAAATATCACTTTTCCTAAATTTAATTTTCTTTCCTAAAAAACAGGAATGTCATGCATGTCATCAAATGTTCTCTACATTTTCTAGGAATCCTAACCCTAGCTAAGGTTTTGGGTAGTTTAGGGTTAGGGTTCAGATCTTTTGAGTGAAACATATAACTCAGGACATCAAAGTATTAGTTTGAAAAGTCTAAGCAATCTTGCCATGACATGTTGAATGGTGTTCTCAATGAGCAGGGTTTCAGGGTTAAATAGGTAAAGTGATGATAATGATGAAATATATTGCATTTCATACATAAGTATATGTATCATATACCGAGTGACAGAAATTTGGTTCCAAAAGTCATTTACATTCTAACTATCTCTCAATGCACATTCTTCAGATTGTGTCATATGAAGAATATTTTTAAAAGAAGAGGTTATATTGAGGGGTGGTATCCCATTTAGACCTGCTGCCTTACAGCTCTTGGGCCCAGGGGTCAGTTATAGACCTGGGCACCGTTTCTGTGGAGTTCACACGTTCCAGCCATGTTTGTGTGGGTTTTGAACAGTTGCTTCCATTTCCTCCCCAAAGACATGTCTTTGGATTGTGGGAGGAAAACAGAGCACCTGGAGAAAACGCGCACAACCATGGGGAGACTGGTATCATAACACAAGCCAACACAATCTTTCATCACTCAGCCTTTGGTAGTTCTTCCCTTTACATTTTTAATAAGAGTTTATGTCTAAGGATGTCAGCCAACGGACATATCTGGATGGAACACATGTGTCCAAGCAGCAGGAGCCAAAGAGGATTATCCACTTTGCTAGTGGAGAAACCTTGGAAGAGGAGAGCAGTGATGATGAAGATCAGAGTGTGCCCCATGTTAAGCTATTCAAGGTCCCAGTGGACACAGTAAGTACAAGCTCCAGTATATGGTTCTAAGGTATTAAAATACACTTTCCTCAGACTCAGAGTGAATGCTTGCCTAGCCTCTTACCGGACTCTGCAGCTTGCCTTCTTTTTTTAATTCTGCATCATGTTATAGCAGTTGCTCAATAAGACCTTTCTGTACTTTTAAATCCATTAAGCTGAGGCTGCACAACTTTCCAAATGTACAATTTTGAAATCATCCTCAATTTTGTAAATGAAATATCTGATTGCTTATGGTCAAATTTCTCCATCTTTGGGAAACAGTAGAACAACTTTCGAGTATCATTTTAGTCTGTTTGCCTTTTTTATGGTATCCCTCAGAACTGTTACAGTTATCTTTTCAGGCCCTGCTGTCATGGAAGGCATATGCTGGGTTTCTGTGGATGCAGGTTGTTAAGAAGTCCTTGTTTAGTAAGTACTGAAAGAAGCAACATGCTTTAGCTCATCAAAGAATCAAGTATCCATCCAGCCATTCCCTAACTGCTTCTTCTAGTTTAGGATGTCCTGGCAAGTAACTGGTGCAAGGTACTGTAGTTTACACCCTAGCTGGGATGCCAGCCCATCGCAAGGCACACACAGAGACAGACACAGACTCACACCAGCAGTATGTTTTTGGACTGTGGGAGGAAACCAGAGCACAGGAAGAACATACAAACTCCACACAGATGCTGTAGCACTCCAAGTCTGCGACTGAACCCAGAGTCCCAGTGCTCTGAGGTAACAATTCTAGCCAATGCACCACCGTATTGCCTAGAGCTGAGAATATTACATCAAAATCTCTGTAGGAACTTACTCTACAGTTAAATATTTGAGTGTGTACTGCTTTTGTGATAAATACTACAATGTAATTGCTGTGAATAAGACAGGCAAATCATTTTGGTTGCATTTCAATAAATAGGAACTAACATCTTGTACCATGCGATGTCTCAACAATTTTTTTTTCCCCATTCAGCCTGTGATTTTCTTGGGGGGAAACTGGCAAATCTGTTGGGACTTAATACTGCAAAATACCAGTACGCAGTAGATGAGTATCTCCGGAACAAAAATGAGGTTTGTATTCAAGAAAAAAAGGAGTTCTGGGATTTTACGCAGCTTCCAAAATGAGTCATTATGTTGTACGTGTCTGTCGTATGACATACAGCACACTGTTGTGCAGAAAAGTATGCAAATAGCACCAGGAAATTTTTCAACAGCACAGGTCCATTGGGCATGTCAGAAAAAAGTCTCAAAGAGAGCAAAGGATTAAACTGTAGGAGATTTGGGGGTTGGAAACCTAACATCATGGTAATACGGACCCACCTAACGTAGGTTGTAGAGACACTGGAAAACTATTGGTTTGGAAGCTCTCTAAAATCTAAGTGTCAACATCACAGAATTTAGAAAAAGAGGCAAAATAGAGGAGTAAAATGCTACATTCACAATTTATAGTTATGGTTTATATTTCCTAACCCTCTACAAATATTTAAGCCACCATTAAAGGTTTTTAAGAAGAATTTCATGGCCCAGTCTGATCTAGTATCATACTGTACCTGTTGTATAAATGCCATTGCATTTGTAGAGACGCTCCACAATACATATGCCTTTTCATTATTTTTTAAATGAACTGAAATAATTCAACTTTGGTGACAGAATTGTATCATACAATTTGAGGTAATCTGATTATTTATGTACAGCAGATAAGTGTTGACAGCACCTGTGTTCTTCTGTATAAGTGTTACACAGGCTGTAAACTGTTATTGAATTCTATTGCTTACCTCAGTTTCTGGGAAAAAGTAATTAATATGCATATGCATAAACATATACTTATATTCACCCATCTATATTGTTCATACAGCCCACAGCTCTGATAGATTCACATTCTAATACATAATTTCCATTGTTTTAAAACCAGTACTTTGTATGTGCTGCATATTTTTTCTATATACTGTACTGTATTTAAACCTTTCAAAGAAAAATGATGGTTGCATACTTAAATACAGTTTAGTAGATAAGTTATAATAGATGTATCTATATGTATTATGTAGATGTACAAGACTTCTAGACATCATATACAGGTATTGTACGGCAACATTGTATATCTGGAACTTGTCACTGTATAAAAACAATTCATGAAATGTGTACAGTACAATATCTCTGTTATAAAAGAATTGAAACTTCATATCAGTATTACATTTTACAAAATATAAATGCAAAAAAAATAATTTGTCAGTCACTGTTACTTGTTCAATCATCATGTATCAAAATAAAAAATAAGCAAAGGTAGATTTTAAGTGAGTAAAGTTGGATCAATTTGCTGTTCTCTAGGTTAGATTAACCAAATTACCTCCTGTCATTTTAAAATATAATTTTATCAAGTAATCTTTTTCTGTAATCTTTTTTATGGTTTTAAATTCTGACATATGCATACTCTTTAGTATCTCATTAATCCTACTTTTGATTTTTTGAAAACGTTCTCTAACGTGTGGTGTCGAACCATATTAAATTCCCAGCATTCAGAAGACAAAGATGTTGAAGAAATTCCAATGAAGCAGATGACAGATAAGCAAGATCTTTCCCTGCGAAACACAGAGTATGGAGCTATAAACATGACAGGCATGGCTCTACAGTCATCTCCATGCAGCACTGTACCCAACAGTCACCATGGGACAGCTGGGACTCACAACACCGGCTACATAGAAGATGAAAGATAATCTGATTCTTTTGTATCAAATTTTTTGTACACAATTGCTCAAAATTCTGAAATACAACAGCACTGGAAAATCAATTATGAAAAACATTAAACATTTTGGGGTATTTCAATATACACTAGATATATTTTAGACTGCAAAACTTTAAGAATTATGTGTGAATGTGAATCATCAGCACAATATTTTTCTTAAAATGTGTTTTAGAAGTATAACTGCTAGACTATTCCAAACAGTATATTTTCAGAAGTAAAGAATAGCTTGTTGCTTTTTATGTCAGCATTTATTTTAATCTGAACTGTCTGGCCCTATGGCTATATAATGTGTTGTTTAGCTGAATTTAGAGTTCACAAAGCCTGTATAGCAAAGTGTTATTTACTGAACTGGTCTGTGATAATGTGGACTTTTTTTCTTGTTTCTTGGAACACAATAACATGCCTTTACTACAGGACATCAATATTTTTTCTCTCTTACATCAATACATTTTAATTTATGTGCACAAATCTCTCTAGAATAATTATTGAACACTTTATTAGTAATATTTCAACCATAATTGAAGTACTAACATATTCCTGCCATGTTGCTTGTGCTATTTTTTGCAATATCATATTTATGTAAATACATCCACCCATTTTCTAACTGCTTAATCCAATGCAGGGTCACAATCAAAGACACAAGGCAAGGGATACACCCTGAACACAAACTCAGCACAGATAGCACCCCAGTTCCAGAACTAAATCTAGGGTACCTGCACTGCGAGGCAGCAGTCCTAACCAGCATGCCACCCTATTTATGTAAATGGTCAATGGTCACTGCTCAGCAGATTTTTTTAGTGAGAAGAGAATGTTTTTAATAAACCTCACTCATTCTAAAATATTTTATCCTATTTAAAATGTAATACACTAAAACAAGTGTAGACATATCTCTGTCTGCCTGTCTGTTTGCATAGATATCACTTTCATCCCTTTATTTTTTTCTTTCCTGAACTTTTCCCCTTTAGCAATGAGTTACCTAGTGTGACAAGATGTCTCGTTAACAAACAACAAGCAATGTACTGTGTTGTTTGTTTTGAAAGGTTTATCAGCTATACCAACATCTGTGACATTTGTGTTAAATATTTAGACCTCTAGATTCTACTGTATAGGATGATAATGTAGAGCATCAAATACTGTTTCAGGAGAGCAAGCTATGGTAGAGTACTAAAACACTATTCATATATGACAAACATCTGACAAACTGAACTACAGTATGTGCTGCATATATTGCACCCAAGCACACAAAATACACAGTTTGAATCTGAACTGGAATTAATCAATGGATCAGAAAGAATTAGGCATTTACTGTATGTCAATTCATCACTTTCATCACATGCAGTAGGTAGTGTAAGGAAGCAAAAAAAAGACTTTCAAAATGCTTGGATATGAAATTCAAAAAGTAGTATTTAAATAAGTTAAAGAAAAGTTCAAATGATGTTATGCATTAGTTTGAGCTTGCTAGCTGGGAAAAGAAGCCTGCAACACACCTCCTATGCGCCTCCAATAGAATCTTGAAGTAAAGACTGGATGAGATTCTTAAAATATTCAATTACAAGCAGCCAGCTGAGAAACATTGGTAGGATACTGCAGCTAGCTGGTTAGCATATGGGTGTATTACAGATTTATGTGTGGAGTTTACATGTTGTTCCATGTTTGTGTGGATTTTCACAGGTAATAAGTCTCCTCCAACTTTCTAACAATATGCTAGTGAGGTTAATTTGTGTGTCTAAATTGTAAGTGTGAGATCTGTGTGTGACAGAGAGATGGACTGGCATGCTGTTTAGATATAGCCCCTAAACTGCTGTTTGCTTCTGGGAAAGGCTAACACTTACTAGGAATAACTGGCTTTCTCTTAATGGATAGATGATATGTAAATTACATATTTAAAAAGTTACCCAAATGCTTTAAATATGTAATTACTATTTGATGAGTTATGGGTAATTTCGAAAAAAAACACTTGACCGGGGCTTTCAAGAAAAAAAGGTTCTTCCTTCAATTCGTATATATATTCTCCGCAAGGTGGCAGTGCTGTTGTTTGCTACCTTGACCGTAAAGCAATTATGCTGTAGCAAACTGTTTTGTGGCGGTGCTGTTTTCGAATGTATTAATTTCTTTTTGAATATCTTGATTCGTTTCCAATTTTTTTATGTTTTGCATTTCAGAGCTACTGTATAATACAGCACTCAATATACTGTAAAAAAGACGATTCGTGCGATTGAGATTAGCCTTTCCACTAATAACAACGGCAGTACAAACCAATTTCGCTTCCGTAAAGAACGTTCTTATTAAGATTATTGATAGAAAGCTGCTATAAATATTTTTAAGCACAACAAAAGTAAAATTAGTCCGACGAGGATGGGATTCGAACCCACGCGTGCAGAGCACAATGGATTAGCAGTCCATCGCCTTAACCACTCGGCCACCTCGTCAGCTGATAGCTATGCACTGCACGTCTACTATTTTAAAATTCTACATAACTATGCTATAAAGTATACTATATTTCAAATTAATAGTCATTCGAAACATTCTGCATTACAGAAAATTTCCAACAAAGGCATATATTTGTAATGTATGTGGAAGAGTGTGACGAATACAAGGTTTCTATGTACAATGTAGATAACCCCTCCTTTCCATAGGCAAATACAACATACACATTTTCCATATTTGCAAAAAAAGTATACTCTTGTAATTCGTAGAAAGATTATTTTTTATTAACCAGACCCTAAAGTACCAGCATCAACCGAGGGACAAAAAAAAATATTTCAGATTAGGTTTGCCTGTTTCGTGCTACTCGCGGGTTTTGTTCCAGTCGAGATCGCAGTTATCTGAACTTTTATTCGTAAGCTGTTTATAAGAACCTTTTTAGGTTTTTCACATGCTGGGAAGTTGGTGTTTTTAAGTAAAAGTTTATAATTACGTTTCCCTTCAACAGTTAAAAGAAATGTGTTACATTCATTATTGAAGACAACATTTAAATGCATCCTTCTTGCTGTAGCTCATTAAGGGTAACTAAAACTGAACTAAAACACAACACAGGAGAGTCCCACTTTCCCCCAACGAGCGCTCATGGTAGATGTGCACAATATGTATGATACCACCTCTGTTTTTTTGCCAGCACTTGCTGCAAAAATATGATATAAAAATATTACGGGTTTTATCACGTGGAAATTTTTTTGATTCTTATTTGAGAGTGGAAACAATAAGATAATTAATTTCCTACCGAATAATAATAGGAACAGAACTTCAAACACCTGCGGGTGAACTGAGAAGAGTACTAGACCGACGATTACTTTTTTTAGTCACTGTTGAACTAAAAGCTTTGACGAATTGTATGTCAAAGTGAACAGTGTAAGAAAAAGGTTCTTCTTCGTGATATAAATAATATATAGTATAGTTTATGTGTACTTGTTTGCCTTAACTATTGTTTCTAGACTGATTTGTTGCCTCTAACCTAAATGTTTCACCTACATTATTACGCTTAACATTCACTATAACCGTCCTCCACTGATTCTTTGTATCAAACGCCAATTTATCGATTGTAAACCCTGCCTAATTTATTTAATGTCAGTTTGCCTTGAAAATGGTTACTTTAATTTGTATACTATATACTGTAACGCAATGCGAACCCCGAAGCGTTACAATACTTAGGACATACAAAGACAATACCACAGGATTTTCACAATAAGGACATATTGCCACAGTAGATAAGAATCTATAGTGTAGTCATAGTACAAAATCCAATGGTACTTATCCCGAAGTATACAAACCGCCAGTACTATCTTTACAATATAATCCCAAATAAAAAAATAAAAAAATACATTGTCATAACCTTCAATTCAGTTCAAGGTGTATTATCCTCTGGGGGAAATTTATTTTACTGTACAGTCCAAACAACTAGGAACACAAACATTACCAACTGAGAAGATGGTACAATACTTTTACTATTATAATCTTTAGAGGAAAAACCGTTCTTATATTCCTATCAACATTTTGGTATACATAAATATTTATTTTCAGTTAGATATACCTGGACTTTTTGCTAGTAGTAGAAACTGGGGAAATAATACTTTTTTTCAGATTTAAACACATAAGATCTCCTAATACTCGAGGATATTTAAATCCATACGTTTTTCTTCGTTGCTTCTTTCTTTAAACAGTGCTTAACAACGAATAAATTACTAATAAGTAGCTTGTTTTTCAGGGAGTTGGGGATGCTTTAGTATTACAATGCTCTTGCACGTATCGAGATTCTGCTGAACGGTGACTAAACCTGCGTAGGCTTCGCCCCTCCCTGCTGTTGTCTGGGTCGCTGACGCTATATCCGCGAGGCCCTGGTTACTGCAGCACTGCCTTGGACGCTGCAGGAGTTCACTTCCTGTTTGGTCTGCTTAGCAAACAGACAACAGGGAGACACTGACTGAGCGGCCGTGATTCATCCATGCAAGTTAATAGATGCAAGTAAGAGATTTTGTTTCATTTCGCTGTCTTATTTTGTAATACCGGAATCATGATTCTGCGAAATGAAAATTTCCTTTATAAAGCAATATGAGAGCTGATCAGCCCACTTGGATTTATAGTAGCTACCTCATACAGTATGTAGACGCTTGTATTGTACGCACAGTTATTGTTAACTTTTTTCGTATCAGATTGAATGCATTATATAGATGTCGGTATCGGCGTAACTATTTTCAGACTTGAATTGCAATGCGCCTATTTTTTAAGGGTGGACGTTCGGTGTGTTGATAAATTGTGTTTGAAATATAAGACTTAATGTTATTTATCCACTTTGTTGTGTAATAAATTATACTTGGATAACGTTCAAATTAACCCTAACTTTTATATTTTAGGTCTACAGTAAAACGTAACAGTTGTTGTCAGGTGAAAATAACATTTATTCTTTCATGTACATGCTGCTTACGTTATGAAAAGACCTGTAGAAGTATTTTTACAAATGAAATACGAATTAAAGATCTGGCTTTGGTTCGGATTGGTGTTAAGGAATGGAATTCGTTCGCATTTAACGGTTGTTTTTGTTTTGTTGGTTCTTTCCCCCTTGGTTACTTTTCCCTTGTTTTCCTTGTT